TGGATGCACATTTTTTGCTTCTTTTTTTTTTTTTATTTTTTTTCCCTTTTTTTTTCCCCTTTTGTTGTTCTTTTTTTTTTTTTTTTTTTTTTTTTTTTTTTTTTTTTTTTTTTTTTTTTTTTTTTTTTTTTTTTTTTTTTTTTTTTTTTTTTTTTTTTTTTTTTTTTTTTTTTCTTTTTTTTTTTTTTTTTTTTTTTTCCTTTTTTTTTTTTTTTTTTTTTTTTTTTTTTTTTTCATTCTATATTTCTATACCAACGCAAATCAGAAACAGATGTCTCTCATTAAGATGACCTGATGAAACTCGTCCCTGTATACACATACACATACACACACACACACGCAGTCTATGGGGATGATACATGAATTCGTAACAATGGAAAGTGCATATTAACACAGATTTGCGTAGGTGAAAACGTGAAAAATGGATATACATGCGTGCGTGCGTGCATGCATACATAATATACATACTTATATAGATGCACACGTAGAACTATTTTTTCCATTTTTATTTGGTGTTATGAATTTTTTTTTTTTTTTTGTTAAACTTTTATTTTACATATTCGATTTAATTCTTACACGAGACGTACGTGAATTTTTTTTTTTTTTTTTTTTTTTTTTACATTTTTATAAAGATAAAAAGTAGGAAGGGCGCATGGGGCATGTACGTGACGTGAAAATGAATGAATGAATAAATAAATAAGTAAATATATATATATATATATATATATATATATATATAATACGTATACAATGTACATAAATAATTCGTGCATAAATGCAAGGGGTCAGCGCAACGGTTCGCACTAAACTGGATGTGCTTTCACCTTGCTTCGGTGTCCGTTTTTCTTCTGAACATCACACCCTCGCCTGCAACATGCTTCTTGACAATAATATGGTTCACGAAATGAACTCTCTTTTTTTACTCATCTCCCTGGAGCCGTCTGATGTATTCGAAGAAGTTAAAAGCAGACAAATCGCTTAAGAATTGGTGGGAGTAATAATAATTGGATGCAAGGGCTGCAGCAAAGAGTGAGCGGAGGTAGATGTAAGGAACTCTGTCAAAAATTTCATCGAAAGGAACTTTCTGAAGCAAAATTGGTGGAATGACATCTTGAAGAACCCTTTTCATAAGTTTGTAATCTGTGCATAAAGAGTCTGATGATAGTATGTCCTTCTTTAGTTCGCTAATCTTGTGAGACAAAATGTTCGTGGCTTGTGAGATGGATGTTTCTGTTCTTCTGGACTCATTCCATAAGGATTCGAATTCGAGTTCGCAATAATTTATGATTTTTTTCTGAATTTCCTTAACATATTCTTTGTAGAATGATGACACGTTATTGTCCACCGCTAGCTTGTCATGCTTCGATTGCACTTGTGCATGCGAATTCTGCTGCTCCTGTTGTTGTTGCTGCTGCTGCTGTTGTAGGTGCTCTGAGTGGAGGCCCTGCTCTTCCTCCCTCTCTTGCTGCTGTTGATGCTGCTCTTCTTCGTCCGTCAGGTCGTCCGCCCTCTTTTCCTCATCAGACATCAACATCGAGCGCGTGAAGGAAAGGGAATGGTTATTTTTCTGATTGAGATTCATAAATGTAATTTCGTTTTCTTCTACCAAGCGAATGTCGCTATCAGAGGAACACATGAACTGAATGAACTGGTCGTCTGACAACACCAACCCTGCTAATACTTCCAAACTGCTGGATATAACCCCACCTTTATTAGTAGATGCATCTTTAAACAAGATAACATTTTTTGATTCCAATATTTTCCTTGCATCATCAGAAATGAATACATTTGCTCCTTCTACTATGTATTTGTAGATACACTTTTCATTTATAATAATATTGTTCACATTAAACACATTGATGGAATGAGGTCTACCTCCACATGGATTAAATAAATCACAAGAATTGAGTGGATTCAAGAAAAAATTATTTCTAAATTCTAATCCACTCTTGATCACTTTTCCTAGAACATCTACATTATGATCTTCAATAGATATTTTGAACCCATTTTCTGATAAATATTTTTCATCATATAGAATGCAAGAAGTTTTTAATTTTCTCTTTGAACAATTTCTTCTCTTAGCTAGCCGAATTAATTCATTTTTATATAATCCATTTTTATCATATAAAACACCTGAACCGTCAATTATAGATGTAATTTTTGTTTTTGATTGTAAAATAGCATTACTTCCTAAATCTCCATCCGGTCCTCCAACTATGGATCTACTTATCTCTTCTTCATTTATATTTAATTTTTCGCATAATTTTTTTATATAAGTCTCTATACCTAAGGTTGTCATACCATAATAGTCATGTGGAACTCCTCCATTTTTTCTTAATTTCCCTGTTGAAAAGGTTTTCCAATATTTATATCCTCTTTTTTTTGCTATTATACATGCCCAATCCATTAGTTGATCAGAACCAGTATTTTCATCTGGTCCTAAAAAAATTAAATCTTCCTCATTTTTCATTGGCTTTGTTGCAAATTCAGTTGTGTTATTTGATAATTTATTTTCTTTTGATCTTTTGGAATTCATTATTTTTTGTACTTCCTCTTCTGTAGTTTCGTTAATGTAGGCATAGAGTGAATCTGTCATTTTGGCTTTATTCCAAGCTGGATCATTTGTCTTACTCGTTTTTTCTTCCACTTCTTCTTCTTTTGTATCTCCATATTTGGAATTCTCTTTCCTAGTCGTGACGTTCTTGTCATGCATGTTATTATTTACATCATGAGAGATACTCATTTGTTTCAACATATCATCATGCTGAGTATCTTCTGTGCGTATATTCCCAGATGATACAGTGTCATTGCAGTTTTGGTCTGAGCTCGAATTAACTAACATTTGTTGCAGAACATCATTTTCATTTTTCTTACTAACGTTTACATCTACTTCATCTGTTAACAAATCTAGTATAGAGTTAACATACGAATAGAAACATAAATTTTTAATATATTTTGTATTTGGAACATTACATACATTTGCATTTAGAAGAATAATTCCTTTACTTCCTCCCTCTGGAATATCCTTATTTTTAAAGTTTTGTGTGTAAGCCAAATTGTATGCTTCATCAAATAAATTGTTATAATTATGCATGTACGAGTTCATATTATTTGATATGACAATTCTTATTCCTCCTCGGGATATTTTTGTAAATCTTATATGAAATCCGACAAAGTGAATCCCTAATACCATGATCACTGAATATGGTTCAGCATCATAAATAGAATCTTTCAATAGTGCACCATCAAAAGATACAGCAAAACTAATTTTGTGCATGCGAAAGAAATTCGTTTTTACTGCATACTTTTCGAATATATAAAAATATTGCAAAATGTTCTTGTGGTGATTATCCTCTATTTCATCAATGATATCTTTGCTTCTTTTTTCCGTGTGGTGGTACGGAGTAGAGGGATGGAAACCTGGGGAAAACTGAAGCATTCCTTTTGGCACTTCTTCTTCTTCTTCTCCTGCTGCTGCTGCTGATGATGATTCTTCCCGCTGCATATAGCTTGGACCTTTTCTTTTGTTCATTTTTTTTTCAAAATTTGCGAACAGTAGCTTAATCGTTTTGACATTGCTAAGAGCACAACTCAAAATTTCTTCCTTCGTGTACTTGGAACTCTTTAATTTCTCCTTAATTATGTAAAAGTCATTAAGAATGGAGTTACTACTACTACTACTACTATCCGTATTATTTCTGAGGTGGAAAGCATGTTCAACATTTTTGTAACTAGAAAAAGAGTTGGTTGAAAAGAAGGTAATAAATTTGATAATTAAAAATATGTATGCAGATTCCTCTGCTGTAAATATTCGCTTAACAGATAATTGTATGAACTTAGAATCGTTAAATAAACATAAGGTTTTCAAAGATTTTACAATTTTATTCATTTTCTCTTCCAGTAATAACAACATATGGTGCTCTCCTCCATTGATCTTTTTAATTTTATGCTGTTCAGAATTCATTATTACATTCACATTCAGGATAATTAGAAGAACCCCATTTTTAAGCGGTTCTACGTATTTCGAATAGGAAAAACATTTATGCATATTTAGACAATCCCCAATTAGAGAAAAAATAGATGAAATTACATTACTTCTTTTTACTGCTATAGTTAAAGAAAAGGTATTTTCTGATGTGGTGTAATAATGTGTCTGTATAAATTGCCCTGTCAAATCAAAGAGTACAGATTTATTCAATTCATAGTAAATTTTTTCTTTTTTGGTGCCTTTAATATAGTTATAATAATTGATGTCCATTAATTTTTCTAAACTTGTTTCATTTTCACTAATAATATCATCACTGTAAATTGGCAATTCTAAAATATATGTACGTAAAGGTTCTTCATATGTATGTTCCTTATCGAAAACAGAATGTACTGATCTAAAACTCTTCAATCGATAGCAATTTTTGGACATGTCACTAAAGTGGAAATATTTTTCTTCTATTTTTTTTTCCATTTTGTAATTTAATCTAGTTTTATTATCATCAGCAAATACTCGTGTTATGATAAATATGACATTGTCATGTTTTTCTTCAAACGTTGGAAAATATTTATCACTTGAATATTGTTCATTTATTTTGGCTGTTATTATACACACAACTACTTTACTTATTAATTCGGGACTTGTTTCCTCGAAATGAAATTTGTTAAATCCTAATTTGTTGAAGTAAAAATCCACGCTATAATTTATTAAATGGTCTGAAAATAAATTATAGCTTCGCAATAACTCTTTAGTTTCTTCATACTTATCTTTCCACGTTATGCTGTTATTCGAGAAAAGTTCTCGATCGAATTGACAACACTCTTCTTGATTTCCCCAAATGGCAGGCGGGGATTGCTGATCCAGCTTCATCTTTCACGTCCAACACAACTGTTCCTGTTCAATTTATTTTCGTTACCTCTTTCTGGTCCCTAGTTTTTTCCGTTGATGGGGAATATACACAAGGGAGAAGCAAAAATGGAGGTAGAAAAAAAAAAAAAAAAAAAAACAAATAGAAGAACGAATAGAAGAACGAATAGAAGAACGAATAGGAGAACGAATAGGAGAACGAATAGGAGAACGAATAGGAGAATGAATAGAAGAACGAATAAAAGAACGAATAGGAGAATGAATAGAAGAACGCGAACACGGAGGCTCACTTGTTAAATAAACATAGTGAATAATGTATCACTAAACGTTCGTGTGAAAAAATTTCTGTGGATACATACGCGAAACATAAAAAAAAAAACATCACAAAACAAACACAACCTTGAGTAAACTTGTTGAGGATATTCAAAATGTTTTGTTTCTTCCTTATAATCACGTGCACACATGAATGCATATATATATAATATGTATATTTATGTACATTTTTTTATGTAAATAAATTTTGTATTCTTTACAACGTTCAAATATAATGTAGTTAATTATTTTCGTTTTATATCTCTCTTTTATTTATACTATTATATATTTTTTTCTTCTTATTATTAACTACATTAGTTATTTTTTGCCTCAAAATAAATGTCAGGTAAGTTTTCATAGAAAAAGATCTAACAACTAGGCCACGTTTGTTTATGTAGGCAAAAAAAGGCCTGAAAAAAAAAAAAAAAAAAAAAAAAAAAACATGACCAGGCAGGGAAAAAAAAAGTTACAGTAAAAAAAAAAAAAAAAAATATATGACTAGGCAAGGTAAAATAAAATTATAATGGTAGGAAAAAAAAAAAAAAAAAAAAAAAGTCACGAAAAATGGCACGAAAAGTTTTTACAACGTGCCGCAAAAATGTTCCAAAAATGTTTTCCAAAAATTGTTGCAAAACTATTGCATAAATGTTCCAAATTCTTGTTGCCCAAAGGGGTGCGAAAAAACCATTCACGTGTGGCTCATGCCCTTCTTGTGGGCTTATAAGTAATACAAGATCGGAAAAAGAAAAATTTGTAGAAGAAAATGCATGACGATTTTTTGGCGAAAATTTTTAATTATGCACTGAGAGTTAGGCCTGCAAAAGGGGTTGTGGGGTGTGGGGGAGGTATAGTTGGAAGAAAAATGCAACAAAAACCAAGAAAAAATATATGGAAAATAAAGCTTGACATAAAAAAATAAAGCGGATTAGCCAACGTTTGAATATAAACAGTCCCACGAGCGTTGCGTGCATCCACAGCTATATACATAAAAACATGTACATAATATATATATATATATATACGTATGTTTGAACGGTACTAGGAGTACTTACGAGGTTGAAAATGCAGTTGCTATAAAATAGATGAGGCATAATATTTTCATGTTCCCTTCTTCTATATATGCAACGTGACGTGAGGGCGGTTTCGTGCAGCTGAAAAATTATTAACGGGAGGATAATATATATATATATATATATATATATATATATATACTCTTCCAACACAAGTTATGCTTTTTTTTTTTTATTTTTTTTATTTTTTTTATTATACATAAGGGTGAATTAAGAATAGGGTTTTTCTGTTTATATAAGTTAGTTTGACTTTATAATAAAAAGGCATGCATACGAAATTTCTCATCAAATGTGTTATTAAAGTAGATTAAAAAAAAAAAAAAAATACAACCATGTAAAGCACGATATGATGAGCGTGGCGTAAAGTGTACTGTACGATACAGTAAGGAACTGAAAAAGTGGTACATATAAATAAAGCTACACAATATCGATAGATTATTTGCTACTTTCTCCACATTTGTTTAAGTGGTGGAAAGTAGAAAAAGGTACTCTCTCTATATTCTCGAGATATGCCTTGTAGATGGAACAAACTAATAATAGGAGGAAGGTTTTCGCATCACGTGTTTGATAAAAAAAAAAAAATTATGTTAGTTACAGAAATGGGAGGAAAAAAAAAAAAAAAAAAAAGATAAACATGATAAACATGTAAATTCCATTCAAAAAAGGAATAAATAAAAATATAGCAATAATAATATATAAAATTTGTGGTATAAATAAAGCGCTGGAGAAAAATTCAAAAAAATTGTTTTCCATCCCCATTGTTTTCGTGCATATGTAGCATGTTAAATAACATGCAAAACATTCATTCGTGGACATTTGCTTGTCATGGAAAAAGGGGAATGGGGGGTTGTCCAGTTTTTTACACATTTGAGAGATTGTTGAAAAATTCCTTGTAATTTTATAGCTTTCTCTTCTTCTTGGTATGATAAAATGAAGAGTCTTTTGTTTCTTCCATTGCACCTGAGTAAGTGTAACTACTCGGAGACGGCTTCATTAAATTATTTTGTGACAAACTGGATTTCATGTCACTAAGAACATTATTGATTAGATTATTTTTCGTTAAGTTGTATTTAATTATACTATATGTCGCTTGAGTACCAATTAAGTTATTGTTTAGTTCCATTTCATACATGTTTTTCAATCCATCCGTCTGGGCTAATTTGTATCTATTCCTTTTGCTTTCCATCTCATCATTCGGTAAGTTATTCGTGTTCTTGATTCTGCGGTTTGTTCCATTTTGAGTGATCCCACTTTGGGCACTTCCATTTGGAGCATTCCCACTTGGAGTAGTCTCACTTTGGGTGTTGCTACTTCTGCTTCTCCCTTGTTGCTTCTCCTGAACGAAATAATCCTCGGCAAGGTCGATTGCGAGGTTATTTCCATTATCTCTCCGTCCAATATGTCTGCTACCGGTGTTACACACTTCTTTTTTTTCAGTTATCTCGTGGGTTCTGCCTCTTTGATTCAGGATTAAGGAGTTTAAGATATTCATCCTTCCAGCGACGTGATCAAATGTATGACTTATATTTCTCTTCTTCATCATACGATCAATGTTCACAGTGCCATTGCTGGAGGGTGCATCAATATGTTTACTGTGCTTACTGTGCTTACTGTGCTTACTGTGCTTACTGTGCTTACTGTGCTTACTATGCTTACTGTGCTTACTATGCTTACTATGCTTACTATACTTACTATTCTGTTTTGACATTTCGTTATTATAATCGACATCATCCTCTACATCGGCATCATCATCTTCTTCATCATCATCTGCATCATCATCTACATCTACATCGTCGTCATCTGCTTCTTCATCATCGTCACATGTGCCATTTTTCAGCTCATCAAAGTGATAGTTGGTTTGTTTTTCTCTAGTGATATTATTGTTTCTTCCTTTTGTTGAGTCATGTGTTAGTCCTTGGTCTCTGAAGATGTGCATATGATGATTCTCGTCACGTTTATCACGTTTATCAAGCTTATGAAGATTATCACGATTGTCACAATTGTCACGACTAAGATGCTGGTGCTCCTTTATGCTGCTTATGTTTTTCTTTGAACGTCTCAAAGTGTTGTACGAGCTGAGTAATTCCTTTTCGTTCTGTGAGATAAAACATTTGTTTTTTTCCTTTTCGGGTAGCAGAGGTTTACTTTTCTTCAGCAGGTTCAGTATTTTGTTTATTTCATAAGTTTTTCTTTTCATATTTGGTTCTTTAAAATGTAATAAGTGGGAAGAGTTGTTCCTTGACGTGTTCTCACTTTGCGTCTTTTTTGCAGTGATTCTTTTCTGTTCCTCTCGCAGTGGTGCATTAAAACTGATGGGTTCCGACATGTTCATGTTGTCATCACTAGTGACGACATCGGTAGGATTGATATGATCGATCCGATTAATCGAGTCAGTCGGATCGGTCAGATCGGTCGAATCGGTTTGATCGTCTGTATCTACTGTAGTAGGATCTCCAGAGAGAGCAGTGTGACAACGATTTGCATCCCTTCCCCCAATGCTGTGCACAACTTTTTTTCTGTGCATAAGATCCTGTTCATAACCCTGGATCAGTGTGTTTTCTCTTATCATGGCTGATTTTTCTAGGCCCATGTAACTAATTAGGTTATTTTTGAATTCATTGGTTGATTTTCTGTCATGCTGATGATCTCTCCCCCGGTTCATTTTGGTACTCCTGGAGGAACCGTTTCTCCCTGTGTTCCCTCGAATGAAATCTTCTCCATTGAAGCCTTCTCCATTAAAGTCTGCTGCAATGAAATCTCTTCCAGTGCTGTAACCATCGCAGGTATTGGTATAGTCGTGATTCTCTTCTAAGCAAGATAATGAGTTCACACTATCGATGTCGATGTTCCCACCGTTGTTCCTATTTAATGCAGTGGGAAAATAATTGTTCACGTTTGAAGAAACTGTTCGCGGATTTTTTTTTTTTTTTTTTTTATCAAAAAAATTTTTTGTATGGATAGTAGAGAAATTACTCTTCTTCAATTTTTCGTTTTGTTTATTTTGATTGTTAGTCATGTTTGTTGCACTTTCATTTAATAATTTCAATTTTTTACTTAGCACACTAAGTCGGTTCAGTTGTTGTTGATCATTAATGTTCTCTGTGTTCGTCCTGAATTCCGTTTGTTCTTCATCCATTACAGGTATTCTCATAATATCTACATTGTTATTTCCATTGCTACTCCTTTCAATATGTGTTTCATTTTGAAAATTTAAATAATTTTTTCCATTTTTCTGTTGTTTTGTTCTTAGATTATAATTCGAATCGTTACCTTTTGATAAGAGATGTAACTTTTTCTTCCCATTTTTTTCGATATTTAACACTTCAGGATGGAATAATTGCAAATTTAGATGATGGTTATTCTTTTTCCACGTTTTTTTTTTTTCATCAGTTGAGGTATCATCATCTGAAGAGGTAGCATTCCCCAATTGGTTTGTTCTATCCAAATGGTTTCTTTTTTTTCTATGTTGACTTTTTTTTTGTAAAAATTCTCTTTCTGCTTGTTCAATTTCTTCATCCAAGTATTCCATATCATCATGCTGTTGTTGTGTATGTTCCTTTGTATTCACTTCCGAATTAGAATTCATTTCTTCCTGAGTTTCATTTCTAGCATAAAGGAGAATTAACATCAGTTGTTCTCTCTCTTTCCTACTAAGATGATTAAATATTTGCACTGATTCGGTATTTTTAATCTGATCAAAAAGGAATTGTTTATCTGCTTTTTCTATTTCTGAATTTAAGTAATTGTTTTTTTTTTCCTTTTTTTTATTTTCCTCTTTTCCTACGATAAAATTGTTATTCTTGTCAAAGGATTCTATTTCTTTCATTATTTCATTTATTATTCGTACCTTTTCTTGGATACTTTTCTGCCGTTGAGCTTTTCTCACAATATGATTTGGTGGAAGTATATTTGTTTTTTTGTTCTCTGTATAATACATGGGGTGTGCGATGGAGGTGGAGGTGGTTGTTCTTTTTAATTCGTCTGAATGTTCAACCAGATGAACAGTTTTGTTATTCATGTAATTTATGAGTTCTATATTGCTTCTAATCTTATCCTTGTCATAATTTTTTGTCGTTTCTTTTTTCTTTAGATTTTTCTCATAGGAAATTACATTTGGATTGTATTGTTCATTGGCATGTTCATACATTTCCAGATATTCCCCTTGTGATGTGACCCTGTTGTTCTCTCGCGAAGTAGTTTTGTGATCTCCCTTTTGAGTTGCCGTTTGATTAGAACCGTTTGATGCTTGTCTTGTTGTCGACTTTTTCCATGTTTGTATTCCTCTTGATTTGGCCATTTCGAGGAATAATTGCTCTGATTGTTCATTCGAATTGTTGGTAGAAGGTACATAAGACGATACATGGGTTTGTTGTTTGAAGTTAGGCATATTCTCCTTTCCTTTATATGACATGGATCCCTGTTTATAATCATGCGTACCGTAATGTTGTACATTGGACTTCGAGTCAGAGCACCGCTTCTGCTTTCCCCTCCTTAAATTTCCATTCAAGATGTGATAATAATTTTCTAGAAGTTTGTTTCGAAACAGTTTGCTACCACTAGTGGCATTTTTCGATCTATAAGTTTCATTTTCGTTTCCACTTCCACTTCTACTTCCATTTCGATTTCCATTTTGATCTTCATCCTCATCCTCATCTGTATTGTTCAAATTATTCTTGTCAAGGTAAAGTTTGTACAGAATTTCTAGCTTGTTCCTGTTTTCCATTTTTTTTTTTCTTTTCTGGGGATTCATAATTGGCACTTCTGGGTCTCTATGTTCACCAATCGGGTTGTTACGATTATCACTTTGCACATGTGCATTATTAATTGTTCTTTTATTGATAATGCTCGCTGAGGTGGTGCTGACTCTTTCCTTCGAGAATGCATTATCATTACTATTATTGCCACTGTTAAGTCCGCTATTACTACCACTATTATTGGCACTATTATTGGTTCCGTCCGTTTTTATATTCTTCTGATTCTGTGTACATTTCTGCGTGGAAAAGGTCATGTTTTTTCCTTTGATCCGTTTTTGCATTTCCTTGTAAAGCACATTTTGGGAAGGAGATAGAAGAATAGAATCTACAAAATTTGTGTTCTCTTTGTAATGCACTTTCCAACCATTTTCGAATTGCGATTGTGTAGAATCTTTCACCCTTTTCACATTGCAGTCTTCTGCATCGCTAGTATCTTCTTCCTGTTGTGCATATAAATCCTCATCGTTCATTACATTCTTTTGGTTCATTTCTTTCCAGCAGTTCGATATCAGATGGTACAGTAAGTTATAGTTTTTTTTCTCACTATTGGAAAGGCGTAAATTTCCTGCTTCTGACTCAATGACGGGTTCATTGTTTTTTTTCACATTGTGTGATTGATGCTGTTGTATTGTTGAATGTTGCTTTTGTTTTGGTCCTTGTTTATCTGATACCTTTGGTTCAGTGGGATGACGATATGTTTTACGACTAAAATTTGCATGTGCATTGTTCATATTTTTTATAGCCCTATCAATTTGTGCATTTATTTCTCTTTGTAGTTGTTTTTTTCCTTCTCTTCTGTTATGATTATAATCTACATTTATGTCTTCATCATTAGGGCGTGCAAAACAATCGTCTTTAATGGATCCCAAAATTCCTTGTTCATACATAATTTTCAAGATGGCCAAATCTTCTTCTGTTATAAAAGCATTACCTTCCGTGTTTGCAAAGTTGAATTGATCCATTCCTTTTTCATTTCTGATGCGTGCACTGGAATTAGGTATTACAGGATCATTCTTCTTACGTCTGATGCCACTTCGGTCGCGTGAGTCGCTTTGCTTGTAGTCCCGTGGGGGAGGGGCGCCTCCCTCCCCGTCGCTTTCTTCGATGTGCACTCCTACATCTCCAGATTCTGCACCGACTGCTTCAGCTGCTTCAACTGCTTCAACCGCTTCAACTGCTTCAACTGCTTCAACTAACATGGTGTCATTCCCAATATGTCTCGGATTCACCGACATGGGATATTTTCTTTGCTCGTCGCTCTTCTGCTGTACTCTCAAGTTTGCATCCTCCTGGTAAGTGTGCAAATATTCTGAGAATCCATGTTCCACACGTCCATTGTATATTTCTATCGGAATGAATATGTCTGCGTTGTTGTAATAGCATGGTTCTCCATGTAGAAGTGAACTTCTGAGCATCCCATTCAAGAAGAACACATCTCTGTTTAAGTAACTCAGTCCAAGGATCCCTCTATCTAGTTCTAAAATTTCCTTTGGATTCATTTCATGGTAGTAATATGGTCCCCAAAATAGAGCACCAGATTGGCCATACATCCTAGATGTGGCATACATGCCAGATGCGCTACTCATTCCAGATGCACCACCACCTATAGCAGCTTCATCTACTGTATCAGACGGAGAATAAATTTTTGCATATTTTTTCTTTATATAAACGTAGAGATTTTCATTAACATAATTGATGCTTTTAAGAATGGTGATTAAATCTACCTGTGTATAAAACTGGTTATTTTTATCATGATAATAGTTCAACAGTTTGCTAATATTTGTATGTACGTTATCAGTTAGTTCATCGATGGGTAAGTACCTACAATTATTTCTCTCCTCCGGGATGTGAAAGTACTCATCTGTGTATCTAATCAAGGGTATTTCCTCAGGTATGAACGTAGAGTTGTCATTCCCGCTGGGTTCTTTTCTTACCATGCAGAGTGAGTTGTAGCAGTGGCTTTTCGTTTCGGTTTGGGATTCGAATCTCGGTCCACCCCTAGCATCGCATCTAACACCGCTTCGATCTCGAAATTCCGTCGCGCCACATGTTCGTCCCTGTAGTAATAGCCTTTCCGTTTTGCTAATATCCTGATGGCCAGAACAGTTTTGACTCCCGTGTGTGAGCATATGAAGGTGTTTTTCATTTCTATCTTCTTCATAGTAGTTGTGATAAATTCCATGCATGTACTGATGTTTGTAACAGTATAGGATTTCATGTCTGCTGGTTTTGCTAAAGTTGGGCCATGATAAATAACTGTTTGCACAATTTATATGTATAAAATTGTTACAATTGTTTATGCTACATTTCAAAGAAGGGAAATTTAATAAACAAATAGAACATCTTTTATAAAATAGAAAATTAAAGAGGATGGTTAAATTGAAGTATCTATTGCCATAAACATGGTTATAGGTGTAATTGTTAAAATAGAGACATGCCTTATGACATGTATATTTCAGATAAGATCCATTTCTATGTTTTAATTTAATTACTCCTATGAATAATTTACTTAATGTTTGTGTTTCATTACATAATATACATCTTGCATTTTCAAACCATGTATTATATTCCTTCTTCTCTAACCCGATTACTTCGTCTTCATAAACATGAAGAAAAAAATTGGAATCTACATCTTTTATAGTAATTTCTTTATGTCCCTTTACTTCTACGTATGTTGGATAGTGTGATGGTTTTGATCCATAGATCTGATTAGATGAAGTTGTCAAACCTTTCTCAGATGTGTAATTAATATCAACATCTCCACCATGAACATTTGTAACTTCTAATTCTCCTGTAGGTTCTCTGCTATAAAAACATTTAATCAACTTATTGCAGTAAACAATTTTGTTAATTTTTTCAATTATTCTGTATGCTTCTCTTTTTCCACTGAGAAATGAATTAACTAAAGAGCTGGTGTATCCACTGTTGTGTGTATGTTCTCCTGCAAATTGTAATCTATTAACAGGGTATGATAATATATCTTTATCTACTTGTAATGTTTTTCTTCTAATGTATGAATTAATTCCTCGTGAAAATTTATTTTTTACCCAATCGTAGAAACATATTTTCTCAATTTCCATTTTTGGCATTATACTTTTTAAAAATTTTTTGCAATCTTTAATTACTCTTTTTTTTCCTAATCTGGGAATGCTTTTACTGTATTTCATTTTTAAAAACAGAGTTATTACTGGATTAGAGCTGTAGAAAACCATGTGGCTATATTTGTTTGTTGCAATTTGTGTTTCATACGTTCCATGTTGCATCTTTCCATCGATTAGGTGTTCTCTTTTGAGACATTTTATGAACCCGTTTTCTCTGTCAACAGGTTTGTATTTCTCCATTCCTATGAATATGTCTTCTCGTGCCAAGTCTGTTTCTCGCTCTTCTTCTTTGTTTTTATACTCCATATTGGTTGCATCTTCTCTACTTTGCATAATTTGCATGACGTCATTACGATTTGATGGGATATCCTCAACAGGAACTATTGCATCGCTACTGTGCGAGATTAATCCTATCTGTTTTGGTTTTCTTTCCTCGGAAACTTTGCCATAATCATGGGTAAGTGCATCCACCTGCTTCGTTTCTTCTTTCCCAAACCGGTTATCATCACTGTGACTAACATTATCCCGGTTATCATCATCCTGATTAACATCATCCCGGTTATCATCATCCTGATTAACATCATCCTTATTATCATGGTCTTCCCTCGAATTTGAAACTGTCGTGGTGGTGCTTTTACCTTCGTGAACATTGAAAAATATTTCATCTCGATCCACACCGTTCTCAAAAGAGCAATTTTTGTTTTGTCCATCAAGGGAGGGTAGAGTATTTGTAAACTCACCATTCCTGTTATGAATAAGGTGATTGGTACTAGACGATTTAACTGTTTTTTTTTTCCCCTTGGAGCTGTTAAAATATATACATATGTTTTGCTCATGATCCACAATTTTCTTCTTCAGCATTATTACTATTTTGTTATTTTTTGTTACGCCCAATCGTTTGATGCTGTTTATTTTCCACTGTGGAAGTTTCGGGAAGAATTCTATTAATCCAGTGCTATGTTCTTCGCGTGTATTTTTTTTGGGTATGTCACGAAGGCCCTTAGGGTTGGAGTTTGGATTGGAGTTTGGATTGGAGTTTGGATTGGAGTTTGGATTGGAGTTTGGATTGGAGCTTGGATTAGAGTTTGGATTAGAATTTGGACAGGGTTTAGAGTTAACCTTCAGATTGGTTTTTAGAGTGACATTCTGAGTTGTACATGGATTAACATGAGGGTTCCCATTTTCTTTTCTGCTTTTCTTCCTCCTTTGGCTCTTCCCTTGATTCCTAATATGTGAAAGAAAAAATTTGTTTTTTTTACAGTTTCGATTTTTCCTCTCTTCAGCACGATACTGTTTCATTCTTTCCTCAGTTAGTCTTCCCACCAGTGGGTATTCCTCATGTTTGATTAATAAGTGATCCTTAATAGTGGTTACACGGTTTGTTTCTCTCGTGAGAAGTGGTTCATTAGACTCGGAACAGTTTATATTGTTTATGTTGTTAAGATTTTCCCTATCAGATTGTGCACCTGATTCATTGGAATTGGTATCAACCTCATTAGAATTTGTATCGACCTCATTAGAATTTGTATCAATCTCATTAGAATTTGTATCAACCTCATTAGAATTTGTATCAACCTCATTAGAATTTGTACCAGCTTCATTAGAATGTGTGCGACGTTTATCACAACATCTGTTAACACTTCTGTTAGGTATATTTTTTTTTGGAAAATCATCACTGCGTGTGTGCTCTTCTTGATCGAATTTACTAGAAATGGTTCCACAAATAAAATCATATGATTTGTTAATGTCACAAAAGTTAAAGTTACTATTTGTTTCTACTGAACATAGGGCTAAACTTGCACATCTTTCACCACTACAAGCCGGAACACAATTACTGCTTGATCCTTTGAGACGATAAGTGCTTCTGTTTTCATTTGTGGTTATATCTATATTGTTAATCATATAATCACTACTTGTGGATGTATTATGATGCTTTGGGTTTTTCTCTCTTTTCCAGATTTTTTTCTTTTCTCTCTGAAACGAGGTTGTTGTTGTTGTTGCTGTTGTTGCTGCTGTTGCTTCTGCTGCCACTGTTGCTAGAGCATGTTCTGATTGTTTCTGATGAATATTTTTATGCGTGTTGGATTTTTGGTTTATTTTCCTCGGTTGACAAAATTCAGATACTCTTTTTAATTCATCCATTCGGGAAATATTTTTGGAATGATGCTTGATGTGCGTCGCAGTGATCTGTTGGTTATCTGAGCAATGTTGATGGTTGTCTACCCTATTTTTGTTCATTCTTTTGGAGATATTATTGTTATTCCGGTTGGATTGCTTTACCTTTGTAGATGCATTATTCAGACGTTTTTCTGTGTCTACAAAAGGGTTTTTATGGATTCTCTTTTTTTTGCCAAAGAACTTAACACTTTCCTTTAATACACCTATAGGTGCTGTTATGATACAATAGTCATACAACTTTTTATCCTCATAATTTTTAAATCCGATTTTTATACTATCATTGTAGGAGTATATTTTATTTACAATTTTGTTTTTTTTAATATTAATATTTTTTTTGAGTTTCTTGAAAATTTCGTTTAGTTCAAAATTGCAACAGATATTTTGAAACACATCTAGAAAGCTGAGATTGTAGAAAAGGTACTGAATCGATAAAGAATTGATATTAATACCACAAGCAGATTCAATGTAAGACAAATAGAGCTGAACATAAATATATTTCGGATTTTTTTGGGTTTTCATATTTTCTACTTCTCTTCGTATGACCTCACCTAATGATAAGTGTAGCAAAGTATTTTTATCTTTTACACATTTAAAAGTGTTAGAGTTAAAAATTTGATCATAATAATATCTGAGTTTGTTAATAACTTTAAAAAATTCGTTTCTCATTTCATATTTGTATATCTTCTTTTCATTGAAATATATGAAATGCTTGTACAAGTGTCGATTTACATCTTTATTGTAAATATTTTTCTTTAAGCAGAAATTTATTAACGGATTATTTCGACTAACTAGTAGATCCATTTCTCCTATATAATTCTTTTTAGAATTAGTTGAATACATAAATTTCCCACCTATTCTGTTTCTTGCTTCATATACCGTTACATCTATTTTATGACTCTGGAGTATGTATGCAGCTGCTAGTCCAGATAACCCCGCTCCGATAATAACTACTTTTATTTTTCTGTTCACGTTTACAATAGTATCGATATGATAAATTATATCGTTGCAATTTGTTTTTTTTCTCTTATTTTCATTATTTCTTTTCAAGCGTAGAATATTTTCCTTTTTGTATAAAAATATGTTGCAATTGCTCTTGTCTGAAATGTCTATTTTTTTGTTATATGATGAGTACGAGTTTCGTGAGCTGCTTGCCACCTGGTAATCTGAGTATTCCCCCAAGTTGCTAACAATTTCGCCACAGTTACGTGCACCTTTTTTTGTTATCATCCGATTGGTATGGTTCTTCCAACTGGCGTGGTTCATCTGATTAGTGTGATTCTTCCAACTGGTGCTGTTCATCTGCTTTCTTTTTTTTTTTTTTTTCTTTTTCTTTTTCTTCATCTTTCCCGTGTTTCGATTGGATATTCCACTTACTACGCATGCGTGTGGTGGTTGTGACATATCATCATCTTCATTTTCAGTATTCCCTTTCTGTTCCCCTCTGAATGAATATACTCTATCTTTCTCTTCATAAAACTTTGAAATTCCATCCTTTAAAATGGAAACTCTGTTTGTGTCACCCAAGTTATTTACCCCTTCTGGTAAGATTTCTCTCCCTTGAGGACGTCTCTCTATTTTGCCATTCTCTTCATGGTTGTCACAACTGCTATAGTTAAACGGATTTTCTTTGTGAGTATAGAAGAAAGAGAAATCTTCCTCAAATATGTTATAAATAGACGATTCACTTCCATCACTTCCATCACTGCCATTGGATGTGGAGGAACTAACTGTAATTTTCTTCTTATTACGGAGACGGGTGCGCTTTGTTATTTCCATTTTTTCTCTTGTGTGGGTGTCTCTTTTGAAAATGCAATTTGATTGTGCGGGTTTCATGGATGGATTTTGCTCGATCGGATCAGTTTTATTGGACTTTTCGCTTTGATCAGTTTGATCGGATTTTTCGCTTTGATCAGTTTGATCGAATGTTTCACTTTGATCAGTTTGATCGGATTTTTCACTTTGATCAGTTTGATCGGATTTTTCACTTTTCCCTGTTTCATCACTTTGATCGGTCTGATAGTTCTGGTCATTCTTATCACTATCATCATTGGCGCTTTCGTCTTCTTGATCCTTCTGTTTGTCTTCTCTCCTGTCGCAATTTCGATGATGATTGAGGTCATATCCTTCTTTTTCATTTTTTCCACTACCACCATGTTTATCGTTTTCATTTTTTTTTTCTTTCTGTTCTCTTGTGCCTTGTTCTGCATTATCACTATTACTGACTCCTCTTTTACTGGTATAATTGGATCCTCCTGTTGTGCCGTTCCATATAAATGTCACATTCTTCTCTTCGATCCTTTCAGAATGGATATTGTTGTGTTTGACAAGAGTGGAAGAATCTTCCGTATTGTTCTCTTTTTTTGTTTTTTTTCGTTTTTTATTTTTTTCCCTTCTTATTCTTCTTCTTCTTCTTTCTCTTTCATTTGTTATATTCTGATTGGGTGTAATTTTTATTTCTATGTTAGGGGGTTCGTTTGGTTGTTGTTCCACCTCCATAACGAATTTTCTTTTCGGATTTACAAAAATGGAGTTCAAGAGGGTGGCGTGTGTTCCTTTTCCTTCTTGTATATTTTGAGAATTTACGCATCTTTGAATGAAGGTGATTAGATCTGTCACATGGTCACTGCTTGTGCTGGTTCCGTTGATTTTGTCAGTTATGCCTCTCTTTTGATTTTCTCGTCTTTCTCTTCTCCCATTTGAACTCCTTCCAATCAAGTGTGCCTTCTTCTTCTTCCTCCTATTTGGTCTATTCTGTGGGTTCTTGATTATGTGCATGCCCAATCCATTTCTTGTTGGATGCACTCTTTTGTGTATATCGGCAATGCCTCTTCTAATTTTGAAATAATTTCCTTTGTACAATATTAGGAAAGCGTTGGGATGATGTTTGAGAATGGAGAGCTTCTTCTTGTTTGTGTCATTTTCTTGATAACTTAATATTACTGTTCGATTTCTGTTTCTGTGAAATACAGAATCCGTTTTTGAATTTTTTACAATTTTTTTCTTGGAAACCTTCCAATGGATATGTCTTAATATGGTTGTAATTTCCCCCCATACGTTTGGATTCTGATTCGCAATTCTTCGTTTCATATTGGCAGTAACATGTGCATAAAAGAAGTTTGAAAAAGAAAAAAAAAAACGAAACAGATCGAAATAATATATATATATATATATATATATATATATATATTTGTTCTATTTCTATCTTAAAAAGAAAAAAAAGAAAGCTTAACTTGAAAATGTGTAAAACATGCCCTTTTTTATGTTATAATCTAATGGGCGTGTGCGTGTTGTGCGATACTCTTCTTTTCTATTATTGTATAACCAGAATATGACAAAAAAGAAAAAAAAAAATATAATAATAAAATGAAGCAGAAAATGGTGATATAATAAAACAAAATGGCAAAGGAATGAATGGGCTTGGTTTCATCTTTTATTTTATTACTTTTCTCCTTCGTTCGTCTGTACTTGGATTTGTGAAGTTTAATTTTTTCTTCCTCGTCTACCTAGCTCACCACATGTACCACCTTTTCTTCAATTTTTCGATTAACCTTTGACTAAAACTTTGCAGCAATATTATAAGCACGCATATAGGGTACACTTTTGTAACATGGGTACAATCCCAAGAAGATAATAAAAATAAAATAAGCAGATAGTAGTAGATAAAAATATATAACAGTGGATAAGAGCAAATAAAACTTGACAAAAATTAGAAAAAGCAAATTAACAATCTCTTTGCACTTGGCTCGTACACGCAGGTAAATCGATTTGTGCAACTGGATGGGAAACAAAAAAAAAAAAAAAAAAAAAAAAAAAAATGAAATTGTGGAAAAAAAAATATAAAACAAAATCTGGAAATAACATAAAATAAAAACAAAGGCTGTCTAAACAAGCTTAGGTAATTGGATACAACATCACTTAATTTTTGTGGGAACTCAAATTTTACAAGCTTCAGGAGATTAAGTCACGTGCGTATTGTATGTGTGTATAAATAAAAGTAAATGCATATTTTATTTCCATTTTTTATTTTATTTTTATTTTATTCATTTTTTATTTTATTTATTCTTTTTTTTATTTCATTTTATTTTTATTCATTTTTTATTTTATTATATTTTTTTTTTTTTCTGCATTGCTGTTTAATTAATTAAATATTTGTCTGCGTATTCGCTTCACGTAACTTTTTTTTTTTGCATTCCGTTCTCTTATTTCTCCTTCCAGATGTGCATATATAAGCATGAATATTTATCTATCCATCTATTTGTCTATATATATATATATATGCGAAAAGACGAATAAACAAATCTTGATTGGTCGCTTGGAAAGAGCTACTTTACGGGGAGGGGAGTTGTATGTCTACTTTTTCCTTCAAACGAATAAACAAAATGTTGTGTGGATGATGTTGCAGAGTGAATAGGTGAATATTGCACATGTATGTACTCTTGTGTAAATGTGCATATATATATGCATGCAATAATGTGTGTATGCACGTACGTATCCATGCATACGTTACTGTATGTACGTGTATGAGAAAATCTCGCGCCAGTATGAATATCTCAGTGATATATTTCAAAGAGGTAGTCGTCCAAATTCTACATAATAAATTCGTGTGTGTAGAGGAAAAAAAAAAAAAAAATAAAATAAAATAAAACATAAAATATAAAATATAAAAAATAAAATAAAATAAAACATAAAATATAAAATATAAAAAATAAAATAAAATAAAACATAAAATATAAAAAATAAAATAAAAATTATATTTGTTTTACTGAATATATAACGAGGCAATATATATATCTTCGTATATATATACATGTATATAAATTGTTAATCTTGATTGGTGACATAATTATAAGCATGGGTATATAAATAAATGCCTATGATGTACTGGCTTAATACTTTTTTTTTTTTTTTTTTTTTTTTCCCCCCGTCCCCTTTTTATTCTACACTTTACAAGGTACGTATTATATACATATAGATATTCCTGTGTGTATACATGTATACACATACATTTTTGAAGACATGTAAAGTTTAGTTGGGTCGTTACTTCTCTATTCTCGTAGTGATATTGGTATGTATACATAAACAAGTTGAGGTATACACACATTCATACATATAACAATATATGCACACATTGGTATGTTGCCCTTTTTCTCTTTTGTACACAACATGTGTGTAGGGGGCTAGGGATGGGAAATTTTTTAAAATAAAGAGAGGAGAAAAGGGGGAAAAAATGATAAATTAGGCAAAAAAAAAAAAAAAGAGAAGAACGGCAAAAATAAAAATAATAACAATTGTTGAAGTTAAAAAGCACAACTCTACTGTAATAAACGTTCATACATTAGTAAACAGATAAAAGAGGTAAAAAATATACAAATAACAATCACATGTAATTCGTTCAGTTCTACGTGTCGTGTGTGATGTAATTAAAAAAAGAAAAAAATACGGGAAAAGTAAAGAAGGTATGGAAAAATGTGGAACACAAATGTTCCAAAATTCTTATAGGCACACTAAACTGCTTACAAAAAGGATTTGTGGAAATATAATTCTCACGTGGTTGAGTACACATTAAAAAAAAAAAAAAAGTCTACGGGGGTAATACAAAACGTGCAATATGAACCTGGGGGAGGGGAAAGAATAGAATGTAGTGAATTGTGGTATAACGTAATGCAAAATTAAGTACAACTCTCCAAACTAAATTTCAATTTTTTTTTTAAAAAAAAATAATGTAAACGAGGTGGCATCAAAAAAGGGAGGGAACAAATTGTTGTAAGGGATGTACAGAGCTGTAAGGGCAAATTTACGAACACGTATATGTATATATGTATATATATACACATATGTGTTTTTTTTTTTTTTTTTTTTTTTTTTTTTTTAAACGGTTAGGAGTGAACTATAAATGGACGATGAAATATATAAAGGTGTTTTACGTGTACATGTGAATGGTGTAGGTCATAGGCAAAAGGGGTATATCTATATGTATATATAAATAGTAACATATGTAAATACATATAAAAAGGTATGAACACGTGTACATATTCCTGTATATATACGTGTGAATAATGTACAAATCATGAATGGACGAAAATACTGACTTTCTCGTTATGTAATGCGTATCCACTAGACTACAGGTAGTGAGGATTTTTCCATTTCACTCCTTGAATTTGAAAGAGGAGTGATTTTTGTCTACACTTGAGCTTTCGATTAGTAAAAAGTTATGACATACTTTTCTACATAAATACACGTTCTCACGGTATGGATAGTGTTCGTTTTTGTGTGAGCATAGTGTGATACTGTCAACTTTTCTCGTGCGAATACAATACGAGGTGCAGATGGAACAAAAGCGTATGTAGGGTGTCTGCGTGTGTGTGTATGGATCAACTTTACTAGAATATCAACACGGTAGGGAGGAATAAACATATGTTCTATTTAAGTTTCCACGTGAAAATTAAAAGAACACAATTATAAAAAATGTTATTAAAAGGAATGCTATTAAAAAGAGTGTAATTAAAAAGAGTGTAATTAAAAAGAGTGTAATTAAAAATGGCGTAATTAAAAATGGCGTAATTAAAAAAGGTGTAATTAAAAAAGGTGTAATTAAAAGGAATGTAATTAAAAAGCATGAGGATAAGGGGTAAGCATAAACATCCGTATAAACAGTCGCATAAACATTTGCATAAACGTTATCACAAATGTGGATGTAAAGATGTATGTAATTTTACTTTGAATAACCTTCGATGCGCGCACCGTAAATTTCATATGGAATAAATTAACAAGTGCCTGTAAGGGGATATACGATAAAAAAAAAAAAAAAAAATTAAAAGTAATGAAAAATTAAATATACATATAGGTGATAATACAAAATTACACCAAATGTAGGTATGCAAAAAAGGGGATTCACATGTGACAAGCTTGAATTATTCTAATTTCTCTAATAGGAAGCGCAAAAAAAAAAAAAAAAAAAAAAAAAAAAAAAAAAAAAAGGCGTATATTATGTAAAACTGTGTTTCTCAAAATACGATAAACATAATATACATCCAAATGTATAACGCAAGAGAAAAAAAGTACAGTTTCATGAGTTTAAATATGTACGCATTAAATAAGTGGTGTTCGATCTATGTTGTAGACCGCGAGTGTGTGTGTGTGATTATTTTAAAGAGATAAAAAGATGAGCCATACGCACACGGAAAAAGTGTAACTTTTTGGTTCTATATTTTCACGGTAATGAAAATAAGGGAAAAGAAGAAAAAATAAAATTAAATAATACGAGAAGATGCGAATAAGAGTTAACGTGTAACCAGTATGGAAACAGATTTATTGTACTCAAAAAAAAAAAAAAAAAAAAAAAAAAATGTAAATACTGCTAAAAAGTACGCGGGAGAAAGGGCTTTTTTTTTTTTTTATAATTTCATGGGTTGTCCATGGGTTTTCTTGTTTATTCAAATAAAGTGTTAAACGAATAAAGAAAAGGAATAATATTCTTTGTTAATTTTCTTTAACATACTTTTATTTTGTAGTTTTGTTTCGTGGTTTATATAATTTTATATCGTAATTTGGTTTTATACTTTTATTTTGTAGTATTATTTTGTAGTTTTATTTTGTAGATTTATTTTGTAGTTTTATTTTGTAGTTTTATTTTGTAGTTTTATTTTATAATTTTATTTTATAATTTTAATTTGTGCCCTTATTTTATGCTTTTAATTTGTGCCCTTATTTTATGCTTTTAATTTGTGCCCTTAATTTGTGCTTTTGTATTGTATTTTTGTTTTACTTTTTTTATTTTACGCTTTTATTTTACACTTTATATATATATATATTTTTTTTTTTTAAGTGCGATTTATTCCGTTTGCATTCTACATATATTTACACTTTAACCATGTAGGAATATTTTTTGCCATATTTGTTTTCCCTTGTGTTTCGGCTAATTCTTGTGTTGTGATAGGGTAAACATGTATACTTGTAGCAATTCTTTTTTTTTTTTTTTTTTTTTTAGTGGAGAGGAGAGGTTCCTGACAGTGGATCACGTTCACAATTTTCACGATTGATAGACTTAATTTATTTTCTCTTTACCTTTTTCTTTTTTTTTTTAAATTAACTCAAAAATTGAACTGCGAATTTTCGAATTTGGTAGTTATATATGCCACACAACCTGTTATCAAATTACGCGACAGTTTTTTTTTTTTTTTTTTTTTTTTTTTTTTTTTTTTTTTTTTTTTTTTTTTTTTTTTTTTTTTTTTTTTTTTTTTTTTTTTTTTTTTTTTTTTTTTTTTTTTTTTTTTTTTTTTTTTTTTTTTTTTTTTTTTTTTTTTTTTTTTTTTTTTTTTTTTTTTTCGCTTAATGCTTGTGTCCGCATGCACATGCAAAATTATTTGCGCTTATATATAAACATATATATGTACATATACATGGTGTTTTTTTTTTTTCTTTTTCTTTTTTATCCTTTTCGTCTTTTTAAGAAAAACAAACTCACTAATTGCACTAATTGGATAATTGCATAATTGCATAATTGCATAACTGCAGAAATTCATATATAGTGTATACACAAATAGGCACGAACTTTTAGCTCTCAAAAAAAAAATAAAGGGCTTTTTACATGCATGTACCTTTTTTCATAAAATTAGAAAAACAGGAAATTTTGTAAGTAAACCCCCCAATCACTCCTAAAAAATGAAAAAAGAAAAATGCGAAAGAATAAAAAACTAACTTGAAACAAATGTGAAGAAGGGGCGAAAAAGTTTCTCTATACCTACATATTATATATATATGTGTATACATATATATTATATTCTTGTTCCCACTGTTCCTAACACAGTTAGAAAAATAGAACAACAAATATCCGATTACATTTTTATGCAGAATATACATAACCATTATTATTTTATATGCGGTGCCAAATTCACGAGACATGCTGCAGTCGCTTCAAGTGCCACAAATGCAGAACTTATGAAGGTGCACAACAAATTGATGGGAATAAGTGTCGAAATTTTCTCGCCATTTTAAAACAATTTAACCATCTATATATGCATATATATATATATATATATATATAAAGTAAAAGCTTCATTTGTATAATCAAACAATAAGCTGTGTTGTATGTATAACACTATAAACATACATTCTTTATATTTTAGAAGAGGCACAAAAAAAAAAAAAAAAAAAAGAACATGCTGAATGCATATTTTCATTAAACCCCTAGTTTATGCTTATCCTTAGCGACGAATCCGCTCAAGGGAAGAAAAAAAAAAAAAAAAATGCATTAGAGTTGTACAACTATTTTGCAAAATGAATTGCATATATATTAATAATACATTTATATGCCCCCTCGTTGGGGTTACTCATTTACTTACTTTTTTTTCCTTCACGAACTGAGTTTTTCACCTTGTAGGCAAAAAATCAAAAAAAAAAGAAAATAATATATTCATGCAACAATAAGAATGATGCAATATTATATATAGTAATATATATGTTCACTAAGGAGAGAAGGCAGTGTCGTAATTTTAGTATGTGTTTTTTTTTTTTTTTTTTTATCTTTCCTTCTTTTCAAAATACATGTATAAAAAACAAAAAATAAAAAAAAAAGGTACGCGGTAGATAAGTATTGTGGAAAAACACTAATAGTGCTAAAAATGTATGAGCAGCATAAAACAAGTAATTACAATTCATAAAAAAAAGAGAAAAACTTGTTACTACCTCTTATGGAAAGGTAACAAAAGATATAAAAAAAAGAATTTAAGTAAAGTACAAAGAAATATATGAAAACATACAAATTGTGATAGTTGCAAAAGATAAAAAAAAAAAAAAAAAAAAAAAAAAAACATTTTAACATAATTTTTTTGTAGTTTTTTTAAATACACATAAAATAGAGTGTTAGAAGCATGAAAAAAAAAATAAAAAAAAAACTTTTCATGGGTGGCCACTAAGCCAGTTTGCCCTTTTAGAAACTTGCAAAAGTTATATGAACAAAGGAAAAAAAAAAAAAAAATTAACGAAAAAGGAGAAAACTGCAAGGTATTGGGAGAGTTTTGCTAATATTTTCTGCGTCAGTAGTATATTATATACATATTCACACCTTAAAAATATACATCTTTCGAGAAAACCTAATTAAGAAAAAATAAATGTAGATGTAAACCTGATGAGTGACAAATTGCGAAAGAGAATATATCTAGGAAAATATGTGTGCATAGCAACACATACAACCTTAACGAAGGAAAATAAAAAAAAAAAAAAAAAAAAAAAAAAAAAAAAAAAAAAAAAAAAAACATTAAAATTAACAAACCTTCTCTACATCATATAAATATATTTCTTTACTTCCCTCTTTTTATTAATGTCAAATTAAAAAAATACATCTTTCGAGAAAACCTAATTAAGAAAAAAAAAATGTAGATGTAAACCTGATGAGTGACAAATTGCGAAAGAGAATATATCTAGGAAAAAATGTGTGCAAAGAAAAACATACAACCTTAACGAAGGAAAAAAAAAAAAAAAAAAAAAAAAAAAAAAAAAAACAAGTGCAGTTGTGTGGGCACAGAGAAAGCTTATGGTTTTGCATCGTTACGAGGAACGAGTGTTATGTTTACGGGAACTAGGAAAACTTTATAGTTTTGTAAAGGGAAAGAAAAACATTTTACTCTGAGATATGTTAACTACAAACGAAAGAGTGATTAAGTCGAAAACGAGTCACAAGGGAAGATAAAACAGAACAAACAATAAAGTACAAAAAATAAAGTGGAAAAATAAAATAGAACGTGAGGAATAATTTGAATTATTTAGGAGTTGTGTATTTTTATTGTCATCTGCGAATATCCATACCAGTAAAGAGCTATGTAGCACCTGAAGAGGTGTTTTCATTTTTGTTATAATGATAAATAGCTTTGTTCATATTTTTGAACAAACTAGCTAAAATTATGAAAAATGTGCAAAATTACATGAACAACAATGTTTTTAAGCAGAAAAAAAAAAAAAAAAAAAAAAAAAAAAAACACATACGCACACAAATTTTCGTCTTATTATGTGAGAGAAAAACACAATTTAGACGAATAATCGACTGAATTTAATGGTGCATTTGTTCATGTTATTTCTTTTATTTTTATGAATTGCAAGATAGCACAAGAATTTGATGGTATATGTAATTGGCTGATTAAGAAAGCCGTTGTATACACGTGTTATCAAGTTATTTCATGTATATGTTTATCTGAGTAACCATTTGTATTTGTCAGATTATGCATGAAATGTTATACCACCTGCGCGTAGACGTGGAGATATAATTATATGCAAAACGAGGAGAGAGGATAATTTTCACAAATTTGAGAGAATTGTCGAATTGTCTGACATACATATATGTATATATATATATATATATATATATATATATATATATATATATACATGATAGGGTAAAAATAATCTTTTTCATTTTAGAATTCTGCATTAAGAGCATGTCCACACATTCTCCAACTTGGCATGCGTGTAAACATGAGCATATGCACGTATGTGTATACTCGTAGATATATCTACAAAGGTATATGTATATATTTTTCTTCTCCATATTATGCTACTTTGGAGAGAGTGCATACTGATAAAAATGTGACAATATTTACATAAGAATTTTGTTTTCACGTTTTTATTTTATGAGAATACTGCCGCACGACCGCAATATATTAATTATAATTATCTTTTTTTTTTTTCCCATTTTCAATGACGCATGTACATTTGCAAAAATTCCGTTTTGTTAATTGTGTGTACATATATGTACATATATATATATATATATATATATATATATATATATATATATATATATATATATATTTTTTTTTTTTTTTTTTTTTTTTCTAATGTTTTCTACTCTGTCGATTTTTTTGATTTTTTTCAATTTTTTAATTTTCCGTTTTCAAATCGCCCAAGCCACGTAAATGATAACACAAACATTGTGGGTACCGTTCGGAGATTTTGAGAAGGGAGAGACATAAAAAATTCTTTGTAACTGGACACCCTTTAAGAAGTTAGAGTGAGGCGTGGAAATACGAATTGGGCTCGCAGTTTGGATGAACTTTTTTTTTTAAGGATTCTTTGAACCCCTTTTCCCCTCCCTGTGGAGGTTCGTTAATATAGGCATGTTTGAGAAAAGGAGAAACAGAATCTTTTTTTTTTTTTTTTTTTTTTTTTTTTTTTTTTTCATCTGCACGAGTTAGAATTTCCGAAAAATATTTTTAAAAGAAAATTTTGATCATGCAATACAATTTGGAGATTCTCCATTTCGTGACATAGCAAAACATATATATATATATTCACCTTGCACACGTACGAGTTTTCCCACATGTACTTGCTGCCACTTTCAGAATTACACATATATGTACATATATATATATATATATATATATATATGTATAAAATAAAAGAATAGCGATTTTTTATCGCACACGAAATTACGCAGTTATATGGAAACTTTTTTATTTTTTGTTTTAGTACCCATTTTACCATTTACATCTTTCTAACATCAGTCGAGTTTCACAATTATCTTGACGATAGCACACGTGCCAACGTCATATGCATGCAACAAATTTTCATTGAGAGTAAAGAAAGAGAAAAAAAAAGGTCAAGAAAAAGGTCACAAAAGAGGTCACAAAAGAGGTCACAAAAGAGGTCACAAAAGAGGTCACAAAAGAGGTCAAAAAAGAGGTCACAAAAGAGGTCAAAAAAGAGGTCAAAAAAAAGGGGAGGGAGAGAGAGAAAAGAAAAAGGAGAAAAAAGGAAATAAAAAGCCATTCACGCTTGTAACAAAATGAAAACGAGAAAATTGTGTATAAATGAGTGCATTCCATATGTACAGAAATATGACTGGGGTAAGGGAAAAGACGGAATGGTATATGAAGTTATGAAAAACATAGTTAAGGAGAATTACGAAACTGTTAAAAAGGACATTGATAAGTTGGAATATATAAAGGAATATATCGAAAATGGTGATGAGAAGAACAAATCCGAAGTATTGAATAATAATGAGGAGGAGGAGCAAGGAGAAACTGAGAAAACGACATCAAAGGAAGAGGTGGAGGAGAAGAAGAATGTGGAGAAAAGGAAAAGGAATAATGGAAATAATAACACTGAAAGGAAAGATGAACAGAATTCTAAATACGCAGAATTATGGATTGGAAATCACGAAAAGGGTCCGAACTTAGTACTATACAAAAATAGCTTTATAAAAATCGAAGAATTTATACAAATTTACAAAATGAAAAAGAAAAAAAAAGGAAAAATTACAAAGTATTTATATAAAAAAATTGAAGATACAAAAAATAAATATAACAACAAGAAGAGTTCAATAAAATCAGAAGATGTTAACAATAATAGGAATAATGATGGTGATGTGAAAAGGTGTTCCGATATAGAATTTTCTTCTTTAAGGAATTATTCTTTGTACGAAAAGTACGACATTACTGTAGAGGATGTTGATAAGAATACACTTTTTCCCTATTTGTTTAAAATGCTGTCTATTTACAAGCCTCTGAGTATTCAAATTCACCCCAATGAAGTGCAAACATTGTATTTGAATACACTAAATCCTGCTCTTTATAAGGATAGAATTTTCAAAACAGAGATGTGTGTATGTATAAATTCCATGAGTTTGTTATGTGGTTTCATGAACATTTTTAAGATTTCCTTTTTGATAATGAATGTGAAGGAGTTGCATGATTTTTTTCTGAGAACAGATTTGCGTGTGGATGGAGGGACGAGCGGTTCAGGGGAGGTGAAAAGTTCGACGGAAGAAATTGATCAAAATGTTAAAATAGATGAAGGGAAGGAACAGGACATTTTCCACCTGTTCGACTTATTTCAAACAGAAAAAAATGAACACGTGGAAGAACTTATAAAAACTTTAGCACATATTTACATTTACATAATTAGCTATTCATTGAAGAGAGGAAACAGACAAACCTATGATGTAATATCAGTGATAGATAACTACGCTGAGTGTATTCAAAAATATGTATTTGATGAATCGTTTTTTGTAGGTTTTTATAAAAATGAGAATTTTTTAGATCAAAATTTGAACTTGGGGAATTTGATAAAAGGAGAAAAAGAAAAACTGCAAAATGGTTCCTCTGGGAAGAAAAACACATCTGAGATGAGTGGTTCAGATGAAGAAGAAAATGAGGAAGTTCTCGAGGAGGAATTGGAAGTGAGAGATGGAGAAGAAGTAAATGAAGAGGAGGGAAAGCAGAACATTGAGAATGGTGATGAGCAGAAGCGTTCTTTGGAAAATGAAAAGGACTCTGATTTGCTTAGTGCAAATCGGCAGATTAAGAAGCAGAACAGAGGAATTTCGACCGAAGGGAATATGGAGGAAGAGGACGAGGACGAGGAGAACGACGACGACAAGAAGAAGAATGGAGAAACGAAAGCATACCCTGTGAAGAAGCAAGATTTGCAATGTGCTGCTCAACTAATGAATCGTAAAAGAATTAAAGCTTTTTATGAACACATGTTCAAATATATAATATACAGAACGATGTTAGCAGAAAATGAGGTATTAGTAAAATGCATGAATGATATAGAAACTAAGAATGAAAAGTATAAGAAGTATATGAAGGATAAAGATATGGGAAGTAAAAATATTGAAGAATTATATATAGATATATGTAAGAAAAAGAATTATATGAATATTGAAAAAGATACAGAAAATTTCATTGTTAATAACATTTTTGAAATATTTTATAATGTATCCAAGTTCTACCCTAATGATGGGGGAAGAATTTTTATTTTTATTTTGCAACAGTTAAATTTAAAAGATGGAGATGTAGTTTATATTAAGCCAGGAGTTATTCATTCATACATTTCTGGGCACTGTTTAGAATGTATGACTAATTCTGATTTAGTAATAAGAGGAGGGTTAACGAACAAGGAGATTGATAAGTTAAATTTTATAAAATATGTAAATTACAAAAATAATTTTCCAATTATTTTAGAAAAAGAATTTATAAATTATAACATTATATCCTACAGCTATTACAAAATGAAGTATTTTAAAATTTTATTTATTAAAGTTAGACCAGGAGAAACTGTCAATTTTTTATTTTCTGATGTTACCTTTACCTCCTGTATCGTTTTGTCAACTAATAGGACTGTAAAAATTAAGGGAAAAAAAAATGACAAGAAAAAAGCAAGTATTAAGGGTGTCAAAAAGGGAACCGTTTTTTTTATTGCTCCAAGTATTGTAGTAACAATGTCCAATTTTTATGAAACGGAGCAGGATGGTGACAAGGAGTTCTTGCTCTACTGTGCCACGTCCTGAGGGGACAGCATCGTTTGGCAGTATTATTTGGCAGTATCATTTGGAAGCATCATTTGGAAGCTCCATTTTGTAGTATCATTTTTTAACATGACGTGGTTGCATCTGTATGTCCATCACGCCCTGCTTGGTTCCACTAACAACCCACAAGTGTGTCTCTTCAATCTGATAATATATGTACTGAGCAAGTATGTATATGTATATATATATTTTACTTATATGCACATGCAAGAAGGCACACTTTTTTAGCGATCAAATTCCATTCAAGGGAGACGGAGTTTTGTATCACGCTGCTTCGGCAGAAATTCCAAGCGCCCTGCTCATTATTTTCTCCCATTTTATTTTAAGAATACACAGATTTATGTGTGTATCGTACGTAAGTATGAGATTATGTATGTATTGTATGTAAGTATGAGATTATGTATGTATCGTATGTAAGTATGCTTTTGTGTGCATGCTTATGTATGTACTTGTTTTTACCCCCGTTACCCGTCTCCCCCAAAAGTGCATTTCTGCACAATTTCGTTAACTCTTCTTTACACACGTTTCTTTCCATAACCACTGTACACTAAGCATTTAGAATAAAGAAAAAAAAAAAAAAAAAAATTCAAAAAAATTGTGTTTTTTTTTCGCATGTTATTTTTCAGTGAAAATATATATGTCTTTCTCACCTATGAATAGCTAAAAAGCCATTAGGCAATAATTGAAAATGTTCTTCATGAACTTGAAAAAAATAGAATGACATATGACACAACAGTGTATTCTTTCTTAACCAGAGAGAAAGAGAAAAAAAAAAAAAAAAAATATATATATATATATATATATATATAAAATTTTAAATAATAAATTATTTTACACAGTATTTTAATCTTGTCTGTGTTTTTTTTTTTTTTTTTTTTTTTTCCCTCTTCATATTTTGATGTTATTGCGTTTGTTACTTTTTTTTTTTTTTTTTTATCGCAATTTTTACTAACCATTTTGAACGAAACTTGGTGTTTATACCTTTTTTGTACAATTTTGAAATTTAGAAATAAAATGGGGTTGCCACAAAGTGGAGAAAAGAGGGGTGGGATTAATTTGCGAACCGAGGAAGTTTACAAGTTATGAAAGTAATTATTAACTTGCAATGGCTGAGTTCAAAAAAAGAAAAGAGACACATATAGTGTTGGGATACCCAGATAAATGGAGAAGATATGTGTAGATAAACGAATATGCATAAACACACACTCAAATGTGAGAAAGGTGTCAAGGGGGATATATCTCGAACCAATGAATAGATAATTATGCGTGTCCACAAAAAATACGTATCCACATTGACAAAAAAAAAAAAAAAAAAAAAAAAAAAAAAAAAAAAAAAAAAAAAAAAAAAAAAAAAAAAAAAAAAAAAAAAAAAAAAAAAAAAAAAAAAAAAAAAAAAAAAAAAAAAAAAAAAAAAAAAAAAAAAAAAAAAAAAAAAAATCTGAAACGTACACGTATAGGTAGAAACATATATATATATATATATATATACATGCACGCATAGGTACATACATATATATGTATCTATGATTACTTAAGCGCACATATCATTGAACATAGGTGAAAAAAAAAGACCCTCTGCGTGAACGGCAAAAAAAAAAAAAAATAATAAAAAATAAAATAAAGTAAAATAAAGTAAAATAAAATAAAATAAAGTAAAATAAAGTAAAATAAAATAAAGTAAAATAAAGTAAAATAAAGTAAAATAAAATAAAAGACGTTGGCGCCTGAGATATATACATTCATACCAAGGGGGAACTTAGATTCGTTCTCTTACTCTCGATGTTGTTGTTCATCATAAATAGCAAATTCAGGACCTCGATGTGGTTGTCTGACTTCCAGTTTATAACGTTCTTCATGTATAACAGCATCTTTTTCATTTGTCTACGCCTGGGGTAGCAGTAGGGAGATGGCATGGCGTGAGAAAAAGAGGGAACCAACGGGTGCACATGATGGTACAGTGATGACGAACATATTTGACACATGTGAAGACACACGTAATGACACACATGATGGTACAGTGATGACGAACATATTGACACACATGTGAAGACACACGTAATGACACACATGATGGTACAGTGATGACGAACATATTTGACACATGTGAAGACACACGTAATGACACACATGATGGTACAGTGATGACGAACATATTGACACACATGTGAAGACACACGTAATGACACACGCAATGACACACGCAATGGTGCATAACCTCGTGCACATGTCTCGGAACGTGGCCGTGCGGAGAAGGACATCCACAGTGGTTCATGTAGAAACAGAACACAGGCGTGTGTATAAGCTTACTTCATGCTTATATCTCTTGGGGAGAACCATGGGGTGGGGGTTCTATCATAGGACTTAGAGTAGATACTGTTGCTATGAGAGGTATAGTTGTACGGGCCAAAGCGAAGTTTATCGTCAGCACATTTATTCCTTGTGTGTTCACGACAAGGCTTAATTAGTTCATTTTCAACTAAGTGTGTATTTAAACATAAATGTAGGATGAAATGGATGATGTATATTCCACAATCATATGTGTTATTTTGTTTTGGTGTAATGTTTGGATATATGAACTTGAAGCAAATTCTAGGTATGTCACTCGAGTTATTCGTGTAGGTAGCGGTAGTTGAAATGTGAGCCATATGATCATGGAGGAATATATGTTCCACGTACTTTTTCAGTTTATTCAATATCTTATTGCCTTTCGCAGAGGGGAATAATGAATCAAGGTATATCATGTAAGCCATTTTAACATTCTCTTTTTTCCCTTGTTCTATCATTTTTTTTGTGTTTTTATCGTGATGCTGGTCGTTGTCTGTGGTAACATTACAGGTTTTGTCAGAGCTCGTTTTGCTTGTATTCTTCAAAAAGTTAGATTTTTCTTCATTTGAGTGGTTTGCAAGGTTTATGCGGTTTGCATAGCTTGCAACATCTGTGGAGAATGAGACCATGTCACGTTCTCCTGAATCACTCGAACTTGTCGCAAAGTTGCAGAAACGGCTTTTCTTTTGTTCCCCATGGTCAGACATATTGTCATTTGCATGCAAATAATTCCTCAACACAAGTGTGCAATTATTTTGCCTGTTAGATTTGAGGAGCAAATTCCTTTTGGAAAAATACGAATCGCAGGATTTGCTTCTAAAATTTTTATCTGATCTGTTTTCGATAAATCTAATTTTTGAAAACTCGTTTTTTCTCTTGCCTTGGTTAGAAGTGACTGTTTTGATTCCCAAGAAATATTTGTTGCAGTATGCAGAAAGTGGCATTTCCTCTATAGGACAATGGTAAGTGCGTGCGGTTTGGCCTGAGCATTGGTTTTTTTCCTTCCCTGGCAGATTTTTGATGATTCCATCGCTTGGTTGGCTTGCACTACTTCTGTCGCTAGGTTGGATTACATTGCTTCTGTCGCTTGGTTGGCTGGCACTGCTTCTGTCGCTAGGTTGGATTACATTGCTTCTGTCGCTTGGTTGGCTTCTACTAATTGCATTGTTGGGTAGATGGCTAGCTGAGGCTGGCTCATCCTTCTGGGATGTGTTAAAAGGAAAGTACAAGAGAACCAATGACCAGTGTGTATTATTTATGTTGATGGGGACAAAAACATACGTGTATTCATAAATTTTTTTCTCGAGTTTCTGGATCCACCTATTGGTGTTCATATATGCTTTTGAAGTATCATCATATAATTCAATTTTTTTATAAAAGAAAGTGTTAAAAATATAAATTTCATTTTTTTTTTTTTGATCATTTTTAAGGATAAATGAATAGATATAATTATTAAAAAAATCGATAATAGAATCATCAATATATTTAGATTTATTCAAACGGAAAATATTATGACCATCTATTTGATAATTATTTATTTTCCATATATTTTTCATTTCGATTGTTTTTCTGTTTATATAGAGTTTCAAAATTTCTGTATCTACAATTTTTTCCCTTTGCATAAATTGTAATTTTATTTTCTCAATTTTGGAAAAATTTAAAAAAGTTGTTAAGTAGAATTTTAACTTGTTTGTATATTTAAAATGTTTAGTATGACTGCAGTATATAACTTTTATAATATCAAAGATGTTCTTTACTTTGTGTTTAAGAAACAAGGCACTTTTTTCTTTGTTCATTTCTATTCCTTCAGATGATGCATTTGCATTTGAACATTCATCTGTCTTGTAATTTATGTTGTCATGGTCATTTTTATCACTACTCTTTTCCTTGCTAGTGAGTACTTTGTTCTTAACGAAACAGCTATTTCCACAAGAATTGATTCGATTTTCATTGCTTTGCTCACTTATGCAATTTTTCTGTTCTCTCGTGTGTCCCTTCTGCTTGTCCTCTGGTATTATGTCATCTACTGATGTGACATGTTGTTTATACTGTGAATCGGTGTCTGTGATGTAGCACACATTGGAGTCACTGAAGTGGGTTTCTTTTGATCCATTCGCGTGGCAATTATTTGTGGTATCACTTTTGGCATCACTTTTGGCATCACTTTTGGCATCACTTTTGGCATCATTTTTGGCATCATTTTTGTCATTATTTTTGGCATCATTTTTGGCATCATTTTTGGCATCATTTTTTCCATATTTTTTGGCCTCATTTTTGGCATCTTCTGTGCCATCTGTACCATGTGTTCCATCATTTGGAACACAATCAGATGCTGCATGGTTAAATCTAACTCCATCATTTGATACTTTTGCCTCAGAAGCAATCAATTCACATTCGCTATTTCTCACATCTAGAAATGATTCATAGTCTTGCTCCTTATCTAATATTCCATGCGTAACTTTTTTGTTTCTATTTTGAATAATTTCCACGTTTTCAACTTTATCGATTTTTCTTTTCTTGTCATTCTTTAACTCTTCCTCGTTGCCATGGCTATCACTAGACACTAAAAAAAATTCTTGTGAATATTTTTCCACGCGCGAATAGGAAGAACATGTTTTCGATGAATGACATGGATTTTGACATGTGTTCACATTGTCTTGCATGCAGATCGATTCATCCCTGGAGGTTCTAGCGCTTGGAAAAAATTCGCTAGCTACATCTTCCGTTTGGTTACATGTGCTTGTGTTTGGTTTAACATCGGCATCTGAATTGTTTGCAGAGGTGTTCGAGAAGTTGGCACAGATGCTAGAAATGATTGCACCGGTGTCTGAAAAGTTAGCAGAGGTGCTAGAAATAGCTGCAACAACATGCTTAGTGCTTGAAACAGTATCCGCAATGCTTGCTTTTACGTCCGTTTCACCATACATGTTGTGCGTGCTAACCCCATCATTGACACCCTCGTTGCAAGTGTTGACAAGAACATCATGGCAAATGTTTCTCGCATTTCTCTCTTCTTTGTAACATATACTTTTTTCATTTTCAGATGAACTAATACACTCAGAGGAAAGTTTTCTCTTCTGTACCTCTTTGCATATCGTTTTGTTGTTCTTAATCACAATTTCTTGTTCTTCAAGATTATCTTGGCGTGTTTTTATTCTATTATTTTCCAACTCAAAATGGAATATTAATTTTTCATCATCATTCTTTGTTTTTTCTTTCAATGAGCAATCGATATGACATGTATCATTTGGATGGTTCAAGTTATGATCTCTATTATTGGTTTCATTTGTGTGATTGGGTTCGTAATCAGTTAAACTATTGCAGCGAATTCTGTTGGGGTCTTGATAGACGATATTCCTGTGATAATTACTGGTGTTATATGATTGCACCATGCAAATTTCCCTATCCTTGAAGGAGTGTTGTTGTTGTGTTGTATTTTTCTTTTTTTCAAAAATTTCTTTTCTTCGACTTTTAGTAAATGTAGAATATACATTGTTTGTGTGAAAAGTAGAGTTTGATATTTTATCAATTTTTGCCTTTTTCAATAGTACATATTTTTGTATAACAATTTCTTCATCCTTTTTTAAATTTAAATTCAGTAGGAGCCATTTAATTTTTAAATTGTTTCTTGTAAACAAATGGACATTCTTTTTTTTATTTTCTTTTATATAGAGTTCATTTTCTCTAGTCACAACTTCCATATCGCTGAAGTACAGATCATTGCTACATATGCTTACGTCACTTTCATAATTTTCTAGGAATGTCTGTGGTAATTTATCTATTTTGCTTTTTCTTATCTCTGATGTGTATTTATTTTTTTTTTTGATTTTTGAGTATTCCCTCTCGATGTGCTGGTGTCGTTCGTCTTTTAAAAATCCGGATATCTGTTTTGTGAAGTTCTCTTCATTGCCTGAGTGCAACATGGGTGAGATATGGAACAAAAAAAAAAAAAGGAAAAAAAAAAAAAAAAATGTGCACATATTGTACATGTGATGATGTACACACATATATATATATACACATAGATTATAAGCATGCGGTTATGACAACTCTGCTGAGTGTGCAAAAGAGAGGGGAAAAAATAATAAAATAGAACCTTGGTCGAATGTGGTAAATTGGTTCATAAATATATCCGCTGGTTCTCGAAAGTGAAGATATAAGATTTTAATTTCGTTTTCATGCGTGTTGTCATTCTCGCTGTCATGAGAGTTGCCACTCTCGTTATCATTCTCGTTATCATTCTCGTTGTCATTCTCGTTTCCATTCTCGTTTCCATTCTCGTTTCCATTCGCTTTGTCATTATGGCTGCCATGCATGTTGCCACTATCGCCTGAACGAGTCATATCTTTTTCGCGCACGCATGTATTGTCATTATATGGAATGTTGTTGCGAAGAAGAATACCATCATTGTTGATGCTACTTCCGTTTTGGAAATTTTGAGTGATATCCTCATGCGTTCCTAATTGTGTGTGTTTTGCACTGATGAATCCTTTGGAGCTTTTGTTAATTTTCTGCTTTAGAATGTTTTTTAAGGAATTTAAAGTTTTGTCATCCGTCTTCTTTAGTTTTGTGAATTCGATGGTTGATATGTCATAGCTGCAGTTTATGCTGTCGAACAATTTGGTGATGAAAATTTTTTTCGAAACATTTGCACTTGCGTTGTTGTCCACTTTAGTACCCACTTTAGTGCCAGATTTTGTACTGGATCCATCTTCCATTTTGATTTCATGTTGACAAGATTTACATCTATCAGTTATTTCTTCCTTGATGAATGAGGTGAATTGCTTGATGCCATTTTTTAATTCCTTACTGACAGTTTTTGCTTCATCAATTGGAACTTCACTTTTAACCTTGATACAATCCACGTGTGTGTGTTCACATATGTTTGCTCTATCGTTGCTTTGGATCTCCCCGTGATTATTGTTGTCAATGTGTGCGTCACTTCCTGTGTGAGTAGAAGTGTTAGTTGTATTTTCTCCCTTTTTGACATATTTGGATTGAACTTGGTAGATGTATATTTCATTATTTTTTTTATGCATACATAAATATAATTTGACTTTTTTTTTGCGATAAAAGTGGTAGAGATACTTGTTTTGCCCAGAATTGTTACTATTGGTACTTGGGTAGTATGTAATAATTTTTGAATTTCCACAAATGTATGAAATAAGTTCTACTATTATGAAGTTATCAGTGTCTTCTTCACATTGGTCATTATTGTCATCTGAGGAGAGAATTTCGCACATGTCACTTGTGATTGGTTGGTTTTTATTAATCCTTTCGTCTCCCTCTTCCGCTTTCTCTCCCTCTTCCCCTTCTTCATCTTCTTCTTCTTCTTCCTCACATGAATTGTATTTTGTCTTATCTATCATTTCGTTTTTTATGTTTTCTTTTCTTGGATCCCTCTTTATATTTTCTTGGGCTGGGTGGGCTGAAATGAATTGTGGTGTCTAGATTGAAGTACCTATGTTGTGGTGTCTATATTGAAGTACCTATGTTGTGGTGTCTATATTGAAGTACCTATGTTGTGGTGTCGACTTTTCATTGATTACTTCTCCGTTGTCACTTCTTCAGAGCATAAGTGAAGGGAGTTGTTGCTCTTGATTTTTCTTTCTTTTTATGGAATTCAATTGATTGTTCTTTTTTTTTATTTTCATAATTTGTCTATTTATGTATTTCTGAGAATATGGGAAAAGATGAGGATTTTTTTTTTTCCCCTTTTTTTTTAAATTTTTTTAAAGATTTTTTTTTTTTTTTTCTGTGTGTCCTTTAAGGGTACTCCATTTGATAGGAACAACAAATTTGGGAATACTTAACCGTGGCGTTGTGAATAACCAAATGATTGAAATTTATCGTTTGACAAATGGTCAAAGTGGAGGAAAGCAATGAAACAGTAGACAAAATAGTGCAAAAAACGGATAAAAAATTGCCAAGAATTTCCTGCAAAAACATCAAACAGTGGTGTAAAAAAAAAAAAAAAAAAAAAGGGATGAAAAACTTGTTACTCCTTTCTAGAAAGCATAAAGAAACATCTGCATTACATTTACATGGATATTTTAAAAGTTTTTCGTTCCGTGATATTCACTACACTTCGTGCACGTTGAGGTATTTACCTGCATGCACAAAAATTGACATGTGTATAATTTGGAACAGCACAATTTGTTCGTTTGGCACCTGTATTGTGTAGTAGTTGCGACTTTGTATTTTTTTATTAGTGTACATAGGAGTATAATGTGTATACACTTTTTTTTTTTTTTCTCTTTTTTCTCTTTTTTCTCTTTTTTTTCTTTTTTTTACGCCCTCTACCCCTCTTTTGGATCTAAGACGATTAAAGAGGGGGATCGACCACGTGCCTAACTATACGCGCGTATGCTCAGGCACATAGTCATATACATACACAAATGAACATGTACATGTGTATACTCTCCAGGTACACATCTATAACTGCAGTGTGTGAGTTTCTATTCTATGTGTAAGATACATATTTTAGTGATGTCAAAGGAACACCATTCTTTCATACGGAAATTTTTCACAAAATGTAGGTTCACACATATCATCCCTATGTATATGTAAAGGCTAAACATGCAAAAAGGGGAGGAAGAGGGGGAAAAAAAAAAAAAAAACTTCCGGTAAAATTTTTATATGTGTACTGTTTTTTTTTTCTAATCTGATCAGGATAGCGACAAAAAATGAAAGACAAAATTTTCGTTTCAAATGTTATGCAAGTTGGTAAAAATACACTAAATAAGGTATATGTAGAATATGTTTTTTTTTTTTCTTCTTTTTTTCTTCAAATTGGTATGAATTAGATTAATATGTATATTATGTACACAAAAGTTTATACATACAAATTATCAGGAAGAAAAAAAAAAAAAAAAAAAAAAATATGAACTATTCATGAACTCGTGAAAACCTTAGAATTTTGAGAAGTAAACTGTTACGGTGTTTTTTTTTTTTTTTTTTTTTTTTTCTTTTCTTTTTTGTGAAGAAACTGGGTAATAATTTATATTTACATTTACATTTACATATTTTGCTATTTTTTTCTTGACTTATAACTAGACAGTGACATTATGAGAAAAATAAAAAAAAAATTTCAAAATGGTGTTTTATTTGAAGATGCATATGTTTGATAATTTTAGTTTATAGGGTTATGAGTGTACGTGTTCAGTGGGTGTGTGTAGTTGGGGAGGGGTAAGGTAAAATTGGTATATAACAGAAGTGTAGGTGTGAAGCAGATATTTATCAAAGCGTTCTTTTTCCCTTGTAATGAGCGAGAAAATGTAGCATGTATGTATACATATCTGTACGTATGAAGCTCACGAACACTTGAGAGTATGTAATGAAAAATGCACATGCGGATTTTGTTGATTGTTGCGAACAAGAATGTGTTGATCCCTTGATGATGATAATGTGTTTTCAATATACCCATAGGTATGAAGCTTTCTTCCTCTGCTTTCATTCAATTTGCCTCACCTTAACTGAAAATATGTGCACCTATTTTAACAGATAGAAGTCATTTTAGTAAATAGCAGTGAATCATTTTAACTGCTCGACATTCGTTAACTAATTAAGCAATGAAAATAGGTGTTAATGAATTTTTTTTTTTTTTTTTTTTTTTTCTTCACTAGTGCTATTGTGTAACTTATACCAACTTAGAAAAACTATGCATAATTTAAGAAAAAAAAAAAAAAAATGACTGAACTGATAAGCAAAATTTCAAACAGGGAGTATTATGAATTCCTTTAAATCTACACCCCAAAAGTTGTAGCTTCCTCCTTTTTGCATTTGTAAAAAAAAAAAAAAAATCTTATTTTTTAACCAATTAATACTTATATATTTTTTTTTACTCGAAAACATATGAGCATGTTACATATTTCAATTTTTGTATTCACCTCTGGGATAACAAAATACACATTTGAGTATAGCGTCAACGTATGAACAATTCGGCCATTTGTATGGAAGAAAAAGAGGAAAAGGAAAAAAAAAAAAAAAAAAAAAAAAAAAAGTATACAACAATACAAGACTATAAGAATAAAAGAATATATGAATACAAGACTATAAAACAAAAAACTACAAAAACAGTAGACTTCAAAAATAGAAGACTACAAGAATAATAAAACAGGACATAGTATAATATAGTGTAATATAACAAAATAAAATGAATTAAAAGAATTGAAATAAAATTTAGCTCATTTTCTCCCCTTGAAGAAGCGTATCTCCATTAGAGTGCTTATCACCTGCACCTGAGATCAAAGCCGAACTTAATCTTTGGAGTGCTAGGAAAGTGAGAGAAAAACAACAGGATTATTTTATTTTTATTTTTTTTTTTTTTATGTGAAGAAAAACAGCTATTCGTGTTAAGACTTAGGAAAAGAATCACATAATAGAAACCCAAAACAGGAGCACAATTTATATCCCTCTGTAAGACATAAAAATAGAACCATCGTCATATTCCACGAGCACTACTACGTGAACCCAAATCTCAGTCGTAACTCAGCTCAGGTAGGATTACAATTCCCTCCACCCTTCCACCCCTTCCTCATCAGCTCCAAATGGATATTAATTTGGAAGAACGAGCATATACATCCCCACTGTTACGGTACATATACCAGAAGAATGAATCAGGAAAGAAAAATAACGATGAAGAAAAAAAATTTGGATTCACACCATTCAGTATAAGACTAGGAAGTTTACCAATAAAAAATGCCAGTAACAATAAATATATGTCAAACATAAATTCATTAAACATTGTAAATATGTTACCATTATCTTTATTCTCAAATTATAATAGTAACAATATGAGTTCTACTGATATATTATTTTTACCAAAATTTTCTACTTTTCTTTTTTTCACAATTCCTATTTTTGTCATGTTGCCAAACCTGACTTTGTACACCAAGCATTGGTTCTTTTTTGCTCCAAAGTAGGTTATGTGGTTACATGTGGTGGGTTCGTGGTTACATGTGGTGGGTTCGTGGTTACATGGGGTAGATTCAGATCTGCATATGTTTGTGTACCCGAGGGGACATGCTATCAGAACTGCTTACAAACATTGAGAAGTGGATGCCATGAAGACGTACCCATTTCATTCATATTCCTCTTCATCTCTAACGTTTTGCAATTATCAATGCTGTGAGAAAGTGCAGCATTTGAATGATGTGCATTATCGAGTTATGTTTGGTGTCTTCCTTACTTTTATACTTTATCGCTACTCCCTCCCTACTACTTCTCTCTCCTTAGTGTTATCTCAATTTTAGGAATGAGAGAAGAGGGGGATTTTTTTTTTTTTTTTTTTTTTTTTTTCCATTCAGTTTTACCGCATCAATTCAGTGTAATTTCGTTCATTTACTTTTGCCGCCTCCATTTTGTTTAACTTCTTTCATTTTATTTTTTTTTGAAAACATAAAAAAATATATTTTTTTTTTTTTGCAACTTTGGCATTACAATGCATATTTTAAGATATATGCTCTTTGGGAAATCGCAACGTGTCTGAGTGTAGGAAATTTGGAGAGCGTGTATAATGAGTGACAGTAGTTAATTGTTCTGTGTATGTGGATAATTACTGGGTAGATCCAAGTGGGTGAGCAACCCTGTATATGTACAGTAGTGACAGGGATGCATGTGCAGTAGCGATGGAACTGCATACACTTGTAGAGCAAAGGTGGAGAAGGAAAATTAAATATTTCTCTCTTTTGAAGAAAACAAGAGGAGATGCGAAAAGAAGAAATGCTTTATATCTTGTTCAAGAGGGGACGTCATGGCGAAGTTGAAAGGGTTTAGGTAGTTCCATGGCACGAAGAAGGGCAAAAAAGGAGGAAAAAAAAAGGAGGAAAAAAAAAGGAGGAAAAAAAAAGGAGGAAAAAAAAAGGAGGAAAAAAAAAAAGTAAAGAAAAGAAAAGAAAAGCAATGCCAAGATTAGCAGAGACGAACTGAAAAGAAAGAAATACATTTTAAATTTTGAGCATATGCCCAAGTTAACGTAAAATATACATTTTTGTAAAATTAATTGTACAGTTTTGCGCTCCCTTAATGTAGGCATTAAAAATAAAGAAGCACATTGGGAAAAAACAAAAAAAAAAAAAAAATAATAAAATAAGGTGAAAATACAAAATAAAAAAAAAATAACGTGGCAGCAACAACTTTTTTTTGCGAATCCTCTGTTAATATATAAATTAATTTTAATCTGGGTCCATGTTTATCATCACAAATGGGTTATTTTAAGTAAAAAACGTATTCCTTTTTTTTGACCGATCGAATGTAAGTTTTCATCCTTGATCCTTTTTTTTTCCACATTGAGAAAAAAGAGAAGAGATGAAAAAGTGAGAACACAAAGATGATAAAGTCATTTATTAACAACGGGATAAAAATATACTCGTTGACATCTGGGAAAGTGAGTCCAGAAGGACGGGGAATTGGTGGTTTGGGAAATGGAGGAGGGGAAAGCAACACCAAAAAAAAAAAAAAAAAAAAAAGTGGAAATGTTGGAAGTAGTGAAAATTCAGTAGAAATTTTACATGATCTTGAATTTTCTCAAAAAAGTGAACAAATAAAGGTAAGTGAAGATGGTAGGTACCTATGCATTAGTGGAATGTATCCACCTCAAGTAGGATTGTATGATACAAAAGAAATGTCGATAAAGCATAGGAGGCATTTCGATGAAGAGGTCATTAATTTTGAATTCTTAAGCAATAATTATGAAAAATTAGTTTTTTTATGTAAAAATAGACATATAGAATTCCACAATGCAGCTGGTAAATATTATAAAATGAGGATTCCAAAAGAAGGAAGGAATTTAATGTATAATAAGGAGAATTGTAATTTATATATTTGTTCATCATTTGATGATATATACATTTTAAATTTACAAAAAGGTTGTTTTGAAAGTTCATTAAGGAGTAAAAATGAACATAATAATTTTATATGTAAGAATATGCAGTTACCTATTATTGCTACTGGAGGTTCAAATGGAATTCTAGAAATATGGGATGAAAGGGTGAAAAAAAGTATAAATTGTTTAGATATCCATGAAATGGAAGAATTAACAGATTGTGCCTTTTCAGAAAGTGGTTTAAAATTAGCAGTAGGAACGGAAAAGGGAATTGTAAAACTTTTTGATATAAGACATAGTAAACCTCTTTTTGTTAAAGATCATTGCAATGATTTACCAATAAAAAAGATAGAATTTATAAACACTAATAAGAGGACAAGTGGTAGTGCAGAAAAATACTCCTATACCAGTCTTACCCATAGGTTTGATAAAAATGAAAGTAACAGAAATAGTGACTATGCTGGAGGTCGTAATATTACATCAAATGAATGGGTAGCATCTGCTGACTCGAATTGTATCAAAATATACAACGAAAATGAACAGAATTTGCTATCATTCCATGTAATCAATTTTGAGAGTGAAAATAGTAGAAATAGAAATAAGAACAAAAAGACAAATGTTTTCAAGTTATTAAATAATGATACGGTGAACATCAACTCATTCACATTTTACAAAAATTCTGGATTATGTTTCATTCCATGTGATATGCAAAATGTATCCCTTTACTTCATTCCTTACATTGGAATAGCTCCACAGTGGTGCAATTTCCTGGATAATATTACAGAAGAATTAGAAGAGAAAGAAAGATATTATAACAGTAATGAAAAGGATGATGAATATCATACCAATGCTAATAATCTTTTTGATGATTATGTTTTTGTTACAAATGAACAAGTTGAACAGTTAAATATAGGTCATCTCAGAGGAACGTCCAATTTAATTTCCTATCTGCATGGATATTATATCCCTACTAAAATATATGCAGATATTAAAAGTGTTGTCGAGGCCAATAATTTAAATCAAGTGAAAAAAGCAATTGTGCAGAAAAGACTTGAGAAGAAGCAACAAATGAGAATTCCTGATAAAAATGTTTTGATTAATAAAGACTATGTTGACAAGTTGCTAAACAGGGTTAACAAGAAAATAGACAAGAAACAGAAGGCACTTATAGATGCAGAGGAGTTGTTGAAGGATGAGAGATTCAACAAACTGTTTTATGATCCTGAATACATGGTGGAGACTGTTGATTTGGGGGATCAATCAGATTAAAAAATGGAATAATAAAAAAAAAAAAAAAAAAATGATCTTTCTCCTTCGCATGAGCATTTGACACGAATCTTTGTTTATTGGCTAATTTCTCAATTACTAGACTTTTTTTTTTGTCACTTTTTTTTTGCCTTTTTTTTTTTTTTGTCTCCCCTTTCTCCCACTTGGTGGAGGATAAAATGTGGGAGGAGTATAACAGAACAGGTCTATATATTTTTTTTTTTTTATTTATTTATTTTTTTTTTTTTTTGCCTCTCTTTTTTCTGAACATAGTTTTCACGTATTAACCATATGTGGAAAGTGGCTACACAATTTGGTAGAAAAATAAAAAAAAAAAAAAAAATAAAGGGGAGAAAATATTGTGGAAATGTTACTCTAAGAAAATCCAGTACAATCCACCGTTGGAAAAGTTAAAAAAGGGGAGGGAAAAAAACATCTTCTCTTTCATCCGAGAGAAAGAGAGAATTGCTAATTAAGAAATTGTTGGAAGATTGAAACTTCTTCAATCCAAATATCAAGAAGAAGGAGATATTTTTCTCCTAACAATCCGAATAGGAGTTCTAAATGAACATGTCATTTTTATTTATTTTTCCATTATTTGAGAATCGTACGTTGCGACGTATTACATTATGCTCCTGTTTTTCTCGTTCTGTGGCTCTATCTTTTTTTTTTTTTTTTTTTTTTTCTTTTTTTTTCCGTTCTTACCATTTTTAGCACTTTTACCATTTTTACATTTACTTACAACCACAAAGAATCCAAATGTATATATCTTTCCTGGTTCTCGTCATTTTGAAAGATCATCAACAAAAAATTTACTCATTCCATTAATTAACAGCATTTTAGATTTGTTAACATTATAATTAACTACTTTTCTCTTATAACTTTTTTTTTTTTTTTTTTTTTTTTTTTTTTTATGAAACACATAACACAGCACTACTAATGTGCATGTAAGAACCGATCACATTAGGAGAGAAAAAAAAAAAAAAAAAAAAAAAAAAAAAAAATCTACACTTAGTAGAGCAGTGAAAATAAATCTTCTTTAGCAGTAGACTTTTTTTTTTTTTTTTTTTTTTTGCACAGCTGGGGAAAAAAAAAAAAAATTTAGAAAAAAAAAGAACAAAAAATTAAAAGAAAAAGAACAAGTTAGAAAAAAAAAAATAAAATAAATTAAAATAATGGTGCATAAGTCACATGTGAAAAGTGAAACATTTATATCCTACATCTGATGAACTAGTTTTACCGATTCTGGTAATTGCTCAGCAATTTTGTGTAGGTACTTGAAAAACCCTCGCCCCCTATCCCACCTCTGCATGCTTGAATATATACTTAAACTTTCTTTTTGTAACGTGATTCTTACGTAGAACAAATCTGTAACCTGTGTATTTGTTCTATGCATGCGTGCTTGTATTTTTATTTATTCATTCATTTATTTATTCATTTATTTATTCACCTATTTTATTTATTTATTTTATTTATTTACTTATTTACTTATTTACTTATTATTTTATTTTTTTTTTTGTTTTTTCTGCTTCATTTTTACTAATCATTGAATCTGTTTTTGTACTTTTATAATTATTATTACTATTATTTTTTTGAAGCAAATCTGTTTGTTCCAATTGTTCTTTTTTGTTTACCTTTATTATATTATTATTTTATTCAATTTTATTCTATTTTATTCTATTTTATTCTATTCTATTTTATTTTATTCTATTTTATTTATTATTTCCTGACCGTTTTTGTTAAGTTGGCATTTACTGGACATTAGGCAGCTTTGCTCTAACGTCTTTGGTTCCATTATTGTACCTGTGCGTGTGTGTGTGTGTGTAATTAACTGTTTTGTTATGTTTCTCTTTCTGCCATATTGCTTTTTCATTCTCATTCTGTGTTCTAGAACATTTTCATATTATTTTTTTCATAGTTCTGGATTGTAATCACCTATTTCGCTGGACTTATCAGTAGGTGTTATTTCTCCACTTTTGGTGAGTGTGTAAGAATAGTTTTGTTTTTATTTTTCCTGGTTTTAATCACCTATTTCGCTGGACTTATCAGTAGGTGTTATTTCTCCACTTTTGGTGAGTGTGTAAGAATAGTTTTGTTTTTATTTTTCCTGGATTTTATTCTATTCCATTTTTTCCTTCTAGTGGCATTTGCCACCTTGCGTGGGTTCTGAGTTCGCGCTGCTATATATATATGTGTGTGTGTAAAATTCCAATAATCATTTTCTGCATCAATAACACAGCTTGATGCAGACACAGTAAGCAGCTTGGATTCGAAATGCTCGTAATTTATTTTGAGAATCTTGTAATAAATTTGGAGAGAATAATATTTTATGTTGAATTGTTTCTTCTCTACCTCTCGGCCCTTTTTCTCTGTAGCTGATTTTTGCTACCCCCGGAGGGCGGTTCTTGTTTCTGAGTCAGGTGAAATGCACCGCTTAGAGAATTTGTGTACAGGTAGTGAAGTAGTAAAGTAAAGAGACAAAGAAGTATAAGTGAGGAAAACAAAAAGAATGACTAGTTCAGCACATGTCTTTTACAAATAATATATAGCTTGCTTATTTTGCCAAATAGACGAGGAAAGGAGAGAGCTTTAATTACACTATAAGAAAAAATAGGACAGAGACAGTTAAGTATAATTTGCTGATATAAACATATACGTCCATATGTGAACTCTTGCAAGGTACTCTAAAAATATTTTTATATGAAGGAGAAACAAGCATTGATTTTTCCACCAATTCTCCATCTCTTATTTATATGTCAAAGTGTGGAATCAACAAAGAATCATTCTATATAGACAGAAAAAGTACACGATAAGGAACATTTTTTTTACGGAATTTTATTTCAGAATCACTTGAGCGTTTAGGAAAAATGTTATGTTGACATGTTAAATTAGGTAAAATAAGAAAATAATTTTTCCTCTAAGTAAGGCCAAAGAAAAATAGACACAATCATCTAACTTTTTATGGCCATTTTGTATCTACAATTCCACGTGGGTGTAGATAGAAAGAGGTGCTTTTATTTCTTTTTTGATGAAAAAAAAAAAAAAAAAAAAAAAAAAAAGTATTGTAATTATACACCATCGGTGAGTAAAAAAAGAAAAGGAATATATAATTCTATAAAAAGGTGATATACAAATATAATATTACATACAGTTGTGGAAGAAGAAATTCAAGAACACAAATAATCAAAGGAAAGTGCAAATTATCTAAAGGGAAAAAAAAAAAAAAAAAAAAAAGATATAAAATAAAATATATTTGACAATAAAATAGTGTACAATAAAATTCATTCAATTGATAATAAGAGGTAGGTAGTTCAAAGTCCTGAAGACGTAACAAGAAGAGAAAAAAAAAAAAAAAAAAAAAAAACACATGAGATAAAAATGAATCTGAATAACCAAGGGGGTGTACGAATAAGCAGCAAAATGGATGCGGACGGGTTAATTTCCGGATGTCTAAAGGAAAAAATGGAAAAAGCAAATGAGGATGTAAAATCGATTATAAATTATGTTCGCAGTAATAACAAAAATGAAAAGAATGTAAATTTTGAAGATCAAACTTTTTCAAAGGAGAAAGAAGGGGATAATAAGTGGAATTCTTATCGAAGTGTTTCCACTAATATATATCTCAACAACTTTAGTGTTGATAATGATATGTTAAACCAAAGTTCTAATGAAGAGTATGTTTCTATGAAGACTGTTTTGGACACGGAAGGGAAAAAGCCAGATGTGAATTACAACCAATGCAATACTATAAAAGAATACAGTATGATGTTTTCATTAGAACACGAACTTTTTCCTCCAAGCTGTGAATTAGTTGACTCAAAATGTAAAACAGATTTTGATCATAGGGATAAATTACAAGGAGGAGAAAGTGAAAAATATGAAGCACGTAAAGAAAAAGAAGGAAAAAATTTCATTTCAACTAAGGAAGATTTAAAAAAAGCTAGTTACCCAGTAGATCATGTTGCAACAAATTCGAACATTGAACATGCAAATGGATATGTAATTCAAGGTAGAAAAATAAAAACATTAGACAAATCAACAACAGATCAGAATAATAATACTAGGAATTGTAATATATCGAATAATTCTCACGATCAAAAATTACGTAGAGAGTTTACTCATATTATTCCAGATGAAGAACCTCCTGCTGAGAAGGAAAAAAAAATTTCCAATTCTGTTATGAAAAAAAATGCAACTAAGAATCTAAACAATGTTTCTATTGTGAATCATGATTTAAGGAAATCTTTTTCAGTGAATCAAATGAGCTTGAGAAATTACACACTTCACTATGAAAACAGCTTACAAATGGAATTTTCAAAAGGTACACATAGTCTTAGTTTGCGCGAAAATCCTACTTTTAAAAATAAAAGCCTCACGATTGATTATGACCAGAAGTCTTCTAACAAAAATTCCGAAGTTTTAAAGGATAGCCTCGACAAGGGTCTGCATGATCACGCTCCTGGAGTAAACAAATTTGAATCTGATAATGGTGATGCGACGAACAGTGATGAGGTAAAATTTAAGGAACCTAAATTGGAGATGGAAAAATCCGTGAAAGAGTCTATTTCCAGGGATGAGATGGCCAAAGAGAGGGTAAGCACAAGTGAAGAATCAGAAGAAAAAGAAGCGGTAAGCATATTTTTCAAGGGAGATAGAAGGTTTTTCAATTTCGATTTGCCAGCTAATGAATTAATCGAGAAAAGTAGTTTCGAAATTATTGAATTAATCAGCGAAGGAAGTTTTGGCACAGTTTATAAGGCCAAGTGGAATGGCAAAATGGTTGCAGTAAAAAAGTCTCAAATTCAAATGTCCCTGGAAGGAATGAGGTCTATTGTGCGAGAAATTAATACTTATCGATCTGTTTCGCACGAAAATATTGTGAAGTATCACGGTAACCCCAGCATCGCGCATCTGTACTCTGTCTATGTCTAGTACATTCAGCATGACTTTATTTTGCTCTACGTTTATTTGTTCCACTATTCCATGTTTGCACTTGTTTCGCTATTCAATTTTTCTATTTATTCATTTTTTTTTTTTTTTTTTTTTTTTCACGTTTGCTTTGCCACCTTCGCAGGAGTGTGCATAGACCAATCCTTCATAGGCCTTATCTTAGAATACATCCCCAAAGGAAACGTGTTCGATCTGTTATATAACAGCACATCGGTTGTACCTTACGAGACTCGTATACATATGGCTTTTCAATTAGTGAGCGTCCTCCATTACTTGCATTCCGTTAAGGGAATTGTGCACCGAGATTTAAAAACCAGCAATTTCTTGTTTGACGAAGAGGTAAGAAATATATCCAATCGGTACTTATAGCACGTGAGAAGTGAAGAGTGACAAGGAGGAAGTTCATTTTATTAACGTCTTAGGAATTACGCATCTCTTGATAATGACGCATGCGCACTTTTTCCACGTTACTCTTCGTTGCCTCGAGCCTTATATTTACTAATCCTTCCCCTCACAAGCTCGATCATCGCGATCATCGCTATCACCGCCCTCACCACCATCATCATCATAACCATATTACTACCCACTCACACACATTCTCCATTCTCATATGCAGTATAACATAAAAATATGCGATTTTGGAAAAACAAGGAAATTAAGTAAAGACGGAAAAATTATTCTAGAAGATAATGGAGGTTCCCCTAGATACATGGCCCCTGAGTGTTTCATCGAAGGTAGAATCTACTTTTTCTCACTGATACTTCCATTGATCGTTAAATTTGTGCATGCTCCCCTTTTCTTTCATATTCTTAATATAATATAGTACCTAATATTGTATTCGTCTTTTTTTTTTTTTTTTTTTTTTTTTTTTTACACTTTCTACTATTTTTCTAAAAAATTTGTGAAAGGAGTAACGCTATCGCCACCCGTTACCCCATTTTGCTCCCGTCCTTGGGTGCAAAAATTAATTCCAATTTCGCTCATTTCTTGATCTTTCGTTGATTTTTCATCACTCGTTTGTTGTTTCATTATGTATGTGTTCTACTTCTGTGGCTAATTTAAATCCTATATATTGACCTTTTGTAATTTTTGCAGGAAACTCAATAGATGAGAAATCGGACATTTGGGGTCTCGCATGTTGTCTCATCGAAATTTTTGCAAGTCAGATTCCATTTCAGCATATAAAGCAGAAGGAAGGTAAATGAAGAAGAATTGTAGTGTCCACTGATTAGATAATGTGAAGACACAAATTATGTGTATCGATATGATTTACATATATATGATCATTCATGCGAGAATAGAAAAAAAAAAAAAAAAAGAAAAGAAAAAAATAAAAACACGTGAGTACATTCTACATTATACATGTCTATCACCTTTTCTATTTTTAGATGTTGTCATAGAAATTTTAGTGAACAAGCAAAAGCCAAACATCCCTAATTGTTTTCATCCGAAGCTGTACGAACTGTTAGAGAAAAGTTTTTCTACAAACCCAGAAGAAAGACCATCATGCTCAGAATACTTAAAATTGCTCCAAGAGTTTTATTCAAAAAATGGGAAAAGTTAAAAAAATAAATATGTTAAAACTTTTACGCTACTTTGCGTATTTTTGGGGAAAAAAGAAAAAAAAAAGAATAAGAACAAATAAGTGAAAATTACATTTGGAGATAATTTTCTGTTCCTTTTTTTTTTTTAATCTATACAAGGGATGGAGGTTATTTATTTTTTTTTTTTTTTGTTTATATTTTTCCTACCCTTTTTAATAGTTACCCTTTTGGCCCATAATTTTATTTTTTTTTTTTTGTTTACGTTTTATATATTCGCCCTGATTTATTCTTCAATATTTTTAAAACGTATTTTTTTAGATTTTATTATGTTTCTCAATTTGACATAAAAAGGCATTTTATAAAAATGCAACAAATCAAGAGAGATTCAAAATTCGTAATTGACAATTTTGCTTATTTTAGAATTTTTTTTCTTTCTACATTTTGCTGCTTAAAATGCAGGTAATGCAAAATTTGTATGTCTACCGTGAGAAGACGTGAATATGTGAAATTTAAATATTTGTAAAAGCACTCTTTTTTTTTTTTTGTCTTTTTTCAAGTTATTAAAACATGAAATTTATATCCATGCAGAATATCGATTTAACGATTACAAAATTTTATTATCGTTTAATTTCATGTAAGGAGGATTTAGAAGTGGAAAATAAATTATTACGCTTATTTGTGTAAGACTTTTTAAATGTGTTTAATGTAAGGGGAAAAAATTGGTACACTCCAGAAAAAAGAAAAAAAAAAGATAATTGTTTTGTTTGCAACATTTAGTATTCTCTGCAATTCAGTGACCAATGCAGAGAAAGACACATAGAAAAGGAAGATTTGACGCTTAAAAAAAAAAAAAAAAAAAAAAAAAAAGTGGATTTATATGAGTGAAAATGTGTTTTTGTTTAGGATAATATTATAAATTATGCTTTTTAAGAATGTGTCAAAATGGAGAAAAGGTTTTTATGTTCGAAGAATGCTGAGCCGCTTTACACCATTTCAGGAATAAAATGAGTGTGCTTAAAAAAGAGTTTGTGCAGAGCTTTTGAAAGAAATACTATTTAACATTTGTATGAGAATAATTTTGTAATATTTAATAAGGGGAATTAGCATTTAAAATTCCAAATAAGTATAAAAAAAAAAAAAAATAGCATGTACTTTTTAATGGGGCCATTAACATTTACACTCTCTGTGGTTCTACGAAAGTTGTTCTATAAACTAAAAGAGATATGAATGAAGTGGGAGGTTCGGATATCACTAATTTGAGCTTCAAAATGAGGAAAAAGGAAGAGAAAATTTTACTGAAAATTAATTTTATATCTACATAATTTTATGAGAATGATCATATATTTACTTAAACATATGAACGATATTTTTGCATACTCTATTTGGATGAAAGGAAAATTATGGATTTTTTTTTTTTTTTTTATTAAAATACGCCATTAATGTCACATACATGTCTTGTGAATTCTGCACAGTTTTTGTTCTGTCCTTTTATGACTCTCCGAAAAAGGCTTAATTAGGACAATTCTTTTTTTCCCCACGTTTGTTTAATTGGAAAAAATAAAATGGTGTAGCTAGCCATTATGAAGTAGCCAGTTGAGAATTAAAAAAAAAAAAAAAAAAAAAAAAAAAAAATTATTAAAATAACAAAAAATGGCTAGATGCCACATCAAGCCTTTTAGCACCAACTAACTAATTTTTATTCCTATCCAAGTCAGATGTTCATGTTAAGTTTTAAAAAAAAAAAAAAAAAAATAGTCCATTTCATGAAGAAATGTAGATATGTGTCTACCTTTTTACAAATTGTAAAAAGTGAGCATAAGCACATGCATATATATTATTATAAATATATATTTTTTATTTTTCAAGTCTATTTTAATTTAATCATTTGTATTCTATCCGATTTTTCCATATTTAGCATTTTCGTTGCTTTAATTTTTTTTTTGTTTTTCCACATTCCGTTTTAGGTATAATACTGCTTATTCGGAGAGAGACATTTTGAACAAATCTTTCACAGTTGCATCATTTTTTCAGTTTCTTCATTTTTTCAGTTGCTTCATTTTTTCAGTTGCGTCATTTGTTCAGTTGCTTCATTTTTTCAGTTTCTTCATTTTTTCAGTTGCGTCATTTTTTCAGTTTCTTCATTTTTGTAGCCCTTTTACGAGTGTCTACTGTCCACCTCGATTTTGCCTCGCTTTTATTTGGTCTTGTGCAATTTTTCGATTAAGGACAATTAAAACTTTATCGGTTTATAAGTCAACATAAAGAGAAAGTAGAAAAAGAAAAATATAAATAATAAAAAAAAAATAAAAAAATAAAAATGAAAGGAACAAAGGTCGTATCATGTTTCTTCCTCTTATTAGTCTATATAAATGTTTCCGTATATGCAAAAATGAATGTTACGTCCAACAGTTCTACTCCCAGAATTGGAGATGAAGGAGAAACAGATGAAAGGGTCATAACATGCGTTACTGAATATGTTATTAAAGGGGATTTAGAAATTGATGATGGTGGATTTTGCAGCAGTAGCATAAGTTCCCCATCGGAACCAGAATCATGTAATTGTGGTGATGAAGCATCACCAACCCCTGGGGGAGAGAAACCTGGGAATTACTGCGATAACTATTATGACATAACTTTACTTGTTGAAGAATCAAGTTTTGTGCAAAAAGATTATTGGATAAAAGGAACAATCCCGTTTTTAGAATCAATGGTTAGAAATACGAGAGTAAGTAAAGACAAGGCACATATGTCCATAATATTATTTGCAAAGGATCAACGCGTTATAGTTCCATTCACCGATGAAATAAGTCAAGATAAGGAAAAGTTAATTGATAAAATTAGAACAATAGATGATGTGGGGTCAAGTCCGGATACATTATATGTATATGCATTAGAATACGCTTTAGAAAAAGTCATATATGGAAATGGTACTAGAAAGGATGCTCCAAAGGTAGCAGTGTTATTTTACTATGGGTTTGATTATGGGGCGAATAAGGGTTTGATACCAGATATAGTTGAAGATTACAGAGATAAAAATATAAAACTTATAATAGTTGGAATTGCTTTAGGTAATAGGGATAATGCATATTTACTTGCAGATTGTTCTATTGGTGATGAAAATTGTGCGAATGTTATATTTAAACCTTGGGACTTTGTAATTCCAGCTGCTGAGCAGGTAAAGGTAAAAATATGCAACAATGAGGAAAATGCTGGTTTACGTGGTGTCTATCCTTCTAGAGATTGAGGAGAGATGTGCAAAAGTGAAAAGTCAAATGGGTGACCCTTGGGGTGGTTATGCGTGAATTCCGAACGCTGCGTAAATATGGGACGAGAAAAAAAAAAAAAAAAAAAAAAAAAAAAAGTACAAAAAGGAAGAAACATAAAAATGGAAAGAGAGCTCAAAACGGAACGAACTAACGTTTATTCAATTTTTATATGACAAGAGGGGACTAATTCGTTTCTTAGGTGTGTGCGCACTGGGTAGAGAGAAGAAATGTACATTTGCATTTATATGTTAAAAAGACAATACAAAATTCAGAGGAAAAAAAACTGTATTTTTATGACCACATTTTTATCTACATGTTTACAAGAAAATATTTTATTAATGTTGTTTATGTTACCTATTCTCATGAATATTTGTGAATGTGTATATGGATTTTTTGTGGCATGTATGTGATGTTTTTCCCCCGTGATATACTATTTGCTGAATGAAGAGAAATTATTAGGGTACCACTAAAAATATGAACACAAATACAAATTAACATATTACGAATAACTTAAAAAACCATAATACATATTCTTAAAACACATGCAACTGAAAAAGAGAAAAGGTTTTGGTATTAAGAAACATATTATGTAAGTTCTTTCCTTTTATTATCAGAAAGAGAGTGTAATGTTTCTGTGTGTGTTGGTTGATTTCTTGGCAACAACGTTTTTGCAACTATTTGGTGATGACTATTTTTTTTTTTTTTCCTTTTTTGTCGTTGTAGTGTTGGTATGTGTTCTTTTAATAGTTAATTTTAAAGTTGTAACTTTTAATATAAGAAAGTTTATTTTTACATGAGTATTGGTATTGTAAAATATCGAGTTGTCACGTCCTCCGGTTAAAATGTTTTCATATTATTTGTTAATACGTTTGAAAAGATGTAAATTGTAAAAAAAAAACGAAAAAATAAAATTAAAAAAAAGCAAAATAAAACAAAAGAAAAAAAAAAAAAAAAGAGTTTGCGTGGATATAAACAAAGGCAGATAAATGTATTTGATAAAGGAATGGATACAAAATGAACAATATAGGGAAAATATGTTAGCACGTTTATTTTTAATGATCCGAGGAATGTTTTTTCTTATAGTGCATGAGAGCATAAAACGGTTCTTTAATTGGTATGATAAATAGGTCTAAATCTAAAAAGGGAATACACCAAATGGGGGACTAACTAAATATACAAGTGAGTGTTAAACTATAGGTGCTTTCTATCTCACTCCGAAGAAAAAATGAACTTAATTGAAAATCATTTCTTTTTATACAATTTTTTTTTTTTTTTTTTAAATCAGCTAGCTTCATTCAAAATGCTACATTATGTAAGTAAAATATAAGTTGAATTTTTTTATACGAGCGTCGAATTTATATTAAGCAAACTTATTTGTGTTTCAGAGTAGGAGAGAGTTTCTTTGCTTTTCTTTGTCTCCTTGTTTTATAATGTCATGAAGACAATTTTTTATGTAATAAAGTTGTAAAGGGCCATTTTTTCTTTTCTTTTTATAAATTTTTTTTTTTTTTATAAATGTTATGAGAACAATATTTTGTATAACAAAGTTGCAAAAGGCTTTTTTTCCCCCATTTTTTTTTGTGTATTCTTAGATTAAGGGTGAAAACATCTTTAGTCCTTGCTCAAAAAAATTGCTTTTAATTTTAATAAGAAGCTTTGTCAAAGGCTTTTCAAATGAAACGAAAAAAAAGTTAAGTATATGAATTCTCTTTTTCCGTGTATTCTCTGATAAGTTTCATAATTAATAAGAGTAACGTGAAGGTGACCTTGAGTGTTTGCGTTCACTGGATATTGAAAGTTGCAAAAAGTGAGAATTTTTAAAATGCCCATATAATGTACTCCTTCTAATAAGCTACGGTTTGGCGAATCTCTTCATGTTCGCCTGTCGGAAAGGAAAAGAAACGTTTTCAGGTGTGGGTATGATTTTAACAGGAAAACCATTATGACAAAAATTTTCGCATTATTATATGTGTATTTAAAATTTTGCATGCAGGGTGGGGGAGGTAAAAAGAAAAATGTATTTTATTTTAAAAGATTATTTTTTGTGCATTTTTTGAAGAAATGAAAATGTAGAATAATGAAGAAATTACAAAGAGGGTTAAATTGTGCGCATGTGGGAGTTAGGAATATTTTGGAAAACTCACTCAACAGTTTTATACATTAACCCATGGATAATGATTTTCTTGCACATGCAAAATTAAAAGGTTTCACATTTTATGAACCAAATTGCGTGTGACATAAAATATATTTTACTCTATCATGTTTATATATGAAGCAAGATAAGGCACGAAAATGTGCGCATAATAATATATAAAAAAAAAACAAAAATCACTGAAGTATGGATGTATCATTTCTATTTCTGTGCTTGGGGAAGAGTAAAACTAAAATGTTCGCAGAATTGTTTATTTATAGGTATATATGCACCCAAATAAGGAAATATATGAAATTATTACAATTTTTAAAGGTACACTATCGATGTTGAAAATATAACTCAATAAACATCATAAAGTTACCAAAAAAATTGAAATAACACAGAAGTATGAGATGATAATCATTTGGCAACATAAAAGATGGAACCAATGACTAATCTCAGTTCTGTGTAGTGTGTGCCTGCATGACTCATGTGTGATTGTGTTTTTGTGTTTGTGTTAATTAGTGGAAATGCGAAATAAAATGGTAATATAAAATAACCAGAATAATAGCGAAAAGTAAATATTGTTATAACTTATGAAGTAGAAATATTAAGAGTAGATAAATATTGTCTTGGGCGAACAAAAGCAATATATATATATATATATATACATCTCTCTTATGTTTTTTATATTAAAAAGGTATTTAAACATATTATATATATGTACATAAGGAAATTGAAAAAGTAATTTTTTATTTTTTTATATTTCTCCTTAAAAATAACATTTTTTAGAGAATTTCAAAAAGTTACAGATTGTGTATTTTATGCGATTATCAATGCTTGTAAAAAGAAGTGTTATAAAAAAGTATATTCCAATTTAGAAAATTTTTAGCTGTATAATTTTTTCAACATCCTGCTGAAACGCAAAAATTAGAAAAATATATAAGGAGTTGCAATAATATATAAATGTTGATATAGACATATATAAATTTGCCATAATGTTTATGTAAAATTACGCATGTTATGAGGAATAATACACATGGAAAGGTTAAAAAACGTATATTCCAAATAAGTCTATCAGTCGAATAGTATATGCGTTGTATTTACTACTACAAAAGTAGAGTACTATACTTGTTTACAATTATTTTTACGAAAATTTTTTTCTCTTTTTGGAATAAAAAAATGTAATTGTTCTTATATTATTTGCAATAATTAGAAGTCTTATATTTATATATGCACATGATAAAAAACCGGAATGACATTTACAAATGTGTTAATCACAATATAAACATATTTTGTATGGTGCAAAGTAGCATAAGACACCATACTATTAATATGCAAACAGACGTATTTTATACTCCAGCAAGGAAAAGAAGGAGTGGGTGTAGCTGCATATAATATATACACACATATATATATGTATAACATTAACCATTGAACAACGGTTAAGCTCAATCTTTTGCACATTTGTATTTTATAACTTATTATATTATGTATAAAAACAACAATTCTAAACGCAAAAAAGTGAAGTTTTGATTTTATATACAATAATATAGGAACCTTATATATATGTATATAAATGGTAAACCTCTCACTTACAATACACGTAACTGAATTTGTTTGTATTTATTTAGCACAATCTTAACGATGGATGTCTTGGTTCCTATAGCGATGAAGGTCGCAGATAAATGCGTACATGTGACACGTAATGTGATGTAAACACATTAAAAACGTGAATCATCTATATGGCTGAATGTAGTTAGTGTGTAAAATGACAAAAACACACACACATCATCAAAATACCCTTTTTAGATAATCTAAATTGGATTGATGATACTTCTGTTATTATACGTATATATATATGTAAGAAAATTATAAAAAAAAAAAAAAAAAGAAGAAGAAGTTTACTTTTTTTCTTTACTTTTTTTTTTTTTTTCATAATTTTCTTATTTAAATATATCTTTTGAATATAAAATCACATTACATAGATGACAACTTTTTGTCTTTTAGGAAGATTGATTTCTTTACATTGGGCCCATAAGCGGTTTTTAAAAAATGTATTTTTTTTTTTAAAGCGTCAAAAATGTTCTTGCTACAAAGGTATGATATAAACCTTGTTTTTTAAATAAGTATTCATGCTTTCAGATCAATATTGGGTTATCATATGTAGAGATATATATGTGTCTAAATTGTTTAGGGGAAAAAAGTGTTGAACAAAAAAAAAAAGATCAATAAAAATGGAGAGAAATATATGAACGAACTGTGAAAAAATATAAATGAAATGTCATTTTTTTTTTCCTTTTTTTTCTTTTTTCTTATTTTTTATTTATTTTTTTTTTTTTTCCATTTTTTTTTTTTCTAATATCACATACGAAAATTAAAGTAGAAATTGGGTTATATATTCTGTATGTTATTTTTGATTTTTATTAAGATTGGCATATATGTTATATTTTTGTCACAAATATATGTATTTGTGGACTGATTTTTGAAATAAGCTCTTCTGCGTAATGTGGTTGACAAAACAATCTGGAACGCTTGTTGTCATCTTAATTATAATAAGATGCTACAGCTGAACAGGGTTAATTTTTTGGTAGTGGTAAAGATGTTGGGGGGAAAAAAAATAAATAAATAAAAATACATATATACATATATGTGCATTTTTTTTTTTTTTTTTTTTTTTTTTCCCCAACTTCTTTACCACTACCAAATAATTAACATTGGAGTTTCAACTTTGGTAAGCAGCAAAGTGTCGTAGCTAGTACCCGTATGTTGAAAGAATTAGTGTCTGATGTAGGAGTGTCTTATTTAAATGGAACAAATATCCAAGGGTGTTTTATTTTATATATTATTTTATTTTATTTTCTATAGAGAGAATTAATTTTCTCTAGAAAAAAAGTAATAATAAAAAATAAAATAAAACAAACCTCGTTTATTACTGTTTCTTCATTTAAATACTACAGGAGTTGATGACTTTATTCGATTAGGCATATATGGGAAACGGTCAGCTTTGTCGTGGTTATATAATTTCCTTAGTTTTTTTTTTTGATTCTCTCGTTTATAGGAATGGAGGAATTTGTGGTATTTGAAGCAATCGCGCTCCTCTCATATCTATCATAATTTATATATATTCAAAATATAAAGCAGAAGGGCACATCCGCTGAAAATTAAGAAAAGAATTAAGCGGAAGAAAAGAAAATAACAATGATTCCTGTAGTAACCGTGAGTGAAAAAGGATAAGCTCAAAGTGGAAAATCTTTTATATATAAAGGCTGGGCCCCCCACGTGTCCCACTAATGTATATATACACATATGGTGCGGGGCTGGGTGTAGTGTTTTGGCTTTACAAAAGAATTGTCACTTTTATATAATGAAAGATGATTTATATATACATATATATTTAATTATATATATAAATATATACTTGGTAATATCATTAAACTTCCTAAAGAATTTTTAAAAGTACATATATACATATATATTATTATATAACGAAATATGCAGGAGCGCACTTCCATAGAGGGTGAAAGACCCGTAGTTTATAAATATATAAATATATAACAAAGAGGGGGAAGAAGAACGGTTGAAGTTGAATTGATTTTCCTTATCGCCTTTTCTTATCTCTTTATTTCTTTTTGGAAATCTTTCATTTTCGAGTCGTGTTCGATGAGATTGGGACACTAATACGTGTGATTAAACAATTTCACATAAAGCTAAATATATATAGGAGACCGATAGCAAACAAGTACCGTAAGGGAAAGATGAAAGAGTACTCAGGAATGAGGTATTAAATAGAATCTGAAATCGTTAAGGTGGAAAGGATTAAAGAAGACAAGAAGTAACGTGTGTTAATTTTTTGTATTTCTTTTGAAGGTCATATTTTGCTGGTGGAGATGATGTCCAAGAACATTGGCGAGATTGATTTATCGCCCAGAATTGTGTGAGCGTGGAAGTACCTGATGTAATCTTCTCCTCCCAATTTTGCGAGCGTGTAAATCCAGATCAAATATCTGGCTCATGATATTGGCATATGATTTTCATCGCTATACAGTTGACGTGCTTTATTTAAAGAAACATCAGCGAAAAAAAAAAAAAAAAAAAAAAGGAATTTTTTTTTTTTTTTTAGGAATGTAAAAGAATAGAAGGAAAATAAAATATAATAAACGATCTCGCAAGAGGGAGGAATTTATTTATTTTTACCTATTTTTACACATATCCGTTTTTTGCTGAGGGAGATTTTAAAAATTGTAGGAAAAAAAAAAAAAAAAAAAAAAAAAGGATAAAGTTTTGAGAACTCGAAATTTATATTTTTTTTTTTTTTTTTTTTTTTTTTATTTTCTTACCTTTTAAGATGTTTCTAAAAAGTCTTCTTTAACCGTCTCGTTTTGAAACACGAACCAAGGAGTCTAACACATGTGCAAGCGAACGTGTAATGTTGAAAGATAAACATATGTCCCAAAAGATGGGTGAGGTGATACGGTACTTTACATATGGGTATTCGTATATATGTTAAATATACGTAATATTTGTGTGTGTTTAAGGCCGTAGAATGATCCAATATCCCGACTTAGTTTCGCGTCGGCAATGAGCATGAAAAAAAAAAAAAAAGCCATTGTTTTTCATATTGTAGAAATTGGAATATATTTTGTGTGTGTATATGTATGGTGTGTTGTATATCATCGTGTTTTTTTTTTTTTTTTTTTTTTAAAAAAAAGAAGGGAAAAAATGCTTTGATATATAACATATTATATATATACATACATGTGATTAAATGCCAAAATGCATACAACTTTTTTTAGTCGGTTTTTATATAATAATAAAAATGCCGTACAATTTTTTTCTAGATGAGCACATGTGGTAGGACCCGAGAGGCTTTGAACTATATTAAACGTGATGAATTTTGAAAAGCACAATAAATTTTATAAATAAAAAATTGGAGGATAAAATTTATTTGTGTGTTTTTATACATTTCAAAAAGTTCAGCATTAAACACGTTTTATAGGAAGGATATATATATATACCTTTTTCTGAAAAGCTTATTAGCTGGTTATTTTCGAAAGATCTCTCAAGATCGCTGGAGTTTATTATTATAATTTTATCAGATATTTGGAAGACAATGAATATATATGGAAGAATAAGGTAGTTTAACATATATATATATATGTACCTATATTTTCAAAGTCTTACTTTTCTAGGTAATCATATAAGAGTTAAAAAAAAATATATCTTAATAGTATATTTTTTTTTTAATTATTACTCAAAAAATGTATGAATAGAATAAGATAACTCCAAGTGTGCCATTTTTGGTAATCAAAAACTGGTGATGAGGGATGCTCCTAATGCTTGGATAAGGTGCCTAAATATTCGCTCATTAGACTCCTAAAATAATAGGTGTTACTTCATTATGACAGTAGGACGGTAATCATTGAAGTCGAAATCCGCTAAGGAGTGTGTAACAACTCACCTACCGAATGATCTAGCCCTGAAAATGGATGGCGCTAAAGTGAATTACCGATACCAAGCCATAAAAAGTGAAATGGCTTTTGAACAAAGTCGATCTAACGTTATTTTTTTTTTTAACAACTTTTTATGAGTAGAAAATCGTGGGGTTTAGTATAGAAGCGAAATGCGTGAGCATTCGTGGAACATATCCCTAGTGCAGATCTTGGTGGAAGTAGCAAATATTCAAAATGAAATATTTTTGAAGGCCTATTATAAAAAAAAATACAATATAGAAACTACTGTATTGTATAAAAGATATACTTTTTTTTTTAAATAAATATGTGTGTTATTTAGCTTACAGCCATATATTTTTTTCTCCATATGGAAACTAACTAAATGATAGCCGCTCCCCTGAAATCACTCTTTTTTTTTTTTTTTTTTTAACATTTCCAAAAGAAAAAAAAAAAAAAAAAAAAAAATTATGTGCGATGTAAAAAAATTTGTGAAGAAAAAAATAAATGTTGTTCCCATAAGTTAACGTGTAATTATTTAGCATAATTTTATACCATTTTGGCCATAGATATTATTTTTTTTTTTTATAAATTATTAGTTTTATGGGGGTAATCAGGTTTATAAACCCTGAGCCGATAATTTTTCGAGTATTATTATTGTAAATAATGTAGCTGGCAACGGAGTTTTGTATATAAAGAAATACAAAATTTTGAAACCCTATTGAAGATAATTCGATCCCAACGATGTATCATGATAAGATGGAGAATATATATGTATGTATTAATTTATGATATATATTATAATATACCCATATTATCATGTATTACAAAAAAATAAAATAATGAAGTGGAAACCTCGGAGTATGTGTGTAATACAATATTTTTGTATTACACAGTAATCTTATGAAGATGAGAAAAGTATGACTATAATACGTTTTTTGCTTTGTTCATGAGTTTAAAATGGGATAGCAGCCAGAAAAAAAAAAAAAAAAAAAAAAAAACGTAAAAATGGGATAAATAATGAATAAAAAAAAAAAAAAAAAAAGCTGTACATGTGTGTGAGGAATAAAAAATAGGAAAATTGATATATAGCTGTAGAAATTTCGATTTTTATGGTTATAATATATTTTCTTATTTTTATATCGCATTCACATATACAGCTTTTTTTTTTTTTTATTCATTTTTTATTCCATTTTTATGCTATTTTTTTTTTTTTTCTTTTTTTTTTTTGGCTAGTATTCCACTTTATTGCTCATTATTTTTTATAGTTCGTATTACAAACACACTTATATGAGTGTGACGAATTATTCGATGCGGATGAGTTATTGTATATTATATGATAGGATGGAAAACACCGAATCGTGTTATGAAGCCAATCCGTTTGGGGTTTCCTAGGCGGCTTATATATCTTCGGATGTGTACCGTTTGTAGACGTATTTCATTCGGGTGAGCCATACCACGCTTTATAATTCGTATACTTGATTAATTATGTAAAAGTTGTATCTGTAAGCAGAAAGATATCTGAACTGGTTAGTAGCCGTAGGTCGTAAATTAATAGATATAAAGTAATGAATAAAGTGGGGACACACACAAAAAGGAGCATTATATTAGTATAAAAAATGTATATATATGTGAATACATATATAATGTATATGTTGCAGACTATTTTGAAGACAATTTGAATGGAATGTATATATACACATGTATTATATATGTATGTACATATGTATATATTTTATATCATGTATATATGTATCCATCCGTAACTTCCTTGATAAGAAGTTTGTTTTGAGGGCATAGGAATGGAGGAGATATAAAAAAAGTAAAAAGGAACATAGGGAAATGGGAACAGGAATAAGGGAAATGTAAAGGGGTCTCTATCTTTCCATTTTTACTGTTTTTATAACTCTTTTTGATGCAAAATCATATCCATTCACCGTTTTGGTTAGGCTATCATGTATATATATATATATATGTATGTTAATATGCATACAGTAGTAGGAGAAAAATAAATAAGGGGAAAAGAGCCTATATTATTATTTCTATAATATATATATATACTCTCTTTCCAATTAATTATTAAACCTAATACTATTGTTTGTGTAAGCTTAATATGCTGTTATCAAGAACTGAATCGGAACAAGGGGGATTTTTTTAACAGGTTCTTTGAGGAAGAAAAAAAAGAATCATATATTTATTTTGCAAATTTGTTGTGTATATGTTCTATATCACTATTGCAAATGCAATTTCTGACTATTGCTTAGAATGTCAATTTGAAGATACTTCTGAAAACAATGTTTTAGTGTAGATATATACAGATATTTATGTATTAGTTTATATATATACAGGAATATCTACACACATTGGGCATATAATAAAATGGGTCAGGATAAGAAATTTTTAAAATGGGGGAGAAAAAAGGAAAGGAAAATTTTTCTTCCCCAAAAAAAAAAAAATAAAAATAATATATGAATTCCTTAAACCAGTTAAAGTGTTGTGTCAGTGTGTATATTTTATTAAGAAATATATATTTTTGGCACGTAACATTTTGATTGGAGTAACCATTATCCCTGCACCACTTTATATAAATATACATTACTATCTAGTGAAACCACATCCAAGGGAACAGGCTTGGAGTGTCAGTAAAGGAAATAGAAGACTTAGTGTTAACTCGACTCTTAGTTTGGCACTGCACAGAACGACCCAAGAGGTGCAGCCATAAGTGGAAGTAGAAGAATTGAAATTATATTATAAGGATATACATTTGTTTTTTTACGACAAGTGAAATACCACTACTTTTGGTGTTGTTCCTGCTTATCCATTTGTAGAAAAGGGAAAAACAGGGAAAGTTGGGGATAGAAATATACATATGTACACATATATGTACACTTATTTATCACGTTCTGTAATATATAAGGTTGATAGGAAGGAAGAATTTTTTTTTTTTTTAAAATTTAAATTTGGACTTATCTCGCACATGTATACATGTATGTATATATATTACTCTCCCCCCACACTTAATATGGATGGAGACAATGCCAGCTGAAGAGTTTAAGCGAAGGCTAAAAGTGTGATGAAAACTAATCTGTTTAGGAGCACATAGAACAGATATAAAAAGTTTCTTCATTACAGAGAAAGCTCAAAGAGAACAGAAATCTCTTGTTGACCTTAAGTGGGGAAAACGCTTATATATCTTTACATCTTCATGTAGATGTTTAGATATACTTAGCCATACGCATAAGTAATCCCGCACATATATATTTATGTGTATATATTATATTTATAGATATTTTGCACTATAACAGAATGGGCTCCTTTTTCTATAGGTAGTATGCAGATATACAAAAAATGGGATTGTAAAAAAATATAGAAGAGTTAGCACAGAAGATAACTGTCTTGTGGCTGCCGAACGTGATTTAGTAACGTAGCTTTGTGATAAATGTTTTAGACTCTTCCTATCATTGGGACGAAGAAGTCTCAAAGTGTCGGATTGTTCACTCTGTTTAAAAGGGAACGTGAGTCATAATTTTTAGACCTTTGTGAATGAGGTTATATATTATAAATTCCTACTGATGATTTATAAAATTTATGGTTGTTAAGAACCATTTATCGAAATGTGACAGTAGACCATATTAGTACGAGAGGAACATTTGGTCCAGACCACGGGTACAGCGATTAGTTGAAAAACTTGTAATTGCGAAGCCACATTTGTCTGTTGGATAATGGCTGAATGACTCTAAAGCCAGAACCCATGCTGATTAATATTTTGATCTCGCTCTTTCTGAAAAATTTTTTTACGATTGTAAAAAAGGAAAGTTATATATGAATCCATTAACACGGAGACATAAATATATCCCATTAAAGGCCGTTAACACATAAATGTGTATATATTATGTATGTAATATGTACGTAATATGTACGTAATATGTACGTAATATGTATGTAATATATACACAGGCTAACATTTTGTATGTGGCGTGCTTTTTGACTAGTAGAATATATAAGAAAGATTTTTTTTCATTTTGTAGCCGACACTGATTTCCCCCGGGTGCTGTAAATATGAAAGAAGCAATTACGTCTTACGATCTATTGAGGCTAATCCCGAGTGGAATGATTTTTTTTGAAAAATATAACATCAACTTATCATATAAGATATGTTATATATAGCTATCACGTTGTAAAGTGTGTATACACTAACAACAACAAAATTTTTACAATTTTAAATTTTCAATATTTTTCCAAAAAAATGATGACAAAAAAAGGGAGAAGTCCAAATGGTGGGGATTTATTTGGCCTACTGTTTTTTTTTTTTTTTTTTATAGTACTCCATTTATTGATGTTAAGATTACATAATATAATAGTTTATGTCTTGTACTTACGTTATTCTTTCATTTGTTGATACATCTGCATGTGTGTTTGTTTTATGATATCAAATGTGTATGCATGTGACAGCACACAAACTTTTTAGCACCACATTCTAAAGGAACGAAACCATGGATAGAAAAATAGAAGTGTGTTTTTTTATGTGTGCATGCGAAGGGTAATCCTTTTTATGTATATTTCCCTGTGTAGAGGTTGCGAGATATGCTTTTCAACATGAGATACTTTTTCATGTTTAATGTAGATTAGCATATACATAAGTGAGTGTGTCAGCATATTGATGAATGTAACTTCGTGTGTAGTGTTAATCCATTTTTTGATGTGTTAGAAAGTGATGGTGGGGAGATTAGTAAAAATTTTAGCGGAATCAAAGTGTACCATGAAATTTTTTTGAGGGGTTGAAGGATTGATAGTGTTATCAGCTGACAGGAAAAAGTTTACGCTTTAGGGTTGGGTATATACATATATTTATATGTGAGAATATATGCAAAAATGTGTTTGCAAATGTATGCATATAACTGCATTACACTCGTGTGAAATGTGGAACACAAGTGTATGACATTTTTTTTTTTTATTAGTTAGAAGAGTGTATATATGCAATTATATCGAATAGGAGGTGCGCCTTTGTCACGATTACTTATTTGTGTAAAATGCCTCTATGAGAGTATCAAAATTTTGGAAATTTGGCAAATCCTTACCCTGTAGAATATATGCATGAATGACCAGTTCAATTGGAAAAAAAAAAAATAAAATAAAAATCTAAACAAAATGTATGGATGAATGAATGGAATGCTTGTACTACACACCACAGTGGACAAATACTGTAATTTTTTACGATTGTCTACCATCACGATAGCACTAATTTTTTTTTTTTTTTTTTTTTTTGCTAATCGTTCGTCCGTTCCATTGTTTACGTGGAAAAGCAGAAACATTCTTTTACCCGAAATGATAAAGAAAAATTTGGAATACATTGTTACAAATTTTGTCATAAAAAAGGTAAAAAAAAAAGAAAAAAACAGGAATCTAGCTTTCTAGATATGTAATTATCTGTAATGTTAGAAAATGATTAATTTTAAGGTGGAGATGAAGTTTCTTCAATTTAAAAAAAAAAGAAAAAAAAAAAAAAACATGGAATATGATAAGTAATACATATATATAAAACAACCTGTGCTAAAAATAGAAATAATTATTTTAAGGATTCCATGATTATACTCCTGAGACCCTATAAGTTTTGAAGGCATGGTATAGGGGTAAACGATTAACAATTGTATTTACGACAAATAAAGTAAAGTTAAAGCTGGTAACAATGATAATGAAGTTTTTTTTCACACTGTTGAATAGGCCTTATGTTTAGAGGTATCATTTTACAAAAAAAATACGAATAAAACATCTATCAAATGTGAAATGAAAAAGTAAGTTCTCAGCTGGAAATTGTATTCATAATTCTACCATCACTTCCTGTCTACAGTGTTATAAAATTAAAAGAGGGATACATTATATATGTTTTTTTTTTTTATCTTTCTCGTTCAATTAATTATACATTATTGTTTTACGTTTAGAAGTTAAAGAGTTCGGCTAAATAGCACACATATGTCGAACTGGGTTGAAAAGAAGGATTGTAAAATAAATAAGCACGAGTAGGGATAAACGAGAGAAGAGAATTCTTTCACATATTTTCATTCTGTTTCGAAAAATGTGATGTTTCCTACAGTATCATCATTACCCATATCTTCCTAAAAGATGATTAGAATAATAAATGAGATGAACAACTGCTTGGAGGGGCTTAAAAAATAAATATAATTTACATGTTTATAATAACACTTGAATAATTATTAATATTTGGAGGACCATTTTGGTTATTTTTTTTTCTTTGTTTTTTCTTACTTTGGATAAATAACATCTTTTCCATCTTATAGTTTTTTTAAGTAATTTTTTGCTTCATTTCAAGGAACAATATAAATAAGTAAAAAAAGATAAAAAAAAAACTTATTTGCGTGATACGGTTCTTTTACAAAATGTTGATATGTATATTCCAAAAAAAAAGAGCACTTTTTGAACTATATGAAATATTTTTATATGGGAAGACTTTACTTTTTTTAAAATGGAATAGAAAACTATGGACTTTTTTTCATACTCAGAAAAGATTTTCCTCGTATATATAATTAATAAAAAAAAAAAGGTACAACATAATAGTATTTTTTCTTATTTTTAGAAAAGTCTCAAGAACTCAAGAAGACCCAAGGGATATTTATTTTATTATAATTATCACATCTTTATAGTGATTCCACAGAAGTGGTAATTTTTTTTTCTTTTCTACTTCTATAGGGTGGAGGGGGAGGTTGGTACATACTGAACTTTATTTTTGACAGGTAAAAGGAAGAAAAAAATGAAGTATCTTTTTTTTTTCTTTTTTACTATTAAAATACGTCACGTCACTCTAGAGGGTGTGGTGTGGTGGTGTCAAATTTGTAATTTGAAAAAATGACAAAAAATAAATGCTACATAAAAGGCTATATATAAAATACAAGGTATTTTATTATTTATGTATAAAACAATATATATATGCACTTTGAGCTAGAAAAAATGAATTGGTTAAAAAATATCACAAAAATGTAATAACCCCTCAGAGAAATGAAAAAAAAAAAAAACTCATTTTTATTTTTTTTTCTCCTCTTGCTTGGCATAAAAATGGACCCTACACTACTACCCTAATAATTTTTTGTAGAATGTTTTTATTATACTAAAATTTAGGAAAAGGAATATAACATACGGTCGCGAATAGAAATTTGTAAAAAAATTAATAATAATAGATATGTATAAACTTTTTCATACACTTTGTGATTTTCGCAGCAGCAAAAAAGTAAAATATCTTTTTATTCATTTATTTTATTTTTGCAGAAAAAAAAAAAAAAAAAATTTTTGTGGGATTTAAAGCTACCTCCTCTGGTATGTAAAAAATAAAATAATAAAAAATAAAATAAAAAAAAAAAATAATTGGCGTTGCAAAAAAAATAAAACTCAACCCCACCTACTACCCCCCACCCGCTCTTACGTACGTATTATCTAATAAATTGATTAAAATACAATTAACATTATTATTAATACATTTTCTTTTAAATTATAAAAAAAAAGTATCACGTGCATAGGGAAAAATATATGTAAATGTTATATATATATTTTGGTATAATTATTTAACCCCCCCCGCAAATGAAGGTGAAGAGAAAAAAAAAAAAAAAAAAAGAGCCCTTTTTCTCCACCTTGAATAATATTTTAATTTTAAAATGCATGTATTTTTTTTTTTGTCGCTCCTACTACAACACTAAATATCCAAAACGACAATTTTTAAGAGCACTTTTTTTTTTTCTCAAATTTTAACATTTGTATAATCTCACAAGTGGACAAGGAATTAGGAGGTGGAGGAGGAATATGTATGTTTTTCGAATTAGTTTTAATTGCCTACAGTTATAAGAAGAAAGTAGCAAGGATAAAATAAATATATTTATAGAAAAAATATAAAATAAAAATAATTTAGATATGCTAAAGCACGTAACGACTAACATATATTTTATAGTAGAGTTTTTATACTTTTTTTTTTTTTTTTTTTCTATATTTGTGCCTAATTTGGTGTCCATCGAAAATAATAGATATATATATAAAATTAAAATAATTCATAAATTAACATATAAATTAATGAAAAAAATATTTAAAAAAAAAAAAAATAATATTAGCATGCAAAAAAAAAAAAATTAAATGAGCGAAAAAAGAAAAAATGTACTAAAAATAAAATATAAAAAGAGTTCTTTTAAGGCTTTTTTAAAAGTTTTACTATAACATTTTTTCTTTTTTTTAGCACTTGTAAAAAAAAAAATATAGATAAATGATATATATGTTTATTTTCTTTAGTTGTTTTTATATTATTTTAAAAATAAAGAGAAAAAAAATAATAGTTTTTTTTTTTTTTTGTTTTTACATGAAATTAAAATATATTTACAGTTTTTTTTTATAATATTTTTATGAATATTTTAGTACATAAAACTAAACCTACTTAGGAATATTAAAAAATCTAAATGTTTTTAGAAGTACATATAAAAAAAAAAATATTATTCTTTAATAAAATAAAAAAATAAATTAATTAAAATTAAATTATAGCAAAACATTTTCTACATATTTTTATTTTATTGTAATTTAAAAAATTTAAAACAAAGGTTTATTGTTTTATTTTTATTTTTTTTTAAATTCAAACTTGTATACTTTTATAATTGTTGTTTTTTTATATATATTTACCCATCTACATTTTAATATCATTATTACTTGTATTTTATAATTAACTTATAAAACAAAGAAACAAAAAAAGAAAATATACCTTTTTTAAGGAAAATTTTATAGATAATAACATTTATATCTTATTATATACGTTATAAATTCTTATCGTTTAAATTACGTTCCTTATCCTTGAAAAAAAAGAAACATATCGAAAATGAATCCTGCTAATAGTAGCATCCCAATTATTGTTATTCCCTCATCATCATCTGCTGACGTTAGGAAGGCCATCAGCGCAAACAAATCAGAAGCAAAAAAAAACAAATGCAAGAGCAAGAAAAGTTTAATTAATTTTAACCTTGCTTCTTTACCATACAAAGTATTGTTCCTCTTTGGTGTTATCATTGTTTTGTTACAGGTAAAAGGAGAGTGAAAGAAAAGAGTATATAGTACAAATGAATGTAGAAAAGTTATACATATTACTACATGTTTTGACGTGTTCAATAAAATTGATCCCTTTTTTGATTTATGTAATTACATATATGTAGTGTATTGGTAGTGCCTGTTATGTAGATGTATATTTTATGTCGCATACATGACGAAGCAGCGCGTTCCAATAAATAGTTTTGTTTGTAAACATGTATAGGAACATTTTTTCACCGCACTATTATATACCGCTTCTACGACATCATTAATTTATTTTTATTAATTTTAACTCTCATCACTTTCTCTTTTTTATCAATCACCTTTTTATAGACTAACAGCACCACATCATCATCCGGATTAGAAGTTTATGGTAGAAATGCCAGATCCTTAGGTGAACAACATTATGATCCTGAAGATCCAAGTGATAAGACCAGAATTCATATAATGCCATCCCTCCCCGTTGATCCAGGTCATGATGAGGATGATCCAAGTAAAGATCCAGGACACCATGACGACCATACTATTAAGCCATCCCAACCCGCCCCCAGTAAACCAGATCATGATGACGATGACCCAAGTAAAGATCCAGGACACCACCATGATGGTCATCACCATCAACCACAAATGAGAGCAGGATATGCTGGACAGAGGGTAAGATTTTCTTTTCATGCAGTTAATTTGTCAACGTCAAGAAATGATGAATGAGGGGAAATACATATTTTCTTAGTAAATACATGCAGACACACTATATATGGCTAATATAAATTGAATGCATGTTGATAGGATACCCATATATACATATTAGGGCGCGCTCATATGTTTATTCTAAAAATAAAATAGTGTTTATAAAATTTCTTTTTCTTCCTTTATTTTTAATGCGTAGGGTGCACCAGGTCGAAGAGATGGAGGATACAGAGATCCAAGAGACTACAGGTACCAACAATATGATGATCAAATGTACAGGAGAGGAGGTAGAGACGGTTACAGAGGAGACTCATATGGTGGATATGACGATGGATATGGTTACAATGACAGACACTATGGAAATGAACAGTTGAGAGGTGGTATGAGAAGAGGTGACGACAGAGATATTCATTATTCATCAACTCAAAGAAGTGTAGATGGAGATATGTATTATGGTAGTGGACCTAGTGGCGATGAACGTACCATTCGTTATTCAAGAACTGAAAGAATGATAGATGGAGATATTCATAAGAATGGTGATGATCGTACCTTCCACATTTCAAAAACTGAAAAAATTGAAGATGACGAAGAAATTCATCATGGTCCAGGAATGGCAAATTTGGGAAATCCAAATCCACATGGTGAACCAGGTGATGACTCAAGAACGTTCCATATTTCCAAAACACAAAAAATTCACGATGATGATGATCCAAACCAACCAGGTGATGAATCAGGAGAAATCCACAGTTCCAAAGCACAAAGAATGCCCGACGATGATGACCCCAGAAAGTTTCATCACAATCCAGCAAACCCAGTGAACCCAGATGGAAGTTACCCTGATGATATGCATAACCCACACCATGGACCAGGATATGGAAATCCACATGGAAATCCATACATGAATGTAGGAGGAAGAGGCCCACAGGGTATGCACGGTGGAAGAAGATTTGACATGGATGCAGATGATTTTGGTTCAAGAGCAGACTTAATGAGAGGACCACCAGGAGGAGGAAGAGGACCAAGACATGGCCCAAGAGATTTCCCCATGCAAGGTGAACGTGAATCATTACCATTCGGAGTAACTAGAGCTGAATTACAAGAAGAAATGACAGAAGAACAATTAAATAACAAAATTAAGAGTTTAAGACAAAATGCAACTGTTAAGGAAATGTTTGTTTTATTTAACCAAGTACTTGCTCATGAAAGAAGAAAGTTTGTTAAGATGCAAGAATATATTATGCAATATTCTCAATACTTACAAAAGACCTTGTTGTTACCAACCCCAATTAGAATGAAATACTGGTGGAGAGCACACTACAATATGACGGATGAATTAATTAAGAAAGAAAGAAGTGACTTCCAAGATTTCTATGCTTTTGTTAACAGAGGACAATGCCAGAGATGGGATTTCTTATACTTTGTAAATGCTAAGAGAAAGTCATGGGATGAACTTAGAGATTTAATGAAAAGTATATGGATGGAAATCCTTACTTACAAAATGAAGAAACACAGCAAATTGTAAAGAACCAAAAGTTTTACGTATAAAATAAGAGCATATATAGTAAGATAGTTGTGCTTAAATGAGAAACGAAACACTACAATCGCCCTCGCTTGTTATGCATGAATTCATATATTTAAAAAAAAAAAAAAAAAAAAAAAAAAAAAATGAAAAAAATGTGTACAATAATATATGTAAAAAAATGTGTAAAAATATGCAGAGAAAACACGTAGAAAAAGATTGCATTGTTCGTTTACCGACTTTTAATTAATTACATTTTACTATTAACTGAATTTTAATGAGATAAAGTGGGTATAATGACAATTGTGCATTATATATATTATATATATGTAACATTTTATGTATTGAAGATTATATATTTTGTATATGTGCAAAAATTATATGCGGTATGTATTATGTACATCATATCTCTACATGCATGTTTGTGTGTGTATTATGTGTGTATAGCAACTGTGTTTTATATAGAAAAATCCTTTTTGCATAACTCTCTTTTAAGTATATATTTATTGCACTTCACATGGATATGAAATATGATTAACTATAAGTTTTTATTATAATTTTACTGAAAAAAAAGACTTTTTAAAATGCTTAATTTATAGAGGCCGATAAATTTATATACATTAAATTATTTATACAAAATATGATGGGGTGGGGTGGGGTTACCCTATGGTAACCCTATGTTATAGGGAATATTTTGAAAAATGCTTTTAGGAAGCCCTACAAAAAAATAAATATTTAAAAATAGAAAAGAAAAGTATATGATAAACATACACAACGAACCAAATTATGTGGGACCATTATTTTATCTTTAAGCATATACAATTTAAACTGTGTTGAAAAATTTTTACGGTTTTAAACATGTACACTTTTTTTTGGCACAATCTGTTATTTTTTTGCTCATTACTTTTTTTTTTTTGAATATATTTTATTTTGTTTTGTCTCATTTCCATTTTTATATTGAAATAAAAGAAGAATGCCTATTTTTGAAAAGGTTTAATTTTAAAAAAGTGTACATAATAAATAGTCCATATATATTCATTAACGATGAAAATATACAATTGATTGAGTGATTGTTATTATCATGTTTTTGTACGTTATGCCAGAATATATTAATTTCTACTTTTTATATCTATTTTTTAATTATTTCATCATTTATGCTTATATTTCATTATTTATATATTATTTTATATGTATCATTTTAGGTTTTATAAAAAAAAATGAGCAAACAATAGCATTACATTTTAAATTACTGTTGTGTTCTCTTAATAGTTTATAGTTACACATGCATTGAGAGCAAAAATAAAAAACTTTGATTTGAACATTTTGAGCTTATATTTAAAAGAAAATTAAGAGGCAAAAATATGATACATGGGAAAGCATTTGTATATAAAAACATTTGCATGGCCCTATAGGATGCTGAAAATGGTTCATGCAGAAAAGCTCGAACACAAATGTATAAAATATATATACGGAAGATCAAATGGTTCAAAAATTATGGTAATGAAAAACCAAAAAGGTTGAAAATTTTTAAATCTCGCTCCCGATGGATAGGTGTGTCTACCCCAAGGAGACACATTCTCCTTTTTCTTTTTCCTATTTTAATTGTATGGTTTGTTTATATATATATTATTAACTGGCTTTGTCTATCTTCTCAAACTTTTTTTTTTAAAAGACAAAAGTTATGTGGATTCGGCTTATTCTTTACTAGGTAAAATATATATTGGAAGTTGGGAGTCAATGGCTACCATCATGTATGTCTTTCAAATTGTTTTTCCTATATCCCCAAAAAAGAAAGAATTCATAACATTTGCAAACGTTAACAGATGTAGTGAAAAAATGCCCATAGTCCAACAGTATTACATAGTAGATAATGATAAAAAAGTTCTAATAAAATAAACACATTAATTTATTATCCTACTTCTTATGTTTATGTGGACATATATCAAACCCTTTTTCTGGCTCGAATTAAATATACCCTCTGCGGGTGAGAATGTCAGTAGAGATGTTTTAAGGAGAGTCGTATTTTCTGTTTGTATATATTATACACTATGCTATTAGTAATTACAAATTTACACTTTTTGGAAATTATTTAGCACATTTTTTAAATGATCTTACGAAATGTTGTAAAATTAAATGGTCTCTATTGAAGAATCCTCCTTTTTATTTTTAAAAAATGAAAGAAAAATAATAAGTTAACGTTATATTTTAAGCCCAGTTTGTTAGATTCTTTTGGGAGGGTGTTATATATATACAACATATAGACACATAATAGGAATAACTTTGTTCAATATTTTCAGCACCACGTGTCTCTTTCGCCTTTCGTTGGTGTATCTCATTGCTTCCTTTTCGATAAATCATTTTTTAGATGTCTGATTAATTATTAGAAATTTATTTAATCCATCATGGTTGTGTAAGAATAAGCTGGAAATTTTTTTTTCTTTTTTTTTTTTTTTAATTTTTCATTTTTTCCCATGCCTTCTTGAAGGACGGGAAAGAATTGGTTGTATGTCGGGAAATTAGGTATAGATATAAATATATACATTTGAACACGTGTGATATATACATTAACATGTTTTACTATACTGTGTGGAAGAAAAGGATATAACTGTTTTCTCATGCTTCATTTGATCAATGGAAAAAAAAAAGAAGATGTGAGGTTACCGTTTTGGAGAAGCAAAACTGTGATTGTAGGATGGTAAGCAGGAATATATTTTTGATAGAGGTATTTATTTTTTTACTAATCCCTTTTTTTTAACACATTTCTCTTCATCATACGAAATAATGTGATTATATTACTTGTCAAGTGGTAAGGTGTTGACTAAATAGTTTCTTTATCATATGGGGGCCGTATACATGTATGTTACATTACACAGTGGATGTAGATGACAATGTGGAGGAATGTTTTCCTCATGTACTCAAGGCACATTTTATTTTGAAGATTTAGTACTTATATGGCAGTTAGGAATGAGATTCTAAAACAATATGTTAATTTATTATACAAATTGCTTTCGCGGAAGAGTTAATTATGTGTAATGCAGTGGTTATTTAGAGGAAATTGTTTTTTTTTTTTTTTTTTTTTTTTTTATCTATTTTTGACTTGCTGAGAGGGTCTATTGCTTGTTCTGTCGAGTGGAACGATTTGCCTTTCTTCTCAACAAAATTCGTGCATTAAGTAGACATTTTTAATATTGACATTTTTAATCAAATGTAAAAGAATTTGTACTAGATGAAGTTCCTTTTTCTGTTACTTGAATGGTAAAAATCGTAGTACATGCTGAATTGAATAAAAAAAAAAAAAAAAAAAAAAAAGGGTTTGTACTATAAAATGGGTAACCTTTTAATTATAAATATTGCTAAATTGTAAATATAAGTAACGTGTTAGATTTTTTTAAAGATTTCATATTCTGTGTACACCTTTTGTAGGTCTAAGTAAATTGAGGGAATGTGTATTATATATAAGTATATGGTTGTCTTCCCAATTTTTTTATGATATTCATTTTATCCAGAGTTAGAACATTAGAGAAAAAGAGGAGGATTAATCATTTTAAGTTTTAAATAAATCACAATTATATATAACTGTGTGTTGGTTACTAAAAGTTGTACGAGAGTTTTCATGGCAAAATTATGAACATTCAAAAAAAAAAAAAAATTAGTACAAATGGGGAAAAAATCATAAAATAAGAAAGTTAAAAAATTGTAATAAAAGGGAGATGGGGTGAAATAACTAAAAAATAATGAAATCACATTAAATTTTTTTGAGAGTATATTAAATACATTAAACAAACTCATGAATTCAAAACAAAATAGAGAAATAAATTTTTTTTACAATGATATATATATGTATGTTTAAATGCGTTTTTAAACTTCCGCTTTCTCAAGGAGATGAGGTCTAAAAACAAACATTTCAAACTCAGTTATGATTTACTTACAAATGAAAAGAAAATGACAATACAACGCTGTATAACACAAAATTGTAACTTATTTTTAGCACATAACACAGTGCACACGGGAGTAATGAGGGAAGGGTTATTTTCCCAAATGGAAACAATAAATCGTCCCTTTTTTTTTGGCAGTATATTACATAACACACACAAAGTTGTATTATATGTCACAGCATAGCATTGTAGCATATTTATAAAAAAAAAAAAAAAAAAAAGGAAGAAGCGAATTTAACGAAATTCCTATTTCTTGGTACAATCAAACTATACCACGTTACTATCATTGTTACTTTTTTTTCCTTATAAATTTAGAGTGGTTTGGTAATACATAATTTTGTTAAAGATTTTTTTTAATTTTAAAAGGAGTAATTATTTTATCTCTGTAAACAATCTAACACTTTGATACCTGCAAGAACACCAAAAATTGAAGGAACAGAAAATTCCCATTGTCCCAAAATTCCGAATCCAATAGCAAGAGCAAGTGCAGCAAGGATACACAACAACACCAAGTCTTTTAAATAAGATGACTTAGGCTTCTGCTCTTCTTGGTAATAATAGTTATTTTCGTAAAGGCGCATTCGTGCATTTGTCTCAGTATCAGCATAATACCTTGTAGTGCATCCCCTTTTCTGTGGGAAAGAGTTTTTCTCCCCTACATGTACGTGTGTATGTGATGGACAAGTTACCTTTACCTTTCGTCGTTTCTGATTTTTTTTTTTTTTTTTTTTTTCTGATTATTTTTATTTCTATTATTATCTGGATCATTCTTATTATTTTTCTTATTTGCACTTTCTTGGACATCTGTTAGCACACTATGTTCTTCTGTTTCATCTGATTCTGTTTTTAACACTCTGGAAGTTTTATCGGGGCTTAAAGGAGAATATTCATTTTTGCCTACTTCATCACACGGTGATTTTTTCTGGGTCTCCTAAAGGGTAGAAGAGGGGGTAAAACGTGAATGATTTGAATAGGTAAAATTTGGTGGCAATTTTGTAACAAGCTGATGGTCAGTTTTATGACAAGTTGGTGGTCAGTTTTATGACAAGTTGGTGGTCAGTTTTATAATTATTATGGGTACTACACGTAGGTTCAACATGCAGAGGGGTAAGGATAAAATGCGTCAATAATGCAACTATTTAATCATCTTACATTATTTGAGAAATGACATATCCAAATGAATAATACAACTACAGCAATTTTCACAAATAATGGGAGAAAATATTTATTTACTGTTTTTCCTTTTTGTTCTCTATTATATTTGGTCTGGCTTGGATGTCTTGTCAAATGATGATTTTCTGTTTCACATGTTCCCCAATTTTTATCGTTTTCATTTCTAGTAATATGCTTCGAATGATAATACTCTTTCATGTTTGTTTGTTTTTGCTACTCAGTTTTACGTGCTGAAGGTAATTTTGTCAGTGTCACTTAGCGTTTGTGCTAATAAATAAAATTTTGTTAAGAATCGACATAATATATAATATATTATTATTTTTATTTTTTTTTTTTTCACAAAAACGGGTTGTGGTTTTGGGAAAATTGATTTGTGGGTTTATTTTTAAAGTTGACCTCGCTGCTAGTATAGAATGATATTGGCTATAATATTCAGAATATGGAAAATAGTAGAAATTTTGTTACGTCTAGAAGTAACAAAATTGTTACTACTATTTTTTTGTATATGCAAATTAATTTTAAAAGTATTATTTTTCAAATTCGGATAAAAGAAGAGAAATTCGAAGAAGCACTGAAAAGAACTACGGGAGTAAGATAAGAAATTAGATAGGGAAAAAATTCTCGAAAAATTATTTTTTAACACCGCGTGTTAAATTTCGGTTAAAAGATAAGGATAAAAATAAAATAAATAAATTTTAATTTCTTGAACAAAATAGGAATGACTTAAAACGCTTTTAATTCACTGTTTATAATTTCTAAAGTGAATAATATGTATAATTAAGTAAAATTAAATATAAATGCCATATGCGAATGGGCATCAAGTATAAAACATATACATTTATTTCTCCATATATATATACATTTTTTTATAGTAACATTTGTATTCTCTCCTAAGAATATACTAATTTGAATACAGCCATACATTTCGTGCATGCTAAATATATAATTTCGTTTGGCATTTTTTTCCGACGCGGGAAACATGGAGAAATATGGTGGAGCATAAGATTTTCTTGGTTACCAGAAAAAAAAAAAAAATTTAAGGCTTTATATAAAATAAGGGCGAAAAATGTTTTATTCAGTATTAATAGAATATCCTCACCACCCATGCATTTATATCATTGCTGTAGGAACTTGAAAGCATTAAAATGTAATACCGATTACTCATAAAATAAATAGATGATGAATATTATACATTATATATATGTAGTGTATATATAGAGAGAAATATTGTTTCAGTAGTTTAAAACTAATGAAATGCAGCGCAGACACACGTACATTTATTAAACATAGAGATAATAATTTGGGAATTTAACGTAGTTCTAAATAATTTAATATTTATAAAAGTGCTAATTATTTATATATAATTTATGTATATATATGAAGAATAAAAAATAAAAAAAAAAATTTAAAGGGACTTGTTGCATAGAAAGGAAACAGTAAAATTAAATGAAAAATTGAAAAATGAAAAAAAATAAAATTTTCGATTTTTCTTATCATAGTAACATATCATAGTAACAGCATAAGAAAAGTTAAGCGAGGGGAAGTAGCTTTGTTACTCGTGATAAAATTTTCCACGTTCCCACCCCTCTCCCATTTTTACCATCTATTGCTGTTACTCGGTCATTTATGAAAAAACTGGTTTGAACCATTTTTCCTCTCGTCCTTTGTTTAATTAAAAATTTTAGTAAAATATATAATGGGACGTTTTTCCTAGTAAAGAAAAGAATATGGGATATTTAAAAGGGAAGATTCAGTTTCTCACTATGTCATTGGAAAATCATATTCACTTAAAAAGCAAAATAGAAAATTTTTATTCTTGCAACTTTTAGTATGTTACTACTTCTAGCAAGATTAACCATGAAGGTAAAAGGTATAATAATAAATTTTAAATTTGAAAAGGAAAAAAAAAAATAAAATAAAATAATACTCCTATGATGCACATAAGAGTATGCAAAATGCTATTACTTATAGTTCTATAGAAAAAACTGCTTTCAAATGGACAATCGAAAATGCATGGTAGAAAATAAGTACGAAATATATCAAAAGGGGGAAATAAAAAGGCTAAAATAGAGAAAGAAATTGAGGTAATTGAGACGAGAAAGAAAAAGAATAGGAATATAATTTTTATTTTATAAAACATGTTATACAGGTTGGTTATATGTTGTGATAACAACCTTTTAAACTATTCCATGGATATTGGATAATTATTTTTGTTGCAATTTCTTCAGAAGAAAACGCTACACATTTTACTTAAAACAAACCTTTGTAGAATTTAAAGAGGAGGCTGTAAGAAATGCCCTTTTAAAATATTAACAAGTATTAAGCAAGGTGGGAAAAAGTGCCTTATGATATTTTTCTATAAGAACATTCTATGTGATATTATAATTGTGCATAAACTTAGTTTAGCATTATGTTTTCTACAGTAATATGAGTGGAAAACTTTTTGGAAAATAATAATTTTTTTTTGTTTCGCTTTTTCATTTTTTTCACAATTCAGTGGATTATTATATGGTTAATACTAGCTATATGCAGTGCTACTTTTTTAGTATTTATCACTTTTTGAAAAAACAAAAAAGAATGCATATGTTGAAAAAATGCAACTTGTTTTATGCTGATTGTGAAGTACGAAAAAAAGCATGACACTGTTGTGCATATTTTGAAAATATATTCTCCACATAAGAGGCGAGAAAAGATAGTATGAATATATATTATTTATTCACTCATGATATTGCAAAGAGAATTTTTGAAAAGAATCGAAAAGGAAAATTAAGAAAGAACCCAACCACCCACCGACACAAAGCTAAATTGATCTATTATCCTCATCTTCATAAGATGCAATTTATTATTACCCTTGGGGAAAAGTGGTACCTTGTTTTAGTATAAAAGACCATGTATAGGAACTGAAACTGCAAATTTGTGTTTTCATCCATGATGGGAGAAGCACTTTTTTTTTTTTCACGGCTTCTATCTTTACGTCTAAAATTTTATTATTTCTCAAGTAGTGTTTTCATTTAGGTATAAAGAAAAAAAAAAAAAAAAACATTTTGTGTGGATCTTTTTTTAATGGGTTTCTTGCAGTGAAGATACCACATTCTAAATTGTTAAACTGTTCAGTTGTAAAAAGAAAAAAATGATTGTTTAACAATTCTCTGATTTTGGAAAGAACCAAATGAGTAACATTTCAATTACTATTTGATGAACATAATTATGTAGAGTGTATGCATGAAATATTGAACGTTGGGTTGGACAGGTGTTATATTAAACTGCCTACGTAGGAGGGAAAAAAAATAATAATATAATAATATAACAACATAAAAATACAATAATATAATAATATAACAATATAACAACATAAAAATACAATAATATAATAATATAAAAAAATAATAATATTACAAATACGCGAAACCTGCATTTTTTTTTTTTTTTTTTTTATCTTCTCATTTACGAGGACAACCATTTAAACGATTCATTCGAACTTTAATCCTTTTATAATGCTCAAAATTTGATTTCTTAATAGTTCGTGAATGAATACATAGACATGGATGTTATAAGAGCGTTATATAGACATAATAATATCTCACAAGTAGCGCTCACGTTTTTATAGCAAATTGACATTTCATTAGTTCTTATGAAAAATGACTCTTCCTATTATATTTGGTATAATACGTGAGAATATATATACATATTATTATTCCACTCTTATGGACTAAGTTTTCGCTAAATTTGAAAAAAAAAAAAAAAAAAAAAAAAAAAAAGGATGCGATAAGAAAAACGAGTGGCTTCTTTCCCTTTTTTAAAATATTTTCCTCATATATGAGTTGGATGAATAATGAGTATAGCACATAATAAATTATCTTCCAAATGAAAGACTAGAAAAAAGGGAATTTTTTTTAAATTTCTCTAAATTGTCGCAAAATATTGAACTATCACGAAAATGTTGTAGAAAAAATGGAAACATATAAATAAGTACATATATATATACTTATTTATTAATTTATATATTTTATATGTTACAGTTTTATTTAATCCCACTTGTTAATTTAATGTAGTATTTTTTCATAAATATTATGTCTGCCCTTAGCGACATAGATCCATGCATAAACGTATTTAAATGGTACTAAACGGAATTAATAAAAAATTTATTTTTCATTACAGTAGCAGCAACATTGTATATTGTAGTAATATAAAATTAAGAAAAGTCACTGCACTATAAAGATATATGGATAGTGATATATATAAAAATAGAACTCTTTTTTGGCTCAATAATAATAATATGTAGTAACAAAAATTTTATTTTTTTGCATAGTTTTGTTCTACTAAATTATTCTACCTTAAAAATTTGTCCATATTTTGTTTTCTTAGTTTTCCTTTTAAATTATATGAATATTTATGAATAAAAATAAATGAACAATTTAAAAAAATATATTAAGTTATGAACATATCATTTTATGGTGATTTATTCTAACAACTTATTCACTTTTTTTTATTTTAAGAATATAGATTATTTTAAAATAATTATTTTTCTCAATGTTATTACAGTGATGCTATATGAATTTTAATTTTTTTCACTCTGCTTCGAAAATTGGATTTGAGCAAAGAGGGTGCTTTTAGAATTTATAAAAAATTCTCAAGGTGGAAAGGAAGTTATACATAGGTATGCGAATACATATACTCATGTGATATATTGCAAAATATGTGTAACGCAAAAAATACCGTTTTTGTGTATATTTAAGAAAAATTCAATACATACAGGATAAAATACATCTAAACAGCTAGTTTTACGTATCCGAAAGGTACAAAATTGAAACAAGAGGATGTAAAATTTTAGTAAATGATAAAAAATTAGGAAAAATAAGAAAAAAAAATTAAGCCCTATTAGAAGCCAATCAATTATGTTGCTACTTTATGCAAAATTTTTTTTACTAACCCTTTTTGTTTGGGCATGGCACCGTTCCATCAAAGTAAGATTAAAATAGGAGTTGACATTAAAAAGACAAATATAAGTCAGCGCCTCTGGTTATGCTGTAATGATGTTATATATTAGACCTACGCATCACAAATATATGTATATGTATGTATATAACTGAATTCTGCGTTTTGTTTTCTCCTTTTTAGATCTCATTCGATGAGGCCCCTAAAAATATATTGAATAATAAGCTGTGCCTCATAAATGGAAGATTATTATCCGAATTCGATTTTTCAGATGAAGAAAGATTCCACTTTGACAACTCAGTGACAAGAACAACCAACGAAGAAACGGATAACATACCTTCCGATTTTGATGAAGAAGATAATGGGTACTTATCTACATATTTAAAAGAAAAAATACGTAAGGAAAAGAGAAAAAGTGAAAGTGATTTTGAAGATTTAACAGGATCTAGTGATAGTCTTAACTCTTTATGTTCTAAGAAGAAAATATTAAAAGAGATTATTCATCATCTTAATAAATCTGATAAATTTAACTATGATGAGTTGAAAGAATACATAAATCAGCACGTGGATGGTGAACAAGGAGAAAAATTAAAATTATTAGTGGATGAATTGAAAAAGTATAAAGCAAAATACTTTTATATGAAATACTGCTTTGAGCGTAACATACTAAAATTGAAGGAAAAAATGAAGAGGAATACTATGCTCACGTTTTTACTTGTCACATCCATTGCGAGCTTATTATTACTCTTATGGTTTATCATACCAATGGCTATAGCCCCAGCAGCTTACCTAACAATGGGCCCTGGAACTGCTTTAACCACTGTAACCTTTGAAGCTGCTGGAGCTGCTTGTGCTGCTACACCGGGTGCCTTTTTGTATACCATGCAAATGATAGGTGGGGCTCCAGTAGCAATTATATATACTTTAGGTGCACCAATCCTGTAGACTTGAACAAATGTGATGATACCTGTTGCTATACTTATGCTGTAGTGAGTAATAAAGATATATCCATTCCTCATGTTTTTTTTTCATTTAAATTTTTATTGTTATTTAACAAAGTAATGAGGAATGTTATTATATTGATAGATAGATAAATAAGAAAATAAAGGGGTGGACAATTTTTTTTTTTTTTTTTTTTTCTCTCAATACAAGTGGCTTTATTTAAAACAAAAATATTAGAATATATCCTATATATAATTTAGTTTCTATAATAGCCATGTGGTGATTATTACCGTGCAAGAATAGTCACCCTGGAGAATTATTTTATATACACAAGGAAAAAAAAATAAAATAAAATAAAATAAAACAAGTAAATATGTATTTGTAAATAAATCTCCTTTACATGATTAAATAGTTTTGAGATTTTTTGGTGAACATATGTATCCTTTATGAATTTTCAATTATTTTTGTCAATTTTTTGAGTCAATTTTTTTGCCAATTTTTTTGCCAATTTTTTTGCCAATTTTTTTTGCCAATTTTTTTGCCAATTTTTTTTGCCAATTTTTTTGACAAATTTTTCCCATTTTTTCTCTTTTTCCTTGTATAAATTTTTGTTGTAACATGTAATGGAGATCTAGATTTACATGCATATGGCATGTGTAATATTTATGATTTTTAGCTCCTCTTGGCTTTCATTATTACCTATGTGTTGCACTGTAAAAAACAGCTTTTTTGGCAGTTTTTTCGCAAAGTATTATTCATGAGAAAAAATGGAACAATAGTCCGTATGGGGATATGTTAGAACTCAAAATTGAATAGCTATGTGTGTGCACATATTCCTTCACACGTTTTATTTTGACAAAAACGTTCACTAAGCACCGTTGCTGTTTTTTTTTTTTTTTTTTTGCGTATTTATTTATGCACATTTACATGTGTTTGTGATATAATATGTATTTTTATAAAATGCATGCATTATTATACATTAAAATTGTGCCAGTTTTTTACAACTTAAAACTACAGCCGAGATGGTTTCACAATTTGTTTTGAATGATACCACCTAATAATGCATTGATACCTTTTAATTGTGTTTTGGGACAAATGAAATATGCTCCAAATGAAAAGGCACATATATATATATATATATATATATATATATATATATATTTACTTAACCTGATTAGCTACATACACAATTACACATTAAGCGGGAAATGGTGAGAAATTTCCGCTTTTTATGCAGTTGAGTACAAAGGAATTTTGAGCTCTCATTTTGAAATGCTCTACTGGAGCGTAAAAATGGAGAAAAGACATAATTTGTTTGTACCCTTCAATAGGTCCAAAACGGGATGATAATACAATATTTCTAAATTTTAGTAATTTTTAACCGTTCTGCATGTTTAAAAAAAAAAAAATAAAATAATTATAATGTGGGATATAGAAAGGTCGTATATGTCGTGTTAAACGGACATATCCAAACGTTTAACAAATTAGTATATTTTATACACGAATGTTGCCTCTAATGCAGACAGAGTATTGTCTGACAAGCCTGTTTTGCATTTTTTCAAACATGAAGAAAATGGAATTGGGAACTTATCAGTTGATGGAGTTCCCTTGTCAGATGAACTTATAAAAAGAGAAAACTCCTAAAATGCACACAGTTTTGCATGTAATAACAAAGTACACTATTAACAAAAACAAAAATAAATAAATAAATAAAATAAAACTTCCTTTTTGGACCTCTTTGTATAAGCATAAAATTCGAACAAAGCCAAATAATATAAGAATAGAGTAACAGAAAATGAGGAGTCTAATAGCGACAATTTCATTCGTTAGAAATAGTGCTATTGTGAAAAGAAGGTCCTCCTTATTGAATAGAGGTATAAATAGAGTACCATTCTTAATGTCATTCACTTTCGAGATATAATCATTTTAATAAGAAAAAGAAATATATAGTGTTGAATTTATTTATTCACTTTCTTAATTCACACATTAATTTGAACTATTTTGGCTTCCCTTTTGGGAACACACTACACCTCCTGTGACGTATTCCCAGAATGTTGTAGCCACATCTTTTTGTAACTTTTATTTTATAACGTAATGCATACTACATATGTATTCATATATTATATATTTTTGGAGGGGAACAGAAAAACATAATAAATGCACTAATTAATTTTTAACGGTTATAATTTCTCCAAAACGTATAAAATAAGCTATTATATTTTTTTTTTTTTCCTACTATACAAGTTTACCCAAGTGCTGATAGTATGAAACTTTGGAGAAGTTTTACATTCCATAAAAGTATTAATTTTCATTTGGTCGTGGCATTGGGATAAGTTTTTATTAAAAATTATATAAAATTAGAATGGAAAGAGGAAAGAATTGCCACTAAATATTTCATCTTCCCATTGTATGCCTAAGTTTTCAAAATATATAAATTTATTTTCCATAGTGCTTAAATTATTTGTAAGATTAATTCCCATATTTTTCCTTTTCGATAATTTAAATGATTTAAGTAGAAAGTGCACAAAAGACGTATGTATTTTTTACCTATTCATGTTTGCATTCCCCAGTTTATTAAAAATGTAAAAAAAAATATATAACTTTTTCTCTATTCAGTTCAATAGATTAGGATTTTAAACTTCAAACAATGCATAAATTTGTAGTAAGTTAATATAATATATCCGTATGTACAAGCATACATAAATATATATATAATATATTACGTATATGTAGAAAAATAAATAAAAAAAAAAAAAAAAAAAAAAAAAACGACGCGGGAAGAGGGATATATATAGGCTTCTCTTTCTTGTGAAATTTTTTTCTGAAATACAAAGACGGATGCATAATAGGAAAATATTATAAAATACGCTCCATATGAAATCCTAATAAAAAGGAAATTTTTTAGATTTATCTAAATTGAATAAAAAATATTGAACTAACACGAAAAATAATTAATTATAGATTTTGAAAATTTTGTAGAAAAAATGGACATATATATATTTATTTACATATTTAATATCTCATAAATTTTAACACCCCCTTATTAATTTAAAGCAGTATTTATCCGTAGATAATTATACATTACACTTTATGAGTACTGCACTTGTATACACCTATTTAAATGGTGCTAAGGGGAATTAATAAAAAATTTATTTCACATTATGGTGTAGTAGTAGCAGTATATTATAGTAAAATATAATTCATAAAATTTATCGCACTACAGATATATGTTGGTAGTGTTATATTTTTTTAGAATACTATATATAAATAAAACATTTCTTTGCGCTAAAATATATATAATAAAAAAAAAAAAAAATATATGATTTTGCATAGTTTTATTTTTTTTTACTACATTTATTATATAATAATATACCTTTAAATTTTTTCATAATTGTGTAATTATGTTTCCTTTTAAATTTATTATACTTGTATAATTATACATAAATAAATGAATAAAATAATTAATTAATTTTTAAAAAAATATTAAATTATTCACATGTTATTATATGGTAATTTATTCTATGATTTCCCTCCCCCCTTTTTTTTTTTTTTTTTTTATTTTAAGAATATACATTATTCAAAAATAATTATTTTTTTCAATGTAATTACGGTGATGCTATATAAATTTGAATTTTTTTCAATTTGTGTCGAAAATTGAGTTTGAGTAAAGGGAGAGAGCTTTAAATTTTTTTTAAAAATTCTCAAGGTGGAAAGGAAGTTATACATAGGTATGCGAATACATATACTCTTGTGATATGTTGCAAAATATGTGTAACACAAAAAATACCGTTTTTGTGTATATTTAAGCAAAATTCAATACATACAGGATAAAATACATCTAAATAGCTAGTTTTACATATCCGAAAGGTACAAAATTGAAACAACAGGACGTAAAATTATAGTAAATGATAAAAAATTAGGAAAAATAAGAAAAAAAAATTAAGCCCTATTAGAAGCCAATCAATTATGTTGCCACTTTATGCAAAATTTTTTTTACTAACCCTTTTTGTTTGGGCATGGCATCGTCCCAGCAAAGTAAGATTAAAATAGGAGTTGATATTAATAAGACAAAAATAAGGAAGCGCCTCTGGTTATGCTGTAATGATGTTATATATTAGACCCACGCATCACAAATATATGTATATATATATGTATATAACTGAATTCTGTGTTTTGTTTTCTCCTTTTTAGATCTCATTCGATGAGGCCCCTAAAAATATATTGAATAATAAGCTGTGCCTCATAAATGGAAGATTATTATCCGAATTCGATTTTTCAGAGGACTTTAAATACTACTCTGGTGATTCAGTGGCAACAAGGGCCAACGAAGAAACGGATAGCATCGTTTCCGATTTTGATGAAGAAGATAATGGGTACTTATCTATATATTTAAAAGAAAAAATACGTAAGGAAAAGCGAAAAAGTGAAAGTGATTTTGAAGATTTATCAGGATCTAGCGATAGTCTTAACTCTTTAAGTTCTAAGAAGAAAGTATTAAAAGAGATTATCCATCATCTTAATAAATCGGATAAATTTAACTATGATGAGTTGAAAGAATACATAGATCAGCACTTGGATGGAGAGCAGGGAGAAAAATTAAAATTATTAGTGGATGAATTGAAAAAGTATAAAACAAAATACTTTTATATGAAATCTCGCCTTGCACGTAATATAAAAAAACTTAGGAGAAGAATGAAGAAGCATACTATGTTTATCCTTTTACTTGTCCCATCAATTACAAGCTTAATATTATTGTTATGGATTATCATACCAATGGTTTCTGCACCAGCATGTGCCATTGCCTGTGCTCCTAGCGTTGTTGTAGCTGCAGGAAGTTCAGGAGCTGCTGGGGCCACAGGAGTAGCCTGTGCTAGTGCAGCTGCTACATCAGGTGTTACATCAAGTGGTATTTGTGGTGCTGCACAATTGTTAGCTGCCTCTCCGACAGCAACTACCACTGTTGCAACTGCAGCAGGTGTGACAACTACAACACGTTTCGTATTACCTCCTGCATTTTTCTGTGGTTCTTTTTATAGATATATGTTTTCCCCACTCCTTTTAGTATAAATTTTTCATGTAATATAAGAAAATAATGGGGGGATTATATTATTATGATGGATAAATAAGAAAAAACAATGTGGTGGATCCTTTTTTTTTTTTTTTTTTTAATTATTATTTTTTTTTTTTTTCTCATGGTAAACGAGGCATTATTTAAAACACGAATTGTTAGAATATATTCCTTATATTATTTAGTTATATAAACACATTCACATGAAGATTATTATCCTGCAAGAATAGGAAACTTTGTGAAGTATTATAAATATGAAAGAAAAAAAAATAAAGTAAAATAATAATGAAATAAAATAAACAAAGTGGATATATACATGTAAATAAACCAACTATACAAGCTTTTATAAAGTTTTGAGACCTTTGAGTGAATATGATGTATACTTTATGAATTTTCAATTTTTCTTCACAAATATTTCGCACAGTTATTTTGGACAGCTATTTCACGCATTTATTTTGGACAGCTATTTCGTGCATTTATTTTGGACAGCTATTTGGCTCAGTTATTTCTCGAAATATTTTCTCATGTTTTGCCTTTTTGCACTTGTAAATTTTGCGGAGGTGTGATAGAGATATTCATATATACATGTATATAGCATGTGTATATGTAAGTTTTTTAATTCCACTTGCCTTTTACTATTTATACGTTGCTATGTAAAAATATTTCTTTTAAAAGTTTTTGAGCAAATTAACATCCATGAAGAAATAGAACAATAATAATCCGTTGGCAAGCACATGTTAGAATGGAAAATTATGTAGTTATATATATGCATGTGCATGTTCGTTTGTGTGATTCGTATGTAATATGTGTTGCAGTTTTTATTTCAAGAAAAGCATTCACATGAAGCACCATTGTAAGTTTTATGTTATTTGAGTATATATTTATGTATATATGCATTGCATGTAACAACACCATATGTATTTTTATAAAAGCATGCATGCGTTTATTATACATTTAAAATTAAGCAAATTATTTATAACTTAAAATCATAATAAAAAAGTTTTCACAGTTTCTCTTAAATGATACATAATACAATTAATAGCACGAATGGATGCTTTATTTTTTGTTTTAGAACAAATAAAATGAACACAAAAGGAGAAGACATTTTTACATATATATTTTCCTTGGATAGTTATATGATCAATTATTCATTAGATCGGCTGACGAGAGGAGGGATGTGATGGTGAGAATTTGAAACTTTTTAATGCAATTCAGTAAAAAGATGTTTTGAGCTTTCATTTTGAAACAATCCTATTTCAGTTGCAAAATTTAAGAAAAGATTTAATTTTTTTTTTTTTTTGCCATTTAAGAGGTCCCAAACCGGGGGGATGATAATATACTATTTCTAAATTTTCTTGATTTTTGACAATTCTTCATAGTTTAAAAAAAAAAAAAATTCCTTTCTAAAAAATGAACACTGGAATATATCACAGGAGCGTTAACATCCTTTAAGTGCATTCTCGGTGAACGTATCCCCTTTTAAAGAGGAAAAGTATAATTTAATTTTAATTATGGTCGCTTCAAATGGGTAAAATTTATGAATAAGCATGTCTATAAAATATAAACACGAAAATAGAATGCTCCCTCTTCCAAGGAACTTGTTCATTTATGTAGATGAATTTATTTGTTCTAAGAAAATTTAAATTATTTAAATTATTTAAATATTCTATGCTGGTCTTAGGAAAAATAAATAAAGAATCAGTGGAATGCCAATTTAGATTAGACATTACAACTTCGCAAGTAGAAAATTGGGGTAGCAGAATAAGAACTTTTGTAGCATATACATGCATAGTACGTAAGTGGGGGATATATATATCAGCATACATTTTTTTTTTTTTTCTAATTTTTTTTTTTTTTTTTTTTTTTTTTTTTTTATTTTTTTTTTTTTTTTTTTTTTTTTTTTTTTTTCTTTTTTTGATTTTTTTTCGTTTTTATTTTTTTTTTTTTTTTTTTTTTTTTTTTTTTTTTTTTTTTTTTTTCTTTTTTTCGGTTTTCTTTAATTTTACGCTTGCGCACCCATTTAGGGCATATATTTCAGAACATTGTCGTTTCTAGCGAGCAGTTTGACATTTTCTTTTTATGAAAAAAAAAATAAAATTATTGTGACCATTGAAAAAGATAGTCAACTGAGAATGTTAACATTGAAAATTTTGAAATATAAATTCATTTATAATTTAATAAGGGTACAAATTACAAGGGAATTTTAATTAGTATTTTTGTTCGTTTTATGCATTTGTTATCACTTGTAACTTGTGGGTTTAGATACAAGAATAAATAGATAACACTGCTTTTCTTTCCATATGAAAATTACTAATATTTAAAAAGAAAAAAAAAAAAAATTCACCAAATTTATGTTAGTTTGAGGTAACGCTTTAACCATTATGTCAAGGTCCTCTTGGAAATTTTTAATCTTTATGATATATGTATCATGGTACTACTGGAGAACGATATATATGCATATATTATATATATCATTCCTGTTGAATAATACATATCATATATGCTGCATATTGCATATACTATGATACAAATGAAAAAACAAAGAATGACATAGCCATTGTTTTTCACTTTGCTTTATACTAAATGGAAGAACAAAAATTAAAAGTGCATACATTGAAATATATTTATATATATTCTTTTTTAAAGCTTTTGCAGAAATGGACATTATACCTTTTTCAAATCATCCAGTAGAAGCCATGGAAGAACTTTATCAGAAAAACCCGTAAATACTGAAATAAATGCCATAGCTGAAAATGCAATATTAGAGTTAAATGCCTTAGACACTGAAAAAAATTCAAGCCCTGTTAGAAATCAAGGGAGTCAGAAATTTTTTGAAGATGTAAAAAGTTCTAAATATTTAGACATTAGTGTCCTTGAAGAAAGATTGAAAAGAGAGTGGAACGATCTAGCTCGTAGTGAAACCAAAAATTGGTTTAATGTTATAATAGGTATTTGTGACACGTTGGTTGCAGAATGTGATTCTTACATTGTTTGTGATGACAAGGTTAATAGTTGGTGCGAGTTACTAAAAATGCTAACGTCATTTCGTTTGGCCGAAATTAATGAAAGCAATGTAATTTTTGAAAAATTTTTAGATTATATGAGAGAAAAGAAACGAGAAAATCCAAGTAACACATTAGACGAAGAAGAAGAAAATATCTGGAATGACATTAAACAGTTAAAACAGAAAAAAGATTCTGAATGGAAAAAGTACCACGTTGCAACTTGGAGGTATTGGTTTCAAAGGGAGTTCCCCACAGTTAACCTAATCCAGCAATGAATAAACGGAAGGATATAAAAGAATAATTGAGTATATAAATAAATGAATATCCATATAAATAAATATATACATCTATATATATATATATGACAAAAGAACTGGTGAGAGCTTAAATGGTTCAGGCGGAAAGTCACATTGATGTGTGATGCTCATGAACGAATAGACATATGAAAATATGCATCCTGTTGAATTCCTTTTTCTGAATAATCAATTTGTTCTGAAGGTATTTGATAGCAACGTTCATATAAATATGTAAGCAAAAAAAAAAAAACATCCATTTAATTAAATGCTCAACTTGCATTGTAAAATGGGTGAGGAATTCTCCTACGTATATTTTTAACATAGTACGCAATTTTGTATTTATTCACACCAGGAATATGTTTGATATATTTAATACAAGTAATAAAAGCACACAAATCTCCTTTTCACATATATATACATTTATATATGTATATATAGGTGTTCGAGACATATAGAATCTTCCCGACGTACAGAAAAATTCCTCTAGCAACCGTACTAGGGAATAGGGAAATTTGTTTATGCATTCATGTTTTTTTTTTTTTTTTTTTTTTTTTTTAACCTTTTTTAATTCTAAATTGTGAAATAATTTAAATATAGTTTTTATACGCAGTATGTGTTATGTTTTACTTTTTTTTTCTAATGTTACATTATTTCCCTTTCGCAAAAGAAAAAAAAAAAAAAATGAGGGAAAAGAATGGAAAAAAAGAGAATATAACAGACTGCATAGAAAACAGTGTTTCTTCCGTATTGCATGATGCCATATTCTGGCAATTGTATTTTTTTTTTTTTTTGTAAATAATTATGTAAAATTGCTTTTATTTAATATTAAACTTTTTTCTTTTTATTATTTATATGATAAATGTAAATGTGCACTAATTTTGTGCGCAGAAGTGATCTTTGCTGCAAGGTGCGAAAATAGGATTGTTTATCGAGATCGAATTAATGGAAATTATGAAAAGAATGAGAATAAATATGCAATAGTTAGATCGTGAATTAAAAAAATAAAGCTAAAGAGAGAAAAATCCATATTAATGCATAATGCTTATTGATTTTGCCAGATGTCTACAACATTTATAGATTTGCAATCATGTGTGCATAAATTCAGTGCGCTTAAATTTTTTTTTTAAAAATAATTTTTTTTTTTATTATTTGTGGAACGAATTTAAATTTTATAATTCACATTCGTAATAATAATATGATGTTTTTGTGTTTATATATGTGTATGGTAGCTTTAAGGTTATTTTTTGTGTATGTGTGTATTCCTTTTAGGAGGGGAATTAAACGCGCCCTTGTCTATTTGTGTGATAAGGGATAAACTAATTGAAATGTTTACAAAAACAATGGAAAAAAAATAAAACAGAAACAATCGTGGACATGTTATTAAACATATACAAAAATAGTGAGCACCCATTCCGTTGTGCATAAAGAAAAAAAAAAAAAAAAAAATTAGATAAGGGAGAAATGTCTAAATATATATAAATATACAATTATATATAAGTGTAAAGATGCGTAAGCTTATTGGTTGCATAAGTATAACACTTAAATTTTGCGAAAATTAAGCAATTTGGACGATTTGCACAACTTGCAAAATTAAAGAAATAATGAAATTCTCGAATGCTGTTCCTTTTTATCGAGTAGCAAAATTAAGACAATACAAAATGTATAACGCATCTTGCTAAAGTTCCGTTTGGCCATGTTCAAAATTTAGTCTCACTTTAAATGTACTGTTTTATCAATGCACATCACACGAATGAACATCCACATTAGTACGAAATTTTTGTTAAGCCATTAGATGCACAAATACAGGAATTATATATGTCTTGCCCAATATGACATAATGTATGGAGAGTTCTTATTTACAATATCCATAATCAGAATGAAAAAAAAATTTTTTAATTATAAATGAAAATGAAACAATGCCAATTTAAAAGAATTTACACTTTAACGACTTAATATTATTAATATGTTTAGTTAAGTCTAATTAGTCCATAAATATTAAACTAATAGTTTATAAAAATAATGGAACCGCGCCAAAACTGCAGAATGCAAAGCGCTAAAAATAAAAAATGAACATAAACTACCTAGTAAAAAAAAAAAAAAAAACACCATATAATAAAATAAATAACAATATATGTACCAAAATTAGTAAAACTATGTTTCAATGAGTACTTTGCGTATATATATAGTAAATATATAAATACAGTAGAAAAAATTATTCACGCACGTAAAAGGCTCAAATGTTTATGAATATATATAATGTATACTATATTTATGCTTTATAAAAAACATCTTTCTGATTATATTATATATCATCATTTCAATTGCATGAGTATAATATTTTATCAAAAAATAAAAAATAAAAAAAAGTGTGTCATTGTATATGAACTAGTTCTCTAATCAGTGCTACACGAACATGCTATTTCGCTATAAAGAGGACACTTCATCCCCCTTTATTTTTTTTTTTTTATCTTTGTCCTCATAAAAAAAAAAAAAAAAAAAAATATATCATGTTGTATATAATAGCTAATCAAATAAAACTTCATAGTTGGGAAAACTACCCAGATCCATATGTTAATAGTTTCACATCTGAAAAAAATCAATTTTTTCCAGTCACTTTTTCCTCTATTATTATTGCAAAAAATAAGAAATAATTATTCCATTTTGTATTGAGAAAATGTTCCCTGAAGTGTTGAGAAATACAAAATATAATTACTAACCTGTTTAAGTGATTAAAGTGTATAAGATAACGCTGTTTAACGATGTCATGATATGTGTTAAAGCAATGCAAAGTTGTTTTTTTTATTATTATTATTTTTATTTTTTTTTTTTTTCTAATTACAAATAAAGCGTGCTTATCCATTTTTGTTAAAAAAAATAAATATACACATGTGAATAATATCGTATTTTTCTACCTCGTTTTAATATAAATTTTTTTTGGCATGCGAAAACATGCAGCACAAGGATCCCATTGCGCTTAGTTATATTTTTTTTCTTAAAGGTGAATACCATAGTATATTAATCTAGAAAGTTTGATATATATTTTTTTTCGAAACGTCCTTAATGTCATTTGATTAAATTTAACACTTTTTTTTTTTTTTTTTTTTTTTTTTTAATTAGAATCCAAGGTGTTTTTAATTTTTTTGTTACAAAATAAATAATTTACACATTTGTAATATTTATGTATTAATTATTTTTAAAAAAATTTTATTAGCATTTGCAATTTTTTGAAAATATTAGTACATTAGTTTGAACTATCATAATTTAGGCCACTTTTCTTTTTTTGTGATATAAGTAATACATAAAATCGCATATATTGTATATTAATTTACGTATTTTTATATGCATTGTACATTTTGTAACTTGGTGAATTTTCATAAAAAGGAAAAAATAATTAAGGGGAAATTTTAGCACAAGCAATATTAGAACTTTCCATTTGCAATTTAAACTTAGGGAGGACAGGCACATTTTCATTATTAATAAAAATATGATAAAAACGAAAAGGTATTCCATCAACGAAATATTCAAATTTCTCACATTTTCCAAAATATCTGCTTTAGTCCTTTTAATTTGGATTCATCATAATTACAATAATGTAACCACTGAGGTATAGAAGCAATGTAAAGTTTTGCACGTCCTAAAATAAACTACAAATAAAGAATTCCAAAATGGAATAGCATCTCAAGACAAAATAATAATAGAAATAATATAATACTTTTTTTTTTTTTTTGCAGGGTAACCATCGTAGCTATTTATTGTATGAGAAAGACAATACAAGTGAGAAGTTTTACCTATACTGTAATCGATTGTTAGAAAAGTACGAATATGGAAATAATTCCAGGAAGAGGCAGTTAAGTGAAAATGTGAAAGGTAGTAAAAATATAGTTAATTCATCACAAAAGTGGACCTGCAGTTCAAATTCTGATTATCACCCTACTTCTGATACTGAAACAGAATCTGAACAGCTAAATATATGCACTGATAGTGAAGATGATGAACCGGAAGACAAATATGATGGATTTTGTGCAAAGGTCCTTACTAGTTCTCAAAAAAGAGCATTAAAAAAATTTTGTTGTTCACAGGATTTTGCATGTCACAGACATATTTGTAGAAGGAGATGGCTGAATAAATTATCTAAGAAACCCAGTTTATATTTCGTTTACATACCCATAGTATTGACGATATTAATATGTTTCTTAGCCGCTGGCTTAGCCTCAAGCTCTATGTTATACCCTGTTCCGATTATATTAATTAAGGCATTTTCATTATTTGTTATTTTTATTTTGATTAAGATGTCATAATAAAAATGATGAAATAAAATGAAATGAGGACAGCAGGAGGATGAGTTTGACACATTTTTGTGAAGAAAAAAGAAAAAACATTATCCTCCGAATTTGAAATTATTTGTAAAATATTTAACACTATGAATTAACCATCAAATATTTAATTATACGCACGCTTGCGTTTTCCATTTGAAAAAGAACTTAATACATGAGGAATAATAAAATGCGTATATTTAATCTGTGGGTTAACTCGAGCCTATCGTTTTCTTAAATTTGTAATTTTGCGTTTGACATAATGTGTGATCATATGCTTTGAGTTCCCACACGTGTACATATACACACATATATATATATATATATATATACTGCTCCCATTTGTGTGTTCTTTTGACCAATTTCTGTTTATGCAAATATTAACACACAAAAAGATTTTTATTGTAATTTCACTGTATCCGTGTGTCTGCTTGCGTTTGTAGTATTTATTAAATGTCTAGATTTGATCATGTATTCCATTTGAAAAAAAAACTTTATTATTCGTTTTAAAAATATATATCAAGAACACTTAGTTCTGTATAGAAGTAAAAACGCAGGAGTCTATATCATATACATTTAAAATGATCGATGTACATAATAAATGTATATGTCTTTCCATAATTGCAGTAAAAAGGGATGTTATACAAATTAATCAAATTTAATGTAAAAAATTCTTATTTAGTGGATGATTAGATTTTTACCGTAGGTATAACAAAGCCAAGTTATTAACCCAATGTGTTCTAATTTAATCACTCATTTGTGAATTAATTTTTTTTTTTTTTTTTTTTTTTGTGTCACTTCGCTTATTCAACGATCTCACTAATTTATCTTTCGTTTGATGGTTCAAATTCTTTTACTATAACTTTTTTCAATGATATAGCAGTTTTATGTCGAATTGGATAAGTTAAAATTGAGGTATGCATATACATATTGTAAATATGTATATTCAATAAAGCGATTTAACTCAGGCGACAGTGACCAACTTTGCAAAAAAGTTGATGGAAATGAATTAATTATATAATTTAAATAATTATTCTATTAATTTTTTTTTTTTTTTTTCTTCTATTTTTTTGTCACATTTAAAGTGGTATAAGAATTAAATGTGCATTCTTATATTTGAGTACAAAATATTTGCAAGGTAAAATGGGGTTATCTACGACTATAAATTATATTTTAAACTTGTGACAATTTAAAATTATTTTTTTCTAAAAATGTACTAGATAAAAAAATTATATTTATTATTTTTTTTATTAAATGGGATTCATAAAACAATAATCTCTTCTGCAGCATTACGTTTTTGAAGAATTATTATATTCTTCATTTCTTTGAATATTTTTACCTACAGTTAAAATGGTCTATTTTATGTAACACTATTGTAATATATAGGTATTCGATAACCCTTTGGTGGAAAATAAAAATGCATGTTCTATTAATTGTGGAAAATTGCATAACTTTTAAAAATCAATACAGAGAAATAGAAAATAAAATAATAGATCAAGGGTTTTAAATTTTCTCATGTTGATATAATTCACGTAGCTCTTGAAATACTTATATCATCAGTAGGTTAAATACATGTTATAACATAAAATGGCACTTTTACCAGAGAATAAATGGGTATACTTAAATTTTCATTTTATAGATATATTGTTGTTGAAATATTCTACATATTTTTTTAAAATAATGAAGGATATTTTTTTTAATTAAAAAATATATTAAAATTAAATTTATTTATTCAACTTAATTAACAGGAAGAAAAATTGCCAGATCTGCCTTCATATAAAGAATATAAAAAATTCGATGTTGACACTGCTGATTATAATAATGATTTCTGTGCAAAATTAGAAGGCAACACATCGGATAAAACACTTTGCAATAAAATAGCAAAAAATTTATCAATACTGAAAAGTGAAAATGATAAAAAGAAACAAAAAGAACGTTGTCACTACTTTCAACACTGGTTCCAAGACCAGATAAGTTTAAAGTATTATGAAAGGAAAGACACACATAATGATAATCCTGTTGCTGGTAAACTTTTTGATTTAGTATCAGATGCCATTTTAAATCATAATATAGATCAAGGTTGTAGAGGCAATTTTTTTGGAAGAGCATCAACTTGGAAAGAAGACAAAGATTTGCATGATTATTTTTATAATTTTGAATATATACAAAAAAATAAATCAAATAAAAAGGATTGTAAAAACTATGTTGATTATGTTACGTATATCGATAAGTTATATATACCTAAGGAAGAGGACTGTTGTGATGAAGACTATATGTATGATCAATACTGTGCTCCTTATATTAAATGCGGACACAAGTACAATACCGAGACTTTATTAGATGAATTGAAAACAGAACTTGCGTCACTAAGAAATAAAGAAGATCAAGTAAATGAAGATATTGTTAGTTTGCCAGAGGAAGTGACTTCTATTTCCTCATCGAAAGAGGAGACTCAGTATGGGGCTAGTGAAGAAGAATCGGATATCTCACATCTTGAAAGATATGCAGCTCCTACAGACAGTACTGATAATATCAGTAGTATAGAAAGAATGTATAATCACCTCGATGCAAACCATTTTTATAACATCATCATAACTACATCTGTACTTGGAACAATTCTCTTCCTTTTCTATTACCATAGGGTAACTAGACAGTAAATTTTAAAATACAAGAATTTTTTTGTTAGCACTTGTATTTTTTATTTTATTTTAAATGTTTAATTATAAGGTAAAAATACATTTGAACACGTTTCAATATATTTATTTTTGCGTTAGTCTTCTCGATTAGGATCAAGTGAACGCAAAAGTAAAAAAAAAAAAAATAAAAAGGAGAACAATTATTATAATAATTTTGATGAAGATTTAGGGATGTATGATTCGGAAGTTACGTATTTAAATTCTCAAACATGTCGATTTTATGTGACTTATGATCAAGCAAAGAATCCCTATTATTGATTATATATATAACTTAAAGCCTTTTTAGGGTAATAATGTATGTACAGGAAATGCTTGAATAATTTGAATACTTATTTTTAACAATATAAGTTGGAAAGAAAAAAAAATAATCAAAAAAATGGGGCAAAAATGTCTTAATACTATTTTTTTTATTGAAAAAAATGTGGATTTTATCTGAAATGTGTAAAATTGTTATAGATTCAAAGCAATTAAAACATAAAGAAATTGGGTGAACATTTATATAATTAAAAAAAAAAGAGAGGAGAAAAAATTAATATATAAAGTTACATTCCATATTAATTATTTAACAGCAAATTATGACACATTTACGCATGTTCTCATGAAGAAAACATGTTGGAACTATAGGAATATTTCAGTAAGATTACTTCAGCAGAAGGAATGTGCAATATGTCATAATTGTACAATGGTAATACCATAAATTTTACAAAATTGAAAATTTCGGAAATGAAAACATAAATGATAATTTGAAAATACGTTAAGCATTATCCAAGTGTGGTGTTAAAAGAGGATCATATGTAGGGATATGTTATAATATATTATTTTGTTTAGAAGACTTATAGAACATTTTTTTTTTTAAACATTATTATATAATTTAGTCAAAAAGTAATAATTTTAAATATGTGCTGTGAACACAGAATTTTTTGTTTCTTATAATTTATAATTAAGTTTTTTCTTTTTGAATTTTTTTGTTTTTTTACTTTAAATTTTTTGATGTTTTTTTTTTTTTTTTTTGTAATTTGTCATATTGGCATAATTTTAAAATCTTACTAATCATAATTAGTAATAGATTATTTGTTTAGCTAATTTTAATAGCAATATTTGATGTATTCACAAGAATAAAAATATTGTATTTCAATCCGTTGCGAAATATTTTTGTTTAAAAATTACTTTACCAAATAATATTATATATGCTTCTAACATTAAAAAATAGTATATTAAGGATACACTATAATTATGGTTATTTCATTTATTTGTTATACGAGCATAGAAGGAAATACTGTGTGTGTACCTATGATAGAATAATGGTATTAGATTAATACTGTTGTCTATTTTTAAAAATGAATATAATTTAGTAGTCATAACAATAAAATGGGAGGGGAGGAAAAAAAAAAACTTATATAATAATATTTAAAATGCTATAAAACCTTTTGTAATTATCACTTATTCGTAAATACATATATATAAATGAAGGAGCTGTTTAAGCAATATACGAGCATTTAAAAGAAATTTAGAAAGAAGAATATATATATTAGAAATATTTAGTAAAAGTTATTGTGTAATATTTACAACATAAAGAATAAAATTGCATTGCATACAATAAAAAAAAGCAAATAATAATATTATAATAGAAAATGGAGTTATAACTGAAACTGAAGAATAATTTTACATAGACTAATAGCAGAGTTTGAGGGGACTTTCCGCATGTCACTTTTAACATACGATTTTTGTCGTTCTAGCCATTTTATAGATCAGAGAAGAAATTGTCACTTTAAGAATTATATAAAATTCATTTATTTGGTCTTTATATATATATATGTATATTATTTGATCATTCTGTAATAATTTTATGTTAGCTATGTTTTATTTACCTTCACTTCAGGTTAATTGAGGACAAATTTATATTTTAAATATACATTTTTTGTTACGTGTAAAGCTTTATTGATCTGCAATCTGTAAACATTATTCGATGTGTTTCCCATGATTCCTGATTTGTTTTTAGTTTAATCTCTCTATGGATTTCATTTAATCTTCTATTTTATTCATTGAAATATATTTCCTCGTTTTATCGTGTTCGTTTGTTCAGTATCAAACGATTTCTTTTCTTGTGTAATGATTTTAGGTATACTTTATCTGTATCCTTAATTGCACAATTTATCTCATTATAGTGCACTTTAATGAATTTTCTGAAGCATTAGTCAAGTGGAAGACATATGCACTCGTGTTATATTTTCACCATGGAATATTAAGCTGTTATGACATATTCATATGTATCGTTATTATTTATTAACTTTTTTTTTTAAAATATAAGTATAAAATAGATTATTCTCTTCAAAAAAATATAATTCCTACGAAAATAAAGTCGATAGAATGCTAAATAATTATGATTTACTTCTAGCACGTATTATTTTTCGGATATATATACATAAACCATCCACATTTGGAATTAAACATACGATTCAAGCAAATGTTACAAAATAAGAAACTAGGAAAATAATATTCTCTATGTTATATATTTAAAAATTAATATGAATTATATTTCCCTCCTCTACGTCTTTTATGATTATAAAATAGAACATACATTATAAATGTTATATAACCCTAATTCGACATTACTGATTTTTTTAATATTGAGAAATACACAAATTTAATTTACCTAATGATGATAAATAAACATACACAAAAAAGATCATTTTATAAATTAAAAAATATAATTTATTCTTTAATAATTTCAAAACCAGAAAACAAAAAAAAAAAAAAAAAAGAAATACACAAATGCATATTATTATAAAAATTTATGACTTATGTTATATGCTGTTATTATTATGTTAAGATTTTTATATTATTTGTCAGAATAAATAACAATTCATTAAAGCTGTAATTACCCCAAGTACATAATATTACGAAATGAATAATTCTAGTCCTTATAATATGGTTACATATATGCATGAATAGCACTAGATCAATTCTAGCAAAATTGGCCTTTATCACGTGATTAAATTAGAATAATATACACATGTTAAGTTCATTGTAGAGTTTATTATTATATTATATGTTTGATGAATATATTATATGGATTAAATTTAAATATCATTTCATTTAAGTTATGACAAGGGTGTGATAATTGCGATGAATCATTATTAGTCATAATAAAGTAAATAATTACTAATACCTGAAATATGTGATTCTATAAAGTCATATTTACCACCAAAAAACCTAAACTTTAAACACAAAAAATATTATACGTGAAGCTCAAACCTGAGTTATATAAAACAATTTAATCATAATAGTTAAACCATAACCTATAAATTAGAGCAACGATAAAAATATAAGTTGTCATGCACTTTTCGACTATGCTATGTAGAGACATGGGTGCTATAAAATATTATTATTACAAATATTATAATAAGAAATAGGTTTATAACACATATTATTTATTATAATTTAATAGAAAACGTATACATTTAACTTGTTTTTAGTTAAAAAAATATATATAAATAAATAAATAAATAGACATGTTAATTATTGTTAACAAATTTCATAACAGCACATGTATGTATTTAATTTTAAAGTGACAGTGTAATATATGAAATGCTAGAATATAAACTTTTAACATAAAAAATAAAAGCAAAATATGTACCATTAATTAAGAGAAACATAAATGAATTCACATATACAACTTAACGACATATTTTATATATATGTGAAGAGGTTATAAATGTACATACACATATATAGATCACACATATTTAAGTAAATATGTTAGAACTAATTTATTTTTATTAGGAATGAAGCATAATTCCAGTTATATATCTAATAGAATATTAAATTAAACAAATAAACTATAAATATACATGTGATATTTTCTTTTGGAATTATAGTATTATTAAATTATGTGAAAAATATTGACACATAACACACAAAAAAATAATTAAATGTTAGCGCATTTTCAATGCATATGACAAATATTATTTCTTTTATTTTTTTATAACACTTTTTTTATGCAAAAAAGAAAGAAAAAAAAAAGTGTTATATAATTCAAGGAATTATTAACGTGTCAATTAAACATGTAGAAACATCCACAATTACAACACTTAAATTAAACACATATTTACTAAAAAAAAAAAAAACATTACTTTTTTTTCATTTGGGATTTTCGAGATTTTAATATTTTTATGTTTTCAATTTTTTCAAATTTTCTAACTTTTTCAATAACATATAAAACTGCTGATAAAAATGTAACAAGTGCTGCAATGAACGATACATTTACAATATTTAATGCATCCATTCCTCCAGAACCTCCCACTCCAAATGAAGAAAGTATATAAACGAAAAATCCTTGTATCAAAATAAAAAAACCTATAATAAAGCTTATAGCATTTATATTAAATAAGAGTTTTTTTAAAGTCTTATTATTCATTCCCATATTTTTCTTAGATTTATATAATTTTTCAAGATAACTGAATATTTTTTTTTCAAAGTGAGAATCAATTCTTTTCATGGTCTTGTATATAAAAGAAAACACTGGATTTGAATATTTGTCATAACTTTCAAAATTGTTTTTTAACCATTCTCCTTTATTAAATAATACTCTATTTTGCACGAGTGGTAAATTAGTTTTTAAATTTGTTTGCTTTGGTTTGTTTAACACTTCTGTTTTCGGTGTTATATTCTTTAGGTGTGGTAAATTAGTTTTTAAATTTGTTTGCTTTGGTTTGTTTAACACTTCTGTTTTCGGTGTTATATTCTTTAGGTGTGGTAAATTAGTTTTTAAATTTGTTTGCTTTGGTTTGTTTAACACTTCTGTTTTCGGTGTTATATTCTTTAGGTGTGATGAATTAATTTTTACGTTCGCTTGTTTTGGTTTGTTCGGCATCTCCATTTTCGGTGTTATATTCTTTACGTGTGGTGAATTTGTTTTTATATTCTTTTGTTTTGGTTTGTTCAACACTTCTGTTTTCAGTGTTATATTCTTTACTTGTGGTAAATTCGTTTTTACGTTAGTTTGTTTTGGTTTGTTCAACACTTCTGTTTTCAGTGTTATATTCTTTACTTGTGGTAAATTCGTTTTTACGTTAGTTTGTTTTGGTTTGTTCAACACTTCTGTTTTCAGTGTTATATTCTTTACTTGTGGTAAATTCGTTTTTACGTTAGTTTGTTTTGGTTTGTTCAACACTTCTGTTTTCAGTGTTATATTCTTTACTTGTGGTAAATTCGTTTTTACGTTAGTTTTTTTTGGTTTGCTCGTTGCTTCCATTTTCGGTGTTATATTCCTTACGTGTGGTGAATTTGTTTTTACATTCGTATGTTCTTGCTTCTTCAAGAGTTCATTTCTTACCAATAAGCGTTCAATTTTTTTATCTAATGGTTTACCAAGATCTTGTTTTTTTTCAAAATATTTACCAAGCGTACACTGAATAAAACAATGCATATATTACTATTTTGTAAAATAAATAATTTCATATAAAGGATAGATAAGTTTAAATATAAATAAAGCCATAAAGATTACACAAATATTCACACATATTTATTATAATACCTCATCATTGAAGTACTGACATACGTATATTAGAAGGATAAATATAGTGATTTTAATGAAAAGTTGAATCCTATTTTTTTCCCTCATGATGTTAATATTTAATATAATCACAAAAAAAAAAAATACTTAAATTATAATACGACAAAATAGTAGAAAATAAGATAATTATTATAATATTTTATTAATAACTTTTGTCTATTCTTTTAAACCTTATTAAAATAACATGTTTTTAATTCATATTAGAATAAAGAAGTTTACAATTCATCATATGAATATATTCTTTAATAATATTCTTTGCATAGTGCTTATAAAAAACATTTGTAAAACTAATTTTTACATTTTATTAATATGTAAATATTAAGTTATGATATTTTAATATGTATTCTCATTAACATTATAAAAATAATTAAAAAAAAATAAATAAAAATAATGCAATTCTGGGGAAATCTAGGATATATTTAAGACTAGGAAAATGGAAAAAACAGAAAAAGAATAATACTATTACATTGAGAATACAATTGAAATTTTTGTTCTAACTTAAGGATATCGCATTTTTGGATACGTTGCATTTATCAATCATAGTTCTCATATTGTAATTAAAAATAATATTTAGAACACTAATAATTACAACATTGACATAAGTAATATTTGGAAAAAAAAATTATAAAATAGAAAATATAGAATATTTCATATCTGTTTCCGTATAAATTTTTTTATTAAATAATATATTTAACAAATTTAAATCTAAAAAATTAGTATGGGAAATAATGTAAATTTTTTTTTTTTTTTTTAAAATAAAAATATGTACGCATTGCAGTATGTTCTATAAATATACCAATTTATGATTAACTCTTATTCGATAAATGCTTAAATAATTTGAAGCATTTTTATGCTATTTAATTTATTGATTTATTATATATTTTTTTTTATACATTTTGTATTTTTAAAAATGTGGATAAAATAATGTGCAGATGAATTCTTTAAGCACCTGTAGCTCGTTAAGACATAATTATATGATGTATATGAGTTCATGAGAATATCATAAGGTACTACTAATTCCAAAATAAATAATATAATACACTTTATTTATTGATGTTTATCTGCTTATAACTTTTTTAATTTTTCGGATTTAATGTATAATTTTTCAGTAAATGTTATATCAATTTAAGTTGTATGCTTGCGATGAAAGCAATTGTATTTTAAAGTCCCTACAGATTCTTATTTTACAGTTTGTTAATTCATTGGGCAAAACTATTTTACAAGATATTTATATATTCTAGAAAATTAAGTAGAAGTATTTTTTTTTCAGCAATGCAACAGATTAAATGAGGACTGCAAGAAGTATTATGTAGGTTGGTAGATAGAACACAATTTTTTGTACACTTGGAAAAATGTATGAAAAAAATAGTAAATTATGGAATAACTCTGTTGAGGATATATGTATAATTAAGTTATAAAAATAAACAAATATGTTTATGTATAACTCAAATATACATATTTGTACTTTCTGTTGAGCTGAAAAAGCTTAATTACATAAAAAGTTTTCCTAAAAATTACATTGGCTTCTGCATTTCAAAAAAAATTTCAATTCACAAGTGTTAAAGAGTTCTTCTGGTTACTATGCATCCCATATACGTGTGATACTGTAGATGGAAAAAGAACTTGTCATGTAATATGTTTTCTTTTTGGTTATCTCATCACATCCCTACTCTGCAAACAGAATTTTAAAGCACCGTATTATTCTATAATAATATATGCTTGTTAGTTTTTCGTTATGTTCTAATTTTATTTTGGAACTTTGTTGTTCGTTCTTGTACAAGGTATTACCTATATATATAATTCTTACTTTAGGATATTTTATATTGATATTGTAAATTATGAAATACATAATAATTGCATTTATCGTGAAAATATACTTACGAATTAAAAATTACTTTCAATTAATTATAGAACGCGTATATCTATCTAGAGCGACATTTTAAATTAAATTGTTTTTTTATTATCACCTACGAACATAACATTATAAATAGCACATGAACATGTTGTTATGGTGGATGATAGGATTTAATAGTTTCCTTATTTTTTGGTAGAAAATGATAAGAGCTCCTTAACACGTATGATCATAAAAATATATGAATTGTACATATATATACAATACACAATACATAAGAATGGTTTAATAATGCATAATATATAATGTGAGAATCAGATGAAATTTGACTTAGTGCTAAAAGTATATATATATATATATAAATACATTTTTCTTCTATTTAAGAGATATATAGGTATCTATTTATATATTGAACATAGATTTGTTTGGGCCCAATTTAGACAATATTATTTTTTATGCGGACGCACATTTAATGTAAAAAGGATTATTCTATATTACAAGTATTTTGTATATGAGACTCTTTATATTTGCGATGATTTATCATTTACCAGAATGTCTGAGATAAAGTTTTGATAAAATAATAGCAGCATATTCCATATGTCATAAATGTTAGATCATAATGAAATTATTTTTGTTTCCTATCCATTTATAGTCCTACAACATGTTTGCTTCTATGTATAAATATATTCTTGTCGACATTGTAGATGTATAAACAATATCATTCCATAAGCGTATTAAATTAAAAAAATAAAAACTGCAGAATTATTCCTTTCAGAAAAAAGAACATCAGGTAAGGTATAACATATATGATATATCTCAAATAATTAGAGCGACTGCTACCTTTATTTTTATTATTTATTTGTGGATTATCTATAAACTAGTTTTGCAAGTTCAGAATATAAGGGTCAACCATTATGGGGTCCTCATACAATAGGATTAAGAAAATTACAACATTTTCATTGTATTACACATGAGAAAGAAGCATTATGAAAATGACCATATAATTTTTTGGAACATAATTTTTTAGAACAATTATTATAAAAATTCAAAATGAAAGTTTATAAAAACATAAATCTTCCTTTTGAAAAAAAATAGAAACCTAATTTTCGAAATATATAGGAAACAAGGATAGAAGGGCATAAGTTAATTATTTGTAGTAAGTTTTAAAACGCATCTTTGCTCCTCCAATTGTTATATATTCACCTGTGTGAACTTTTTTTGAAATAGATAAAATTGCAATAAATTTTGATATTTATCTATGTAATACTTAAGGGTAGGAGAAATAAGAACTTTTCATAACAGATTTAAATAGCTATTTAAATATATAAATAGCCATTTTTTCATAGTATCTCCAGCAGGTGTAATACACACATAATATAAGCATGATTTAAATTTTATGAGGGATTTTATAATTAAAAAAAATGGAGATATCTGTAATGAACAGCGTAAGTTATATTGCACGAAAAGAATGTTTACCTTAAGGAACACAGGATTAAAATAAGGATAAAAATGGAATAAAAATAGTAAATAAAACTTGAGTTACTCTATTTTAATAGCACACAAAAAAAGTTTTAAAAGCTGAATAGGTAAAAATATGAAAGACATACAACATATCATTTTTTTCATAGCATATTTAGCTGCTTATATGATAAGAAACATATGCTTTGTTCTTGACATTATGAAAAACAAAAAAAAATATATTGTAATATATAACATCACGAAAGTTGTAATTCCAATCATATATTACACATAACAAATTTTAATTAAGAAATGTAAAAGGTTTAAGTGCTGGAGATATTGTGAATTATTAAATTTATATTAATGGTTTAAAAAAAAAACATTTTAGTTATATATGGGATACTACTGCATGATTATTATTAAACAATAAATTAACAATCTATATTATCATTAATTTAGTATGACAGGTTGGGGAATAAAATGGACTTGTAATAGTTTAAATTACAAAACGTGTAAAACTTATAAGGATCAGCTTTGTTTATTGCTTAGTTTAATTAATAGATTTTATTTATTAAATGCCTTTATTATGTTGTTCATAGATTACTGTTTTATCGTTCTAATAGGGTATTACTTTTTTTTTACTCTGTTTATTTAGTAGAAATTATGAAAATAATTAAGAAGAACATTTTGAATTATTGGGCTATAAATAACAAATATTAAGTAAATAGTTTAGAACTATGAACGAGTTTAATTCCTTTTATTAGATAGTTATCATAAGGATGTGAATTTCTATATGTATTCAAAGACTTTATCATACATTAGTCCGAATATATTTATCGTACTTAACTGTGAGATTATTCAATTTTTATAGCAATAAAATTGATATGTTATATAATACCTTAAATGACACATCATTATAATACAAGTATAATATTACCATGATAGATTAGTTGCATAATATACTGCAAATGATATTTGTGTTTTATCATTCATTTGATCTTGTGTAATTTGTAGTTAACTAACTCATTTATCATAATTAAGAATGTGAAATTTTCTTACAATTAATCAATAATTAGATTAGTACTGAATTTTATATTTAAGGTAGTAAATATATTTTTGCTTAATGAATGTTATAAAAAATTTATGTATTATATGTGTTCATTCATTTTAAATATAATATCTATTCATTTTTGTAGAATTTTTTATGTGATTATTTTCATTGTGAAGGGTAGTTATGTATTATATGCACATTTCTCAGAATTCATTTTTTAGCAGATTTAAAAAAATTTATATCATAACATAAAATTAAAAAGAATTAATGATGGGCTTTAAAATTTTAAGTTAGACATAAAATATTCCTCAAGTGCTAATTGTAAGTTGCATTAATCCTTTTCCATTTCTACGTATTGTAAGATTTAAAGAGTTCCTTAAATCTTCATTTGCTAAGCAATAATTTAATATATCTTAAATGTTGACAACATTAATTATATAATAACAAAATATAATATTTGGTGAATTCACTAAAACTTCGTGAATACTGGGTTATATTAATATTAGTGCTAATTTATATGTAAAAGGAAAAAATCATGTTTTAAATATATGGATATTTTTTATGTTAAACAGTGGTTGATATGGATATGACTTGCTACTTTATGAGTTATGCGAATTATTCGCGAATAAAAAGTAAGAATTCAATTATTTGTCATATTAAATATATTTTTTATTCTTAGTCTAAAAAAAATTATAAATCATAAAATAACATAATTATACTATTAAACAAAAAGTCAGAAAAAAATATATCATGATTTATAGCAAGAACTGGTCTCTTTTTTTTTTTTTTTTTTTTTGCTTATTGTTTGTTATTAAAAGAGTATCATTTTTATTTCTAACAACAAATGGCATTTATTAATTCAATTATTAAGTTCTGAAAAAATACTGTATTTAAAAAAAAAAAAAAAAAAAATCCTAAAAAAAAGAACCATAACTTTATAAACTAATATATGTATGAATTTAATACAAATTCTTTCTTTTAGAATTAAAAAAAATTATATGCATAAAAAATAAACTATCGGAAAAATAGAATAATTCTAACCATAAACAGAATAGTAGTAGTATAAAAAAAAGATGCATATGAATCTAAATGTCTACTATAAATCCTAAATGTTTATTCTATATAAAAAAAGAAAAAAAATATATAAATATACAAAAATAAATTTAAATAATGATATTCCATCTTCTTTATTTTAATTACTATTCTACATTAAATATTATTCGTAATAATATTCAGAAAAAAAAATGCTTACATTGTATACTAAACTTTTTGATGAATTTGAGTGAATAATATCTTTTATTAAAATTTTTTAAAATTTATAAAGAAAAAAAGCATATACTTAATGATGGATCTAATACTTAATTTGTGAATTTTCATTAAAAAATTATATAATAATTTTTTCTATTTGATGAATTTTTTTTATGTATATTCCATCTAAGCAACATATTTCATTAATCATAAACATAATAAATATTATTTATCTACTATTTTTGCACTTTATTTATTACAGAAACCGTCGTGAATATAAAAAACAATGAAATATTGTTAGTTCAAATTATTAAATTATTAATACGTTTTTATTTTTTATGTTCATTTGAGTTTTATGAGAAATTTGACTGTCATAGTAAGCAGATAAGTTTGGTTCATATTTACAGCTAAAGAAGTGCTTATTTTTCTCTGATACGTTTAATAATTATTACAATCGAAGTTGAAAAAAAAAAATATAGACATCAAAAAATTATTAAATATGAATAAAGGATTTCATTAATTATAATTTATGTTATCATGAGTACACAATTTAATCACTTTATCAAATAATTTATGTAATTGTCCAATTAAATTAATAAAATGAGAAAAAAAAGGAAATCCGTTTTTTTCACCACTTTTGTGTTTTTCAAAGAAAATTAAAATGAACATCACTAAGGATCTGTGTACAACAGTTGTTACCAAAGTTAAGAGTTTTCTTTTTCTCTCTGATAATGCTCAAAACATATGTGAATGTTTCCCTAATAATGGTTCTTCAACTATTACATCTACGTGCTGTGTTAATTCTAATCATAGTGGTCTTTCGAGTTGCAGTCAAAAAATTGAGAATTCCTTTAAAACCCCAACCAGATTAGATAATACATTTCCAAGTGCACTGGCTTTATTTTTTTTAAGTGACAGCAGTTGCTTAAATGCTATAAAAGATGTCTTAAGCTTAATGAAGAATAACAAACACTGTGGTATAAATGTTTCAGATATAGAAATGTTTGAAAAAAATATGGTATATATAGAGCATCTTAAGAAACCTATAGAAATTACCTTGAGTTTTATGGATAAAATTCATACTGCAATTGTTATGTGCAAGAAATTATTTTTAAAAATATTGGGAAATTTTACAGAATTCCAAATCGCTATCCCGTTGTGTATCTCATTATCTGTTACAGTTATTCTTATATTTATATTCTACCATGTAAATATTACGTTTTATGAGAATTATTAATATATATTTTTTGATAACATATATTAAGTAAAAAAATACATAATTATGTAATATATTTACAGGTGCGTGAATAATAATTTTATCATTTTCATTAGATTTATGCGTTAGGACCATTCTTAAACAGATGCACTAAACAGAAGAATGAGGCTCAAAGTTATGTTGAAGAAATACAATACACTATTCCACGGTATCCAAATAGGACGTATAACAATTACTTATTATGGTATCAATAAAGAAATGAATAATGTTGTATAATAATACACAATGTCAGTTATATTAATTATAATAATGATTAACATGATGAATAATTGAATTTATAATATCGAGTTCTTTTAGGAATAAGGAAAAAAAAAAAAAAAGAAAAAAAAGCAGATCGTTAGATATGTCCAGTTTATTCATAATTATATAATTTTCGCCTTAATATTTGAAAGAGTAAAGGGTAAAAAAAAATTAACAACTGAAAATATGAAGAATATTAATTTAATTCTTGTTATAAGAATTATTTTTCTCATAAAATAAGTTTTACAGGGAAATCACAACAAAAATAGTCAAGTTTAAAATTAGAGCTAATGTGTCTTGTTTTTTTTTTTTTTTTTTTTTTTTACATTATTCTTTACAAATCCAATGTGTTAAAAATAATTTGGATATAATTATATTCATATAATTATTATTTTTAATATAAACTTGGGTTGTACTGTAAAGGAAATTTTTTTGATCCATGTGACATATGCTACAATAAAATATGTGTTCATTTATTTGTTGATTTGTCCATATAACTTACATAATTTAAATATATGACAGCTTGGATGTATATTTGCGTTAAAAAAAATTGAAAATTGACGAATACAAGCATCTGTAAATAATCATCGTCATTTTTTTTTTTTTTTTTTTTTTGTCTTTTCTTATACATGAAAGAGACATCAATGTAGACTAACAATGTGAAAATATAATTGTATAATTTTAACATAGTGAAAAATATGCTCTAAAATATTATGAAGGATAGTATCATTATTAGCATCAAATGATACACATTCTTTGAAATTATCATTTTATTAATCCCTTAAAAATTGAATCAAAAATAACAAGAACAGTGTGCTTAAAAATGTAGTTATAATTAAGATATAAAAGTTTACCTATTTGAATTTGATGCCACATACGAATAATAATTGCTTAATTTTCAGCATTTTTTTGAGTTAATTTTATTTTTTCTTTGAAGCATGTCCGTAAATCATTTCCTTTATTTATTAAGTCTATACCTAATTTATTTTTACACTCCTCTCATAACTTACACAACATTTGTAAGGGGTTTTATCAGATTCATAATACTGTGAAAAGATGTTTTGCGATATTTGTCTTCTTATTTATTAGAGTAATTTCGAATCAAATGCGTGGGAAAACATGATATGTAATTATAATCTTTATTTCGATTAATATATTCATTAAAATATGTTAGGATGTATAATATGTGTCTAAATGATTTATAGTTAATAAAAATGATAGAGATATTCATTTTATACTTATTCATATGTTGAATAAAAAATATAATAAAATTATATTCATTATATATATTTTTACTTAATGTACCAAATTTGACACCTTTGTGTTTAAATTAAGACAAATAAAAGATTTTTATTCTGCTACCTTTATATGTGATAAAAGTAAAAGATAAATTATTAAAACATGCATAAATGAAAAAAACAAAAAAAAAACACTCATTTTATAGTATTGTTTTTAACATTATAAAATAGCAGTACACAAATATACAAATTATGATTACCTAATTTTATGTACGTAGTTATGTCTTCATGTAAAATAGGTTATGTCATTATATTTTTCTTGGCTACACAAGAAATATGCTATCAGTTGTAATATAGTTGTGCATAATTATTGTTTATTTCATTCTTTCTGAAAAAATTTAATAATTATTGTATCATTAATTACAAAATAAATTACACATCTGCATAATAGGGATTAAGCGAAAGCGAATAAATTTGAGTGTGTTTCTTTATTTTGAAATTTTGCTTTGGCCATTTATTTGTTCAACATCTATAATAGATTCCACTTAATATATTTATATATATATATATATTTTTTTTTTGTTACATTTAATTGATTTATTTTTACTTAAGTGGATATAATTGACATCACATAATAGATAGTGTTTCAGAAAAGTATAAGCAGTTGTAATGGCAAAATAACTGATTACACCATTTTCCCAATTACAATTAAACATTTTCAATCATAATTTCAAAAAATGATGATAGTTAATTACTTGTTAAAAAAAATATATATAAGAATTTATATGTACCCACAGGCATACTTTTTTTTTTTAAAGCTAAAATTGGACAAAAAAACTAAAACATTTCAAGGATATAACAATTACAATAGAGAAGTATTTATTTCCTGGATGCATAAGCAGAATTTTAAACAAAAAATATAAAAATGATTATATGATTATAATAAAATACAAAACAAAAAGTAAATATACTTAAATTAAAATAAACAAAATGCTCTTAATTATACATGTGTTTATGCGAAAAAGTATATATAAAATACACAGCCAAAAATTAAGACAATACATTATTGATGAACTTAATTAATCATAACAATAATATTGCCAACCTATGTAAGATACACTTACATGGGTCAACTTCAATAAAACAATAAACATATTAAATACAGCTATAGATAACAAATTATACATATGTGATGGAATTATTACTTGTAACTTTATGTAAAAAATTGACACATATGTATATAAACATTTCTCATAATTACAGAGTTGTCATATACACACTTATAACAACTTAGAACGTGAAGTTAAAATGAAATTATATGGTTTACAAAAAAAAAAAAGAAAAAAAATTAAAACAAAATTAAAGCAAAATTAAAGCAAAATTAAAGTAAAATTAAAGAAAAATCATTTTTTCATTGAAGCTAGTAGCATGAGTCATGGATTGTGTTACAATGTTATTTTTTATTATTAGAAACTTTTACGTTGCACTGTATCCTAAATTAAGTATGTCAGAACTTGAATTTTTACATTTAGTTGTCGTCTTTTCTTTCTTTTTTCCCGCCTCGCTTGTTTCCGAATTTTGCCTTGCAGATTGTCCCATAATATAGTTTTCACAATTATCCATATCTGATTTTTTTTTTTTTTTTCCACAGCATGTTTCCCTAAAACAGCAGCACTAATATAAATATGAAAAAAAATAATATATGTATAATATATTTATTTTACAATTATAAAATTTTCATAAGTTACCTATAATATTTCGTATGAATTTTTGTGTTATTTTTTAATCTGAATTGTTATTTACCATCGTGTGAATAACAAAAATTAGATTAAACAACATGATGAAAAGTAAAATTGCAAAAATAATTATTCCTACACGATCTTTACAATATGATGACTTATCCCATAAAACATAATTGCATAATGTACAAACACCATGTTTAATAAAATCCCACACCTTACTTGCTGCTGTAATTGCCTTTTCTTTAAGTTTCTCTGTGTCTTGGCTTCCTTCCTGTGCTTTTGTCTCTCCTGTTGCCGTTGAAACAGAAAATTGTAACACAGAAAACATATATATTACTATTAAATTAACACATTTTTTGAAAGTCCTATTATAGGAGGAGTTTACAGAAAAAATAATTAATTTATGTAATAATTTGTTCATGGAACAATTATTCTTATATTTTTTTAATTCCTTTTTATTCTCTAAATATGCACCACCATTAGCATGTATACACAATTTATTGTCATTAAAATACGATGGTTGAAGTGCTCCTTTTTTTTTTTTTTTCAAATGATCCTTCATGTTCTACCGTATAATTCTTCAGATTGTAATTTTAATTTCATCATAAATATAATTATAAATATTAAACATGTTCAATTTGTTTTCATTTTTATTTATTATCTAATAAGGTTCACAAAAAAGTGTATAATTCATTTTGAATAACAAAAACATTAGTTGTTGTACTAAGACACGCCAAAATTTTATTGCAAAATATAATTAGATATATCCTTGTACTTTTTATATAAAAAAAAATACCATTATATAGTTCATGACATTACCAGAAATTTATGTAAACTGTCTCACTAATTATTAATAAAACTAATACCCAGTTGGTAAATTTCACATGAACATCTGGTTTTAATTGGTATTACAAAACGAATACTGCTTAAATTACATTTTTAAAATACATAATATTTTAATCTTAAAACTGCTTAAATTATTCTCACTATTAAATATTTTAACACAAGCACATTCACATAAACAAAATAAAATATATAGACTAAAATATAATTTAATATATTTTAACATTTAAAAAATTAGAATCAATGAGTAGTTTGGATAATGAGAAGTATTGTATAAAAAAAAAAGGTATATATAAAAGTTTACTATAAAAGCTATATTAATGGGTATAACTGTTATTAGGACTATTCATTTATGAAGATTTTTTTTTTGGTGGAAAAATAAGATCTAGATAAATTCACTAAAATAAAAGGTAGTTAAAAATTACATTCGAAAAAACAAATCCGAAAGTAGAATAGTGAATATATGTATATATTTATATCGTATTTTTCTATATTATTGGCAAGTTTTAGATCATTAAACAATGATTGTTTAATCTTATATAAAAAATGAATTTTGTTCTAGTGCACTTTACCATTTATTTGACATACAACATAAACAATAATGTAGAAATTAAAATTATTAAAAGAAAAATAAAGTTATAAAAAAAGTTACATGTTAAAAATATGTTAAAAATACATAATTAATGTATATATTTAACATTACAAAAAATTCATTTTAAAAGACACCAATTACCTTAACCTACGTATACTTAATTAATGGTATGGGTAGGATAGTCTATTTATTAGGAATATGATATTATATAATGTAGACTTTTTGGATGGGTTTAAAAAAATATTACCTTTTAATGATAAGAAATTATTATTTCTTATTTATGGAGGAGATTAATTTTTGAATTCCAGACATAATGGTTGAAAAATTAAAAATTTTAAAATTATATACATTATTTGTAAGTAATTCCTTTTTTGTAAAGAAATATTTTTTAATGTTGAAATTCATAATTTATTAGTTATGTTTTTATTTATGTTTTCTTATACAAAAAGTTCTTCATTTAAAATGCACAAGTATGGCGTAGCAGCAAATTCTGCCTTTATACCAATTTAATATGGTTATATAAAATATAACAATTTCGTCCATTAATTAAAATTTCCTATAATTTTAAACTATTTTCTGAGAAATCATTTTTTTTAGTCATATGAAAATTTCGTTAACTGTTCACGTAAGTAAATTATTTTACAATTGAGGAAAATGTCTATTATTAGTTTTTGTATGTACAAATAGTGAAGTTTATTTTGTCGTTGTTAATAAAAATATCGTTATGTAGTTATTAAATGGGGTTAATTTTTAAATAAAAAAAAAGAAAGAAAAAAAAAAAAAGGTTTTTTTACAAAGAGTTTTTAAAATCATTCTATTTTTCTAAAGGAATATAATACGTTTTTTAATATAAATATATATTTGTACGTTATAAATGATTTATATGCTTCTTCTCAAATAGAGAAATAGTAATAGATATAGCATAAGACCGAGTATTAATCACTTTTATAATATTTTTTTTATTAATATGCTAAATAAGAAAACGTAAATCTGAAGAAAACAATTTTTATTTACATTGAGTTTATATATCATTAATTCCTACATAAGTGCATAGTAATATATATTTGAAACTGCTATTATGTAAAACAATGTTAGTAAATTTGCATGTAACTTGTGAATTATTTTGGGATAAATAGATTATTTCGTAAATGAGATGTTTTAAAATGTGTCACATTATTATATATATATTGAAGGGATGAGGCGGTTTATACAATATTATAATAATTTTAAACTACATTGTTTTTTTTTGAGAATATAATATTATACGTTATATGTGTTTTAAAATGAAAGCAACTGCATAATTAACACGAAAACAGACAATAAAAGTGATTATGAGTTTTATAAAATTATTTTTTCAACAGTTTCAAGATATTAAAAGTTATGTTGCAATAGACAATTAATTCGTTGAATACTTGGTTAATTCTTTGTTATCCTTTATGTGCATATTTTTTAACATAAGTATCTGTATTTATGTTTAGTTTCACTTTATAGTTATGTAATTTTCGTCTTATTTTTGGGGTACTAATGAACAATTAAAGAGTTAAGTTAAGAATCAAATCAATGGGATTAAAACAAAACTGCTACTTCACACTGTTTATTTTTTGTTTTCAAAGAATATTTATTTAAAATATACAGATTAATGCATTTTCATTTAAAAATTACTTATATTAGTACAATGAATTCTCAAATAATTTAGAATTGCAGAGTATTTTTAAACTTCATTACTTCTTTTATTATTTCTTATCAGTAAATGTCAAAAATTATTCCTGCTACAATTATATCTAATAGTCAACAGCTAAGGCAGCATTATTTAAAGATTAAAATATACAGTTCGATTATTATATGTTTAAATGATTATAAAATTTACATATGTACATTTTTTTAGGGTACATACTTTTTTATCATAAATTTTAAGGACTTTCATTTTTTTTTTTTTTTTAACAATATTATATTTCATTAATTTTTGAAATAATCATTCTATATGTGTTCCTAAATTATTAATTTAATTTTCTTCATTCCTTTCATTTGATTGTCTGTTTTATTCTTTTTGTTTCTTCAAAATGGATGTAAAATGTTAATAATTTCCCTGCAACTTTTTTTTCAACATTATGTAAAACAGTTTTGATAGGATTATCCTACTGACATACCAATTCTTTTGCTCGAGCATTTCATTAAAATATTCAAGCCTACTACAAATGTTTTAAATTGCAGTGCTATAGAAATGTGATATTTCCACTTTATAAGGCAAAAAATATAAACATGAACAAATTATATAGAAGGTTGTATATATCAATGTCGTAAAAAATAAATCGAAATAGGACATTACATATACATGAATCCTAATGAATTTGTAAGTTTACTATCTCATTATTCATCACGCAGCCATATTCATTGTAGGAGACGCATAATAAAAATGCATTAAACTGAATGGGTAAATTAATAAATACTTTTTAACTGTTTGCAAATAGATAAAACAATATTTTTTGTAAAAATGTATGAAAGAAATGATGTAGGAATTAAAGATAATTATTGTTAAAATCATGAATTCCTATTTTTAGGGAGTGTTTGCACTTGTAAAATTTCTACATATTTAAATATATTTTTTAAAAGGATTGGGTAAATATTATTCATTTGTGAAACCATTTGTATATCGTTACTTCAATAAAATAATAATTACATTATATTTTTTAGTATACATAATTATTAACAAGCGATGCTGAAAGTTAAAAGATAAATTGATATAGCATTTAAAAATAAAGAAGTATTAATAAAATTTCCATTTTTTGCGAAATAATTTATTAAAATTATATTTAATGAAAAGATTACTTTTAACTAAAAATATGCACGTATTTTTTTAACGCCTTTAGAACCCAAGGAATAACTACTCTGTAGACCTATCATGTTAGATCAAATTTAGCATATACACAATTGTTTAATTAAAAAATATTTATAAATTGATATAATGCCTCTATCCATAGCGATCAATAAGAGATATCTTATTTTTTCTTTTTTGACAACTGTTAGAATTTTGATTCATGCTTTTGTGGGTCTTAAGTGAAATGTTTTTTTGTTTTTAACCAATAAACATGTTATATGAAATATTTTGTACACATTTTTTTACATATAAAACAACATTTAGAGTCACAATAATTGTGTAAAATTATTAAAATAATACATAAAAATAGAAGAAGAACATAATTTTTTTTTTCGTATATAGATGACAAGGACTTAATAAAATGTTACCATGTATAAGTAAAAAAAATACTTAACTTTACAGCATTTCAAAATTTTTAGTGTATGATATAGACGTGTTATTTTGCTAATCTTTTAAGTGATCCGATAACTTGCTTAATATTAGAAATATAAAGAATGAATAGGCGTGGTATAAATAATTGATAACGCTGGTTATTGCATTATATATATATATATTTATATATACATTTATATACGTATGTATATATAGTAGCAAAATTGTATAACTCCACCGAAGCACGATTTTTATCAACCAATAATATACTATTTATAAGGAATTTATAAATATATACGTTAAAAATAAATAAATACAATTAAAATAATAATATTGCATTGTAAAATCACTGCACAATGACAATACAATTACTATGATGGTTATATCACAATATATGAATGATGAATAATATACATGGGGTATTCAATAGAATTTAAGCAAATTACGACAAGGCGTGATAAATAGTGTGGAATAATTTTTAGAATATAATAAAAAGTGCTAAATCATAAACTGAAATGCTAAATTTTATGCCTAATCCGTGAACTATTAGGAACTTAAATCACACAACCCCCAAATTAAAGATGATACATAATTTTTAGGAAATAAACCTGTTTTTATAAGTTTTGCACTTATAAATTAGACAAAAAAAATAAAAAAAAAAATAAGTTTATTAAGCCATAAGCACAAAAACGATAAACATATTGATTTTATTTTAAGGCACAGAAAATGCACACATAATCTTCGTCAATAAAAAAAAAAGGATGTAAATGGGTATGTGACAAATAACGTACTTCATATATTTGTATAAACATATGAGGTAATATTTTTTTAAAAGAGAAAAATGGGAAAAAAGATACTATTTCCATCTTATGTATAAGAA